CTTATAATAAACAAATAAATAGATGCCACATTTAGTTGGGAGATGAGAAATGGTGTTGAAATGCAATGCATAGTATGGATGTAGACACCCAATTGCATCTATAAAGTGCATTGCTTTAATTCATTGCGCACACTATCCATATATAAGAGGAATATTACGTTATGTGGACCTCAAATCATAAATAATAGGAAAGCTATATTAGGTTTCTGGTAATGCAGCACTATCCATATGAAATTGTGAATTCATATCTGCCACCCATGTTCATTTCATACTCCGTTCATGATCTATCTGTCCTTGTTTCCGATGCTTCAAAATTTTTGAATGTGAGAAATGACCTCAGCCACAAACAAATATTGGAGAGGGGGATTTGTGTGTGTGTGTGTGAGCAAGGACATTGCAAGGTGTCGGTATAACGTTACCTCCCCTTAAGTTATTCATGCTTTAGTGCATCAAATAAAGTATAATATTCTTGGGGATTAATAAATATAAAGTAACATTTAATATGGTTAGAAATGGGGAGCAATACTCAAAAAGAGAGGGAGAGAATAAATGGCCTCTATCAATGGAAGAAATCCAAATCTTAAGTTGAAAGAGAATATATATATATATATATATATATATATATGAGTTTGAGCAATGATTGAAGTGTTATGTCTCAACTCAAAATTTTATCTGTCATGGGAAACTTTTCATATTCAGTCGAGTGAGTCTCTTATTAATTAAAATCAATCTAATTTGAGAATAAATGAGCGATGAGGAGTGAATAATACCGTATCGTAAATCAAATTTTAAGACTCAAATTTATGAATCTTTAATCTTAATTACGTAATGTTATCTATTAAACTCAACTTTATTCACTTTGAAATTTTCAACCTGGACCCAAATCCACACACCCTAACAAGTCCCACCTTCATTATAGCAACTGTGCCGTGAAGTTTATCTTCGATTGTTGCTGGCTCAACGCCTTCTTTTTCTTGCCATGGGACCCACCAAGATTCATGCATACAGATATTTTAATTTATCCAATAACATAATGTGCACTAAACACAGTTAATGGAGTGCCAACAGCGCCCAACCCTGCGATACATACTTAAGATAAGATGTCTTGAAAAAGACCATATTGCAAAACGATCGAGAAATGATCGCACCAAAACTTGAAGGGTCATCGTCCTATATATTCCTGTTTTAGTAACACATGCTTCAGTCTTGGTGACCAAAAAAAGGACACGTGGTGTAATCTTAATAAAAAAAATCGATGGATAAATTATACATATCCGAGAAACCATGCCATCGGTTTCAACATTTAGATTAGACAAGGGTGTTGAAAATTCAATAACAAGTGATGATTGAAAGCAGAAACTCAGAAGAAGTCTTTTTTTTGGACCAGCAGAAACTCAGAAGAAGTCTAATTCATTGGTGTCAAGCTTACGTTATATGAAATCTCATTTAATTAGATTAGATTTGTCAGGTCACATGAACAAGATCAACTCTAAAATGAGCAAAAGCGTGAAGTCCTCAGTCCTTTCGCTCTAAAAGAAAATTAGAGTACTTAAATTTAAATTAGAATCGTAAGTCTAATTATAATGTTTTGAGTAATAATAATGAACAGCCCCCTTGACGGTGCCCCAAGGTTGTGGCAAGTGGCGTGTGTGATCGATTCCAAACGTGGTTGACATTATTGACACAGTCAAGTGCCTCAAACAGTGTGTGTCATCACTGGCTTTATGCTATGCCAAAGATTTTGAGTTTGATTTTTGTGAGTTGAAGATTCGTTTGCTGACTAGGCCATGATGGTGTGTGCTCTTTCTTTATTACCCCTGCCCCTGGTGTTGGAGAATTTAGTTGGTCAAGCTCAATTATAATTTCTCAACTATCAGATCCCTAGCCCTTGGGGTCACGCCCCATCTTCATTATCGCATATCAATTGGTGCGCTTTTGTCTTTACTCTTTACCCAAGCAAATATATACATATATATGTGTGCGTGTTATTTTCATCCCTTTTGAAAATTACCACACCTGCCTCTAATAAATTGTTATGCATATATAGTACATTGCATAGAAAAGACAGTTTGAAAGAAACATATATTTTTCCTAAAAAATATTATTTAATCTCTACCGTACATAGTTATCATATACTACTCCTGGTCTTTAATATAAGAGCTAGTTGATTAATTTAAATAGATTAAGAAAACTAGTTAAGTTAGTTATTTGTAATAAATAAGTGTTGTCTTTTTTAAAATATTATTACTAATTAAATATATTAGTTAGAACTACTATTATTGTAGGGACCACTTTGAAAAAAGTGGATAAATATAAGAAACAAAGTATATTAGATTCTTATAATTAAGACTAAAATAAAAATCAAATGAATTTTTATATTAAAAACCGGAAGTAATAACAGAAAGGAACATAGCTATGTTATATGAGAGAGAGAGAGGGAGGGAGGAACTTAGTTACTAGTAATGTGGTCGGAACGACGCTCGATTCCTCTAAGCAAAAGGTTAACAATACAAAATTTGTGTATATCTCTATAAAAATTATGCTAGCTAGGACAGTTACGAGAACACTTAAATTATTAATAATGATTGAGTAAAGCAGAAGACATTTGATTTTCTTAAGGCTGAGTATTTAAATATTTTGAGTTAAAAAACACATTGGCAGGTAAGATAATGTTTATAAATTATGCTGAATCTGATACTGATAGTGTGTGTTTATACAAAAAAAATAGGAATTTATTCTTCTGATTCTAAATATAACACCTATTTTATAGTATAAATTATGGTCTTATATTTAGGACTGGAAAAATATAACAACGTGAAGCATCGCAGCCAATCTGTATTATTCTGTATTGAACAATGATATAGAAATAATAAAATACTCGTATTATTATTAGCTCCGAGCCTCCGACAGTCTTTCAAGTCATCTCGATACTGTGCAGTCGGGTTAATAAGTTTGTAAGTCTAGCGTATAATTATACATACTTAAGACTTTGTTTATTATTACTATATCTTAATTAGATTCACCACAAGTGTTTATACCCCCATTTTTTCATTACTTTCGGACATGGCACTTTTCATCATATTCCATTCAAATTAAACAAAGGGAAAAAAGGGCAAGCAATAAACTTCAAGTGGAGTCATTTCATCGTAGAAAAAGCAACATCATGCAACTTGTGTAAAGAATCAAGAATTGTTCAAGATCCGTTACCAAATATTCGGATAAAAATGTATATAAAAATTGAAAGCATACGTGATATTTAACTTTTATTCTTCTCTTGACGAATGCTTTCAGAATATGCAGTATAGTTATAAACAGTAAGTCATGAGGTGGATGATTTGGATTTTGGAACGTAGGCCGCGTTCTTCGGCGCTAATTCGGTGGCCCGGCTCTGTAATCGCTGTACCTTCAGCCCATAGGAACGGGAAAAAGACGCTTAAGTCTCTTGTTTCTCGCTGATTATTGCCCCCTTGAAATGTATGCGAACAAATCCCCAGCCTAACTGTTTCTCTCGCTTTCTTTCTTGTTGACTCCTTCCTACTTTCAAGCAGTTGGGTTTTAACAGAACCAGTTGAAATATCCAATCAACTGTGTCTTATTATATGTATACCTGAAACTTCTGTACCTTGTTTTCTTCTCAGTTTTCCCTCCTTATCCGGATCGGATAAGGTCAGAGATCTCCATCCTTGAAATGTAGGCCGAAAGAGTTCCTAAAACAAAAGCATATGCACAACGGTTTTACACCTTTGAATTCTAGTCTCCAATTATAGTCATGCTCCAAACCAAAGAATGGCGATTTCGTATAAACAGCGTATCTGAGCTGGAGGTACAGGGGAGAGTTAGGAATATCAAGGGTCAAGTCAAGACACGGTCGAGTCGGTATGGCCTATCAGCAAGGAACCCCATATTTACGTTGTCCTGTCCTGGGCCAACCAAGTTCCGGGTGAGACTGAGCTGAACCAGCCCCATGTTAGGGCTCCTAACAAACTTGACCCAAACGTTCTGCCCATACTAGATCCCCGTTTAAGCCTACTTTCATTCAATGCGGCATACTTGAACCGGACACATCTAGATTGATGAGCTGGGCAGTTTGTCTCCATTTGGATGAATTAAGCCATGTGGCACTGTTTATATACAAGGGCACAAGGCAATGATGCGTGCTGGGTATTCCGAACTTCTTTCCTATTATTCATGAGGTCTTCTTATTCCTCACACATCTTACGGACTAGGATCACGTAGAGAAACCAGTCACTGTATCACAGCGGAAGCCCAAAAAACCAATACCCACTCTGTTTTTTTCCCGTGTTCTGCATGTGTTATCAGTTATATATTTCATCACATTCGTAACTTCCCCTTTTGAAAAATTAACTTTGTGGACATTCTCCCAGCCACCTACGATTTGATAAATTAAATCTGATATCGAATGGTGTGTTAATTGATTTACCAACAATTAACTAATTATTGTTTGGGCTTTTCACAGACACGGGACCCCATTACTGGGAGGCCCATAAAATCAAACAGGGAGGTTGACTAGTCAATAATAACTAACTCCATCTCGAATTTACGTCTGAAGTTTGTTATTGAGGATGACGCCAGGTGTTTGAAGCAAGAACTGAACCGGATGCCAAGTCATTTTCAGAAGCAGGACAAGCATGGAACCTAAAATCCTGATCAATCGAAGTACTTTGTGCCAAACTCTGCACACTTTTGTTTCCGGGTATTATGATTATGTGGCGCTTGGGTTATCGAGCACGACATATAACATGTGCAGTTTGTTACATAAAAAACAAACAATTTTGCATCATTAATGTTTTGAGATTGATGGGCAACTTGATTTTCCAGAAATAAGCCAATGTAGCAATTTTGAAGAACTGGAACTTATGAAAGATATGTTATTCGGTCAAACGTCATTTTAGCTAATCAAGTGAATAAAGTTGTTACGGAAAAACACAAGCTTAATCTGTGCAGGGGCGTGGCATTATACACCGTGGAAAAGGGTAAGATTGAAGAAGACAAAACATGTAAACAAAATGAACATCGTGGAATCAGAATCAGCGGTAAGAATTATTAGGATTTTCATGCGAATAGGAAACCCCGCATATATGTAATTACAACAAGAACTGCAAAGTCGCCTCTCCTGAAGATGATCCTCTTACTATGATTTGAGTCTTGGATGCAATAATACAAAAATCTAAACGGAGCAAAGAGAGAGCCCAACGGAGAATTGGGGCTACATTGAGTTCACCTTCCCCTTTGCAGAGCCTTCTCAGCCGTGTCGACCTCCTCCAAGATCCTGGCCTTGCGTTTCGCAGGAATAGGAGCAGTGGGTCCGAAACTAATATAATGCCCCGAAACTGCATTGAGCGCGGAGTACATGTCACGAAACGAAACCCTTCCCAAGAGAGCCTTCTCCCTCCTGTACTTGGCCACCCAGGAATTGGAGGTCTCTCTCAACTCAGCCACTGCTTCTGCCACATTGGGGTCATTCTTGTCCATTGTGATGGTGTTTCTCACCTTGTTGATCACTTCCTCAGTCTCCTTCACATATTCTTCGTCTGAAGCAGCCAGTGCTGGCAGCAGAGGGTTGAGGCATAGGACGGAGGAAGCGATGGAGAGGAATTCACGGCGGCGGGGCTGGGCGGCTGTAGTGGATAGGGTTGTGGAGGTGGCGGCGGCGATGGTGGAGTATTTGGGCTTGCAGGAAGTGGGAGGGAGTGATTTTGGGGTGGAAGTCGGGGTAATGAGGGTGGGGGAGGCCATGTTGCTGGGAGGAAGAGAGAGGCGTCGAGAGTTGCGAGTGTTGGTAAGAAGGGAAGCGGGGAAGGATTGGGTTTTTTGCCACGTGGCCTTATCGCCTTATCTTTGTTTTCGTTTTATGGATCAGACAGCAGCCAATGAGTTTTGAGCTAACGATACACCTCCCATCATGTGTCTCTCGCAGCAAACCCCACCACATCGTGCCTAATACTTTGCTCGCGTCCCCCACCCCCCCGCCCCCAAAAAAAAAAAGAAAAAAAAATTCAATAGTACCAATAGTAGAGGGTGAGCGAGGCGACTCTTCTTTTTTTTTTTTTTGATAAGCTGGAAAGTACAAAAGGCTACGCTACGTAATAGTTATTAAGAATAGCAGCCGTTGAACTCGAACTCAGAATTTGCAGACCCATAGTTCCGTTAAGGGCTGTTTTGGCGAGGGTATCAGCTATGGAATTTTCCGTTCTGCATATCACTTGGAACTCAAGATTCCAATCCCACTGCATCATCTCCTGAACCTCATGAATGCTTTGCCAATCTTCATGAAGGGCATTTTAAACATATAAATTTTACTTATTAGCTCCGTATTATTGATAACATACTTCTTCAATCTTAATATAAAACCTGTTTAACTAATTTGATTATATTAAAAAGATTAGGTAAGTCAGTTAATTATAAGAAATATGATATTTTTTTAAAATACCATAATCATCTTTCTTAATATTTTCTTTTTCTGTTCTACTTGATTATAGTTGGGGGAGTATCCATAGGGATAATTTAAAAAAAATGATAAATAAGTCTTGTATTTAAGATCAAAATTAACTCAAGAATTAAATCATATATTAAGAACCACGATAATATTTAATTATTATATTTTATAAAACTATGCTAACATAACTATAAAGGATAGTATATAAAACTCATTTCGTATGAAACGTGATTTTTGCGAGAATGAGAATTTTAGAAACGAAACAAAAACCTACAACCAAGAATTAGGTTTGGTGCGTGTTGAGGAGAGAATCGTCTTATTTTCATGTCATATTATGAACTTAGTATGAGAATAATAAATAAGAAGAGTTAGTCAAAAAAAAAAAAAAAAAAAAGAACAAGAGAGACTGAAACATACACTTAACAGACAAATTGAACAAGATCAATCCGATTCAAGCATCTCTTTTTTTTTGGGTACGTTTAAATATATCACTTAAAGGGTCGATCCACCCTGTACGAGGATTCCCATCCAGAAATTGTCGTAGTTTTTTTTTTTTTTTGGTTACAGACGAGGGCAAGAAGCCCAAGAAAGAAAACTAAGCTAATAGGGGAATAAATCCCAAAGCATCTTTATCACACAAAGCCCTTAGATGATTCGGTGTCGTAGTTTATTTTGTTCATATTCGATTCACAAATTGCACGAAGGCTTAAACTCAAACAGCCCATCTTGCGATGTTGGTCCACCTCTGAGCAATTAAGTGGGCTCGTAGCATGCGTGGTCACGGGTAAGTGGTAGCAAATGAAGTCCTTTAATATAGTGGCCAGGAAAGTCCATTCATGGAAGTACGAGTGCCTGAGCATGATCACCACTGAAAAGGGAAGTATTGAAGGTTTTTGGTGATCAACTCGAAATCTAGGATTGATATTTGTTGCATGGGTTGATCTTACTTTGTGCTGATCAATTGATCATCTGACGACTTAAGTTTGAACCAACATGACCACTTCACCACGACTAATCATCCCTTTCTTCGTAAAATATGTAATTTAGAAAAGTGAACAGTGAGTAAAATAAGAAGATGGCGTATAGGATTTAATGATTAGGAGTGACCCATCACAACTGTGACCAGCACGGGCAAGAGGATTTGGATAATTATAGGAAGCCTTTTCCATAGATGCTGCACACCCCTCCCATCCATCTCAATCAACCGTAATTTACACTCTCACTACCGTTTCAGATTCTAACGAAAAGAAACCAATGCCCAGGCTATGAGCTAAGTGCCTGCAGTTTACGGCTTAAAATCACTATCTTTAACACTCAACATAAAGAGTTAGATAATTAATTTATGAATATTAAGAAAATTTGTTAATTTAGTTCTATATAATAAATGAACACAGTCTTTCCTAAAATTTACTCATTAATTATGTGCACTGAAACTAATATCTGATAGAAACCTTTTGACGTATATAATCATTATAGGAATTACTTAGAAGAAAAAGTTGTAAATTTAAGAGACAGAGTGGATTGAGGTCTTATAAATAAACCTCAAGTCTAATTCTTATATTAAGAAGTGGATGTAGCATATTATTGGTGGGAATGTGTGATTCAAGATGGAATATTTTACGAGGTAAAGATGACTCTAATGATTATGGGAATGAACAATTGAGAGTGGGGATTGTACTGGAAATTTCATGTGGGCAGCTTTACTTTGGAGGCATTCAAGATGTTGAGCACGTCATTCATGTATGCACATAATCAGCAATGATGCCCAAATAATCATTTAATTCCAACAGATATGTATAAATCAAGGAGACAGGGCCAAAAGCCCCCACTATCAATTCTCTTTATATGATGCGAAGCCATGCTCCCAGAACGCAATATTCCAATTGATCGCCAGGCCCTACATTCCTCATGATTTCTCCCTGAACATAAAAAGAATATATAAAAGTTATCACTAAATCTTGTCCAAATCTCCTGCTCAACCTTATATTTCATGCTCATTTAACTTCAAAACTAAAATCAATAAAATTCATACAGATTGTATCACAGATCTTATGAGAAAATTAAAGAACTACGTCCATTCATACTACAGTGGAGAGCTTTTTTCTTTTTTCACTCCACCCTCATCATAGGACACTCCACGAACCTAGAAAAATTTGGAATCGACGCTTTACAGGACCTTTTTTTTTAGGCAACACCCCGCCACCTTATGCTACTGAGTTCCCAAGTCTTAAATTCGAGACCCAGGAAACAATTTCTTTTGGTGCATCACGCATACTAGATTATTACATATTAGAAAATATGGAGTTAGTTTTAAACAAATGGCTCGGTAGCTTTATAGCTTAGTAGAATGTAAGTTCTCCTAATAAATGGAGGCCATAGATTCAATGCCGTTCATAACTTCACGTGATCAGTATCTGTTATTTTAATTAAAAGAAGAAAAAAGTGGAGAATGGAAAAGAAGAAAGAGCAGAGGCCAGCGACGTCCGCGGCAGGGCTTAAGGATGAAAAAGTGCGCATCTTCCTCCCTCATCCTTGCTTGATTATCTGCCAAGCAAATGAGCCAGCCAAAAGTCTTTTTCTGAATTTAATTCTCTTTCTTTTTTTGTTCATAACCAATAAAAGTATCTTTTCCCATTAAAAAAAAAAAAGCTTCCTTTTCAATTGCGTGAGGGTGCAGGCGTACACAATCCCCAGAAAATAAGAAAAGAAATGAAAAAAATAAATTTAATGACGAAAACTCGGAAACAAGAAGAAATTGGAGGCCTGCGGGCGCACTCTAATTTACTAAATTCTTTTATCTCCAATCTTTAATATAAAAGCTAATTTGAATTTCAATTTGATTCTAAATATATATTTTAATTCACTTTATCTTTTATATTTATCTATTTTTTTAAAGTAGTCCTTGTGATAGTTGCATATGTTAAATATTCCGTCAAATGATAGCTTACACATGATTGGTAAGAACATTCTAAAAAATTTGACTCAAAATTTATTATAAATAACTAACTTAACAACTTCTTTTATATATTTAAATTAATCAACTAACTTTTATATTAAGAAACGGAATTAGTATAATAAGACGTGCTTGCTTACTCAAAAAGTTGCACACCTCGTTTTCTTTCCACCGCAAATAAACGGGTGCCTCGTGACAACTTCTTAAGCCATTCCTACTTCTTTCTTCTACTTTGTGTTTTTGAAGTAGTATAAATGAGCACCATATGATTATGATAACCAATGAGCTTGAGTACATGCACGGTTTCGGATAATCAAAATGGAAATAAGAACTAAATACAATTATGATATCTTGTTTTACCATGCAGCTTTAAATTAAACTAGGATATAACAAACGTACGTACATACATAAATCATTTTAAAATGAAATTTGGGTGACATATTAAGTTAAAGAGTTAAGATGCATGAAAAGGAAGAGGGATGCGATGGATTGGGTGGACCAAGTTGATTGAGGTGGGTGTGTGTTAAAGAAGATGGATGGCAGAGGAGGCTTGTTCATTGAGGCTGCCAATCATATCCCAATTAAAGGCCCCAACTACCACCCGCAACCCCACAATTATTATTTTATCACTTTGATTTACTCTTTATTCATATATATACGTGTGTGTGTGTGGATAAAGATGCCATTGCTTCAACATGACATGCCTGTGGTGTACTGGTATTGTATATGCCCATAATAAGGGGGTATAATGAGTCACTAATTAACGCATTATGGCCGTCTTATAATGGATAATTGCATAAGTCCTACCTATAATAGAGTTGCAGGCATTACGTAAGATTGAGAGAGAGAGAGAGAGGACAAGATATACTGCATAATGTGCATGCATGACATTCTCGTTGTAAATTTCGTTGTATTGATATATGATTATTATACACCGTATGAGTACCTAAGCAAAAGAAAAGAACGTTCGAGTAGAATTGAACTGAAGAGCATTCCGGCCGAGGGATTGCCGGATGACAAGTTTTGAAAGTGGCGGCAGAACCAAAAAAACTCTCTCCTCTACAACATACCAGTGCCTTGTTTGTTTTTGGGGTCATTGCTGTGTCTTTTTGTTAAAAAAAAGTCTTCCTTTTTTCTTGCCTCCTCCTCCTTTACTCTCTCTACCCTCGCCTTTGCAATCAATGCATCTGCATCAACCCCACCTCTGCTTAATACTGTTTCTCCCTCTATTTCGTTCTCTGTGTCTTCCTGCTACGCTTTTCTCATCTGCCCTTTCTACTAACAAAGGTAATGCAGCCCTGTTCCCAACGCTTACCGCTTCCTCGATTTGTCTACTTTTGAATCTTCAACGTCACAAGTGTCTGTAATCTCAAATTAACAAGCTTCTTTTTCCTAGAATCTTTGTGGGTATGAACTTGTCTGCATCTTTTATATCTGGCATTCCGCATTTGCCATGGACAACCTGCATGTTAAGTTCCTCTGTATTCTAATTTTTTCGTAGATTGTGTTAGAGTTGGACTGTGTGTTGAGAAAGCAAAACAACTCAAAATTCAGATTGTTGAATGTTGGTGCACTTGCATTTTCCAATAGATTCTAGGGAATTTCTCGTCTCCCTCTCCTTTCCCGCGTAGATCAGGCACCGGACAGGTTCTCTTCCAAATTCACTTTTCACTCTATTTAATTCCTTCTTATCTCGGTCTCTTGTACTCTGCTAGTCTCCGGCTTTGATCTTAATTTTCTGGACCATCATGGCACCAGCCATTTGTTGATTTTCTCGTTATTTTTGATTGCTTTTTTTTTTTTTTGGGTTCATTTATGATGATTGCGTGATACATCCTTGATCTCTTCTTCTCCTTTCTTGTTTTTGGGTTCTCTCGGTTATTCCTTGCTGACGAGGTCATACCTTACCTTCTTTTTCTCTGCTTTTGCTTTTTCTTTTTCCACTTTCTCTGAACTATGAAACCAGAGTTTTTACTGATTTTCTTGCCTCATATCTCATCTCTCTCTTTCTCTCCCCACGCTACTGGGGGGGAAAAAAATCTCCTTTAACCCCTTTTTTGCTCTACGTGGTTGCAGAGTGAACGAGGAAAGATGCAAAGAGAATCAGAATTTGTAACAAAATAAATGCTTTGGTTGATGGGGTTTCATTGTTTTATAATATGCGATCTCATCCAGGTAAATTAAGTATATTACGTCTGTTCATCTCTATATTTGACAATTTATCGTTCTTCAGTGTTTTACCAAATTCTTTTAAGATGTTCTTCCCCTTCTGGTGTTCCGATTTTTTTAGTGCTTGGGTAATGGTGTGTTTTAAGAGATAAACTGACAGCAGGAGAGACTAGCTCTTCAGATGTTGCCGGCAACTTAATTTCACTATCAAACTTGTGTCGCCTTTTGCGATTGGAGATTCCATGGCTTAGAGTTCTATTATATCTAGATTATGTTGTATGTATATAGATCTATATTCTCTGAAAAGGAAAGGCCTAGTTTTATTTGATTTGACGTAGTTAGCTAATTCGTTGGGAAAATCAAACTATGGTGGTTTCTCTGTTCCTTCCTTTTCCGTTGTTTTATTTGATTTTATTTCTTTTAACGCCTAGTTTCTGGATTAAATTATTTCCAAGTATCCATTGTCAATGTGAATCCTGAAGAAGGAAAGGGAAGCGGAGAGCTTTTTAGTATATTGTATTCCCTTGTTCACATGTCATGAGTTTTTAAAATTGAATCGGCTTTCTATATTTATTTTTTTTATGCAAAACGATTTGTGAAATATTAAATACACTTGTCTTCTTCTGTTCAGCTGGTTTCATCATCCATTCACATAGCTTCCGGCGGATTATGCATTTGACTAAGGACGAAAGGCCACAGTTTTCTACAATGGGGTGTAAAGTGGTTATACTTTGACTTGAGGGAATATCTGGTTTCTTAGTCAGTTCGTTGACTATCTTCGCAATCTTGAGGCCTCATGTGGGATCTATACTGGTAATTATAAAGAAAGGCGCTTGTCCTCCCTGCCGTCAGATGCCTTTGGGGAGCTGAAGAGATGGGGTGTTGTGTCTCAACAAGCAGTAGGAGTACATGTAGTAGCGGAAGCAATGGAAACACGGTTTTGCGATCTTGTTTTGAAATTGGGTTCAATGGGCAGAAGAGAACACGGAGAACATTCTGTGATAATGTTATTTCCCTGAAACATTTACATTCTGTCCCAAACAGAATTTTTATGAATGGAAAGAGCCGCACTTCTTGCATATTTACGCAGCAGGGGCGGAAGGGCATCAACCAGGATGCCATGATCGTTTGGGAAGTAAGTATGTTCATCCTTTATTTTTGCCTGATTTTAGAAAAGGTTTCATCTTGCTTAAAGCATTGCTGACCTGGTTTGAATCTGTATGGTTTTAGGATTTCATGTCAGAAGATGTGATTTTTTGTGGTGTCTTTGATGGCCATGGTCCTCACGGTCATCTTGTTGCACGCAAGGTGAGGGATGCCCTGCCAATAAAACTACTCTCATTTTTGCATTCGTGTGAATCAAAGCAAACTGGACCAGGTAAGGCCTGCTTCAAAGGGAACTTAAAGCCTGATGGGGAAGACTCTGAGAAGGATTGTTCTGCTGAAGACAAACTGAATTCCTTATGGCAAGAGGCCTTCTTGAAGGCATACAAGGCTATGGACAAAGACCTGAAGTCTCATCCAAATTTGGACTGTTTCTGTAGTGGGAGCACTGCTGTCACTTTAGTGAAGCAAGTAATGCAAGGACCAGTGTCTATTATATTGCCTCCCCTCCCCTTCCTTTTTTCCTTACACAATCTTCTTTTTCCAGGGCTCAAATCTGTTCGTGGCCAATATTGGGGATTCTCGAGCAATTATGGGATCCAAGGATAGCAACGGTTCCACGATAGCAATTCAGCTGACTGTTGATTTGAAGCCTGATTTGCCAAGTGTGTCATAGGTTATCATTCCTCTGTTCAGTTTATGCCCTCGGTTGATGCTAATTTATTTGTAGATTCTTACAGAGGAAGCAGAAAGGATCAAACGGTGTAAGGGTAGGGTATTTGCTTTGCAGGATGAGCCAGAAGTGTGTAGGGTGTGGTTGCCTTTTGATGATGCACCTGGACTAGCTATGGCTCGAGCATTTGGAGACTTCTGCTTGAAGGAGTACGGGGTGATATCTATTCCTGAATTTTCTCACCGTCTTCTTACAGACAAAGATCAGTTCATTGTTATTGCCTCAGATGGGGTAAAAGTTCTCAATCTCTTCAGTTTTTTGGGCTTTTTTCTTGGTAAGAAATCATCCAGTATTCATAGTACCAACTGATCTGGATTTGAGCCGACTAAACCCCAGTTGTTGGGAAACTGGAAAGGTTTTATGGGTTTTTTTTTTTTTAAAATGAAGTTTATGGGTATTTTTTCGGTGATATGGATTAGCTTTTCTTTTTTCCGTTGTCTAAAATTTTAAATTTACTCACTGCTCTTCATCGTGACTGAATGGAATTAATGTGTGGATTTTGTGTGTTGGTGATGACCCGTTAGAGTTTAACTTGATCGAGACATCTTGAATGCAAGTCGTTTCCAGGTTTTACTAGTATTGTGACCATTTATGCGCCGTGATCTCGTTGGCCATTAATTGAATAGAAGCAACAGTTAGGTTTTGGTTGGCGTCAACGAGTCAGTACAGGACACAGGTTATCTTCATCTTTTCAGAACCCACAACCATCTCACGTGTTTCTGTGTGAAAGGCAACTGAGTGGTCAACCGAGTTGCTTGAAGGCCCTCAGCTATGTATAACCAATTACAATTACAATTTTTTTAAAAAAAATTCCCTGGCCACATGCTATTTCTTTCAATTGATAAAAGCAAATAGTTTAAAAAATTATTGAGTTTCAGCAGATTTTTGTGTAAGAATGCACTTTTAAATTAACGAGTGGCATTTTGCAGTGTGCAATTAAATATATGGTAACGGAAAATTTTGGGCTTTTGCCTCATCAGTTTTTGTGTAATTGTTAGTCAATAACTCACATGTAGAACATCGCACACCCTTCATCATTAGACCAAGGTTAAATATATACATATATATAGTATATATATGTTTGTGTAAACGTATATAAAATTTGGTGATATAGACACAGAGGTCTTCTATTTTGCCACAGTGATCTTTGATGAGGATGAACATATTTAAGGATGAAGTGTTGAGTTGGAAATTATGCCTCGAGTTTCTTGTTTGTCTTCCTGTGCTACTTCTACTTTCCTCTTATGTTATATGTGCGAACTATCGATTTGAAGATTCCCATATTAGCTTCGTGCATGTATAAATGATTCTCATTCGAAAGCCTACAGGTTTGGGACGTGTTAAGCAATAAAGAAGTGGTTGAGATTGTATGTTCAGCGCCATCACGGTCATCAGCAGCACGGATTGTGGTGGATTCTGCAGCTCGAGAGTGGAAACTGAAGTATCCAACTTCAAAGATGGATGATTGTGCTGTGGTGTGCCTATTTTTGGACGGGAAAATGGATGCAGAATCTGACTATGATGATCAAGGCTTCTCTTCTGCCACCGTCCTGAGCAACCATTCGGGAAATCCGATTGAATCAGACGATGGGCAAAAGTCGGAGCCTTCTTTGCAGAGAAACTTCACGGTGAGGTCCTCAGACGAAAAAGAGACATACAGCGGCCTAACAGCTGATGTGGAAGGCGAACCACCCTCAGCTCAAGATCAGAACTGGTTAGGCTTGGAAGGTGTGACCCGGGTGAACTCGTTGGTTCAACTTCCTAGATTTTCTGAGGAAAGACCAAACCCTTGAATTTAACTTTGTTTATGGAGTACTCTTTGATGTAATAGTTGGAGGCAGTGCTTCACAGTAAATTCAACGGCTTGCTTTGATGAACCTTTCAGCAAGCTATACTAGTACTCAACAAATGAAAGACAGTGAGGTCCAGAGCAGTTATCAAATGACACTGCGACGGATAAAAGTACGTAGTAAGGTATTTGATTGCGCGTGTTCATTGCACAGACTAGCGAGTAATCGAACTACACAATGCCCATTGTAAAGTGGGATTGAACAGACTCCTTCCCTATAGAAAGTAGGGAAGTCACTTCTGCCCCAGAATTCCCTGGGTTACATCATTAAAGTGATATTGGGCTGGCCTATGGCATTATGATTTATTCCGATTTGCAAGCACATTATGATAATTATAAGACACTTTTTTTTATAAAGAATAAGAATTACTAGTCATGTATTTTTTTAAAAAAAAAGTTGTTTTAATATGTAATTGATGGTTTTAAATATGAATAAATTTATTTTGGTCCCTTTAGGGACAAAATGATTTAGATTTTTATTGATTTATAGAGATTAATGTTTTAGATGAAAAGAAACCTAAGAAACCAAAAGTTATCATTTGAAACATGAGGGACTAAAACCAAAATGGGAGCCAACGTGAGGAGTCAAAAATTATATTAACTCAAAAATTTATGAAATAATCATTGTATATGCATATAATATAGTACTTTCTTCTGTTTTTTTTTGTTTTTGTTTGGGTACAATACACAGTACTTTCACTACTTTGGGGGTAAATACTTTTTTGTTGGGCTAGGAAAAGAAGGAAGCCCATGCTAGAGAAACTGACGGGAAATAAGCCCAATAACATATGGAAGCAGCACGTCAGGTGGGACTTTATCAATGACAACACCGACGTGAGACTCCATGCATCATCGCTTATTGGGCTTGCTTTGTTGCTTTGTTTTCCCTTCTTTTCTTTCAAGCTTTGTTTGTGATATAATTCCAAAAAGAAAAAAAAAAGACTTTGAGGTTTTGTCCAATTTCGATTTTATTCCTTCTATAGGGTTTAAAAGCGCAAACGATTATAGATTTTGATAAACTCCCATCTTATTATCATAAATAATACTCAAGGGTCGTGATGTCCTACAATTTTTGTTAAAAAAACAATTAATAGCAATAAATACATAAAAAAAAATAGATTTGCGTGGAAAGATGAATTTAATTATGATAAGGAAACCGAAGTGGAGCACATATATGCATTGGCAGGCGTGCGTGAACCAGTTGTGGGGGACCCCTCCTGGAATCGATCGGACTCCATCACTTACCATTCATATTTCTCTCTTCAATTTTTTCCATATCTTATCAATGTTCCCAAAAAAATCTGACTCGTTTTTGGTTGATGCAGTATAACGTAAAATAAGTATGCCAATTGAATATTAACACTAAAAACCACTCTTATAGCGAAAAAACACCACTGAAAACATCCATCGCTGTTCATTTGTTATTTATTAATATAATACTAAATCGCCCGTTGTTATTGATTTTATTATTCAATTTAGTAATATTTTAAAATCCCTTGACATTATATATATTTTTTAAAAATCATATATTTACTTTTCAAATAAATGCCAAAAAAGATAAGTCTCTTGGAGACTGTTGGCGTGCAATTTTGTTAAAAGTAGCCCGAGATATTCGACGGTGCGGTCTACAACTGCAAGAGTCGAGTTTCCATTGGTGGGCCACAGTTCATGGGCATGCTCGGAATGGACCATTGGTTTAGCAACTCATAGACGCACCTATACATTTATTAATTGACGAGTAATGATGCCTACTTTATGATTGAGAAGAACCACACTAGTCACTATAATCCCATCTATAAACATATCTGGGAGTGGGAAGGGATGGAGAGGATCCGAGTATTCCTATGGAGAGCTTATCACGATAGACTCCCAACAAATGAGTGGAGAAGCAACTGGTCCCATGTGTCGGCAATCTGTCCCTCCTGCAGTGCTGAAACAGAAACTCTCCTGCACATATTGAGAGATTGTGATTATGCTAGGAATATGTGGACTGAAATGCTACAACAGAGGTATTTAGCTAATTTTTTCAGCTTCTCTCTGAAACAATGGTTTGATCTCAACCTGACAAGTGACCTGGGTAAGTCCGGAATTGGTGACTGGAAATGTTTATGGGGAGTAGCTACCTGGAAATTATGGAGTTGGAGAAATGAGACTGTTTTTTCTGGAACATACGAGAAGCCACAAAAACCAGCAGAGGTGATTTTGAATATCTGGCAGAACTACTCGCTCAAGCAAACTTTACCCAAACCTGTACAAGAAACTAACACGGCTCTGAATAGGAGGTGGGCTCCACCACCAACAAACTGGATTAAAGTTAATGTCGATGGAGCTATGGCAAGACAATCTAATTAGGCAGGATGCGGAGGGGTGTTTCGTGATCACATTGGAAGGTTGATAGCTGGTTTTACGTACAAAATTGGAAGATGCAGCGCTCAGGAGGCAGAAGAGTGGGGTATCTATAAAGGTCTTTATCTTGCATGGCATATGGGGTTCAAACAAATAGTGATTGAATCTGATGCGACCGCAGTTGTTGATATAATACTGGATGAAGATTCCTGCAGTACTAGCAGCCTAATGATCAGACAAATTCAGAATATGCTCAAGTACAATTGGAAGGTTATTGTTCAATCGATCCCAAGAGCAAGTAACAGAGTCGCTGATGAACTAGCAAAAAGAGGAATTTCTGAATCCTTAATGTTTGATGTCTGTCCAACCAACCTCAGGGCAGTCGTGGAAGTAGAGAGCGTGGGAGAAGTCCCCATTTAGTTTAAATTTGAGTTCTCGGTCTTAGACCTCGTTTGTTACCAAAAAAAAAAATTGACGAGTAATGACGAGTGTGTCTAGCGAAAAACGTTACATCCACGATATAGTGCCTATTTAGAATAGTTTATAAATAAATTTTTAATCATAGTTTATGAAATGTAATAAGTATATTAGAAGATTTTTATGTCGATTTATATGAAATATATTTATAAATGATTTTAGAATTAATGCCAAATCGGACTATAATGAACTTATATTTGAATTTCTGTTAGGAGATATACCTATATTTATTCTTCTATGCTATCTCAAACCAGCTATTTAAAAGTTAAAAGTAGACGAGGCAGTAAAAATAAGATGGAACATGACAAGTATGAATTCAGATATTAAATGAATGTGTGAGTATAAAGCGGCCGGGCTCATTGACAGCATTAGAAGGGCTATGTTGGACCCTCGAGACGTTGTAGATCTGCGGTCTTGAGGCCATCCTACTTGTGAGAAAGTTGTGGATTTGATATTTCTAGTTCTAAGCCGTTGAGTTTACCTCTGTAATTTCTTTTTAAAACTATCTCAGCTCTCTTTTATTTACTCTCTTTGTATCTATTTTATTAAAAAGGGATAGCCAATTCACATGACCAAGAAATAAAATTAAGATGAACATATATGTTTATGATTTTTTTTAATGCTCGTCATTTAATACATCTTTAATTTATTTCAGTAACTTATGCTGTTTTAAAACACCATTAATTAATTATCTTCCCCCCCCCCCTAATTATACCCTTATCTTAACAGGCTTTAAAATTATGCCCAGATGCTCGAGCAATGGCTAGTTCGGGTGCATCATCAAAAGGCTCATCTTGCAAAGGCAAATACCCTTCCCTTACGCGCCCTTTTTGCTTCCTCTTTCAGAATTTGCAATTAAATTAGCATCAACTCAAGGGCATAAACTGAACAGAGAAATGATGAATGAGAAGCCGTGTCACACTTGGCACATCAGGCTTCGAGTCAACACTCAATTTTATTGCCACGGAATCGTTATTATCCTTGGATCCTATGATTGCTCCAGAATCCCCGGTGTGGATTATGAATGGATTTGAATTCTAAATTTCCCAGCTCAGTATATTTGATCAACTACTACATTAAAGAATACTCCATAAACATTTTTTTTTATGATTATCTCGTAGTAATGTTTTTTTTTTTGGTGATTAACGATGGTAAGCACATAGGAAGTAGAAGTAGGGGACTTCGTTATTTTCATTTTTTGGGAGGACGATATAGCTATTATTTTTCACGGCAATGAAGAGAAATCCTTTATTGCCATACCTACCCGATCTGACGTAAATCCGACTTACGCTGACCTTATTGATCAGGAACGACCAGTCCCCCTCACTAAATGTTGCTATCATAATGTACGTCCATTTCACTCTGGTCCTTGTCCAGTGCCTAAGTCCGCCAAATTGCTCTGCCATTTCCAAAGCAACTTTCTCTTTCATTGGATTATAGACTTCTCTCGAAGAAACTGTAGGTGCATCTGATATGAGATAAACCTGACCCCTTCTGCGCCCCAAAATTTTCAGGGAGAATAGTAACAATTTACAGAAAGAGAATAATATATCAGAGGGACGAGCAAAATCTTTAAGCTTTTACGGATTCTTCATCGAACCGGTCCCTTGGAAAACTCCAGAACCTGATATGATAGCCCAGGAGGAGCATCAGACTTTATAGCACCCCGGCATGGATGAAGAGAGGCTCATTTATAGTCATGATTTGGATGAATTTTTGGGAGGAAAGTGATCCAGCAAGATGCTGTTTGCGAATTGTGATAGAATTGTGATAGAAGTGGGTATGCAATAATTTGACCCACACACCAAAAGGTGAACCAAAACATCTTAGCTTTTCAATGGTATATATTGACATATATATAGACGGACTGAGACAACTTGGACATTTCCCCGACAAAATACACAATGGCGCGGTGATATCTTTATGGGCAGATTCTGATGTTTGGTTTAGGGCAATCAGAGTGAAACGCGTTGTCCTGACCTAATTATTTCAACACAAACCAAAGTCGTCTCTTCATTTATTCTCCTCTTGTTCTATATATCTTGCTCGTTGCATCTGTATTACCGATTGCTACCGTCACTGGGGAAGAGCTTGATGCGCACGGACCACACACCAACAAGATGTGACCATCGGACAGCCATAATGGTGATTAAGGATGTGTATGATGATTAAATAGAGCGGTTTCTAACAGTTGATAATGATTGTGGTGTATGGAAATTCATTGTGATTAATGAAAGAATAGAACCGGTTAATTAGAATGCATAAATAAACGTCGGAACAGTCATTTGCAACAGCTAATTCCAAAGACACCTCTTCTTGACTCTTCCATTAGCTCGAGTATTTGAAGGCTTCCTCAATTTTGAACAATAGATAAACTAATACATTAAAATTCAGGGAGTCAAACATTGTTAATTCTAGAACAAGAGTTCTTATATTCTATGCACACAGATAACTAAATAACAAGTTCTAAGCTTTTTTTTTTATGAAACATCAGGGTATCCACCGGGGCTTGTAGGCACCTCGATGGATGGAACAGCTAGCCCGAGATTTTAAAGCTTTTCCATGCCCAAGGCAAGGATCGAACCCTCGACACTTGGTTAAGGGAAGATGAGCCCCCACCGTTCAATCACACCCCGGTTATAACAAGTTCTAAGCTAATAACGGACAAACAGTAATCATACAGATAAAATAAACAACTAATTAGATCATGGCATGTCGATCTTTTCTTTCCGTGCCTGTAATTTAAAGTGAGGGATTGGTTAATTATATAATGCCACTTTATATTAGACTTTGAAATGGAAAACATTATGCATTGCCTCAGCTCTCATTATCACTGTGTAGCGTATTCCAATAATGGGACCCACACACACGGGCAAATAGTGTTCCTCAAATCATCAAATTCAAGAATTAACCAAGACAGATTAATTGGCTTATCAAAGTGACAAATAGTAATGATTGCTCCAAAAGGTTATACGGAGGGCTTGAAGTGTCGATTTGCGGTGCATCATGAATTTCAAGAATTTCGGCTGCCGTGCAGAGAATGGGTGAAATTCGCTGCATGATCACACTATTCAGAGCATTCTGGGGGAGAATGGGTCTCAGTGTGGTTATTTTCACACAAAACAGGATCCAGAGAAACGCTTGACAGCGATGGTTTTTTTTTTTTTGGATATATTGACAGGTGGATTTTCATACATAATTATTGTGTAAAAATTTCTGGTAATACAAAATAATCTTATAACGTTGCTAGATGTAGTTTTCGGTGACTGAGATATGCAGTGTATGAGTTATGAAAAATATGCTTGGTCATCACTTTCATATTTTATGTGAATTGATAATATAGGGATGATGTTTGGGATATTGATTTCTGAGCAAGCAGGGCATGCAACAATCCGACAGGAAAAGTGACAAACCTTTCCGTATTTGTTAGCTTCCTCCTTTGCTTTCTGCTCAGTTCTGGACGTATGTTTATGTTGGAATGTATTTTAAACTAGAAAAAGGCGAAAAATGACAGTGAATGGCTCAAACACCCCAGGCAATTAAGATCACGAAAAGAAATAAGATGATTGGTAGATTGCGTAGTATGGTCTCGTTTTCAAATGGTGGCTCACAATTAATTGGAGGGAAATTATTCAGCTGTCATGACAGTGGTTTTGGTCCCTGGTCATTAGTTGTCTCTTATACATACTTACCCTGTAGAATCTCTCTCTGTCAAATGACAACATAATTTCTTGTGGCCTGTATGCTGTCGTACTTTCGGTGGACCGGCTTCTGCAATATTAAACTTGACGAGCCTTTTGAACAAGGGACAAAGCCCTAGGTAAATAATCACTATAGAAGGATATTTTCAACCAGTGGGCTCTCTTGATTCTTTTCGATATGTTTTATAAAGAGGCCTACCCAGCACCAAAATCATTTTTGTAGTACTCACCACTCCCTCATGCCCCAACACCGAAGCCATTACAATGGAACCAGTTCTAAGTTATAGCAGCGCTAGCTATGGCAGCAACAACAATGATGGACACAAGATCATTAGGTGGTTCGAAGATGTAACAGAGAAGGCAGGTTCTGTTCAGACCCAGATCTTATCCCAGATTCTGAAGCAGAACCATGGGGTGGAATATCTAAACAAATGGTTGGGGGACTACAATATCCTCGACATGGACGCTTGTGCATTGGAATCTCTTTTCACTTCTGTGGTTCCCCTCGCCTCTCATGAAGATTTTGAGCCTTTTATCCAACGGATTGCAGATGGGGACACGACTCCCTTACTCACTCGGCAACCCCCCATTACCACTCTTTCCTTAAGGTACCTCCTCTCCCACATCCGTCCGTCCATCACATTTTTTATGTCTACTTTTTATATTCGTGGGAATCAGAATGTAGAACATCAAATACAAGCCATATGTATGGTTTTTCTTCTTTCTTACTTATCCTCTCCAAATTTCCGTGATACTCAATTCTTGTCCTGTCCTTGGACATCAGCACGATGAGGTGCGAGGGAACGATTTGTAGTAATTAAGGATGGCAATGTCTTCTTTCCCATTGTAGATGATACATTAATCTTTAAAGGACGCAGTCCGCTCTTCTTTCCTTGAATGGGAGATCTTTCTCTAGTTTAATAGTAAAATCTAATGTCTATTTTTGTGGTGCTGATTTTCCAGTTCCGGAACCACAGAGGGAAGGCAAAAGCTTGTACCTTTCACCCGACACAGCGCCCAAACTACCCTTCAAGTCTTCACTTTAGCTGCAGCTTATAGATCAAGGGTTTATCCCATAAGAGAAGGAGGTAGGATTCTTGAATTCATATACAGCAGCAATCAGTTTCTAACTAAAGGAGGCTTAAGGGTAGGAACGGCCACAACACACTACTATGCCAGCGAAGAGTTCAAAATCAAACAGGAGAAAACAAAGTCATTCACTTGCAGCCCTGATGAGGTGATTTCAGGAGGAGACTATGAGCAATCTACATACTGCCATCTCCTTCTTGGCCTCTACTTCTCTGATCAAGTTGAATTTATCACTTCAGCCTTTGTCTATAGCATAGTGCAGGCCTTTCGCAGTTTTGAAGATCTTTGGAGAGACATTTGCAATGATATTAAAGAAGGAAGTTTGAGCTCGGAAATCAAAGTACCCAAAATGAGAAAGGCTGTTTTGAATCTAATTTCCCCAAACCCATCTCTAGCTTTAAAACTAGAAGCTGCTTGCCTGGAATTAGAAGAGGTGAATTGGTTTGGACTGATTCCTAAGCTTTGGCCAAATGTTAAGTACGTATATTCCATAATGACGGGGTCTATGCAACCTTACCTGAAAAAACTAAGACATTATGCAAATAAGTTGCCATTAGTAAGTGCTGACTATGGATCTACTGAGAGCTGGATAGGGGTTAATGTGGATCCTAGTTTGCCTCCGGAGAATGTAACATATGCCGTCGTACCTACTTTCTCTTACTTTGAGTTCATACCCCTTCATAGACAAAAGCAAGGTTGCACTTCAGTTGCTGATGATTTCATGGAGGATTTGCCTATTCCGCTATCCCAAGTTAAGGTTGGACAAGAGTATGAATTAGTCCTCACAACTTTCACAGGTAATTTCTCTTTCTCTCTCTCGCAACCTTCTTCATTTTCTCAGAGAATCTGACTTTATCCATAACATTCTCGTCTCCTCATATACCCACACTCATATCTCCGAGCCCAACTTCGTTCCGATTTTCATTTTCTCGTCCGTCCGGGCCCTACCTTTTTCATCCTATTATCGTTACACATGCACATTGATCCGGGAAAGAACCAGTAGTTCATGGGTTGTAGATTATTACGCCCACCCTCTTTCCCAATAATAGAGTACTGGGTGCGCCAGAGGTTACATTTTCTCCTAGCCAGACAGTAATAATTGTTGAGTGATTGAAAAGCTACTCATTGTGGCCACTGACTGCCTATATTTCTCTGGCTGCTCATGATTTGGTTGGGATTGTGGTCACAACCCCTGGATGTTTACTTATTTATATAGATGCAGTGTAGAACTAAAGACCCGAGGGCAGGTCATAGGAGTAGGAAAATTTAGAACTTAATTAAGTCAGGACTATTTTATGTTTAATAATTGATTTTTAGTAGATGTACGTTAAGATTTTGATTAGAATATTTTTTTAAAAATAAGCTTGCATCGCAGTCCATTCATGTCTGCGTTATCTTATTTACCCGGTCTAGGATAATTAGTTGCTGTTGTTGTTATTATTATTATCCTAAGATTTCCTTATTTGATAGAATTTTTATATAATTAAATAATATTAACAATGTTCTAGTTGCTTGCTCCCTCTCAGTTTTTTAATTTCCTTTCTCCCACCTTTCTATCCATTCCTTATCCGTCTTATTATATCCCACTTCCCATTTCACTAATTATTTTGTCATTTCTTTGCTGGCATCTTGTAATTGTCATCCTTAAATTGAAAATCCTAACTATAATCCTTCTGGAATTCCATACAGGCCACACAAAAAATGGCGTGGAATGCTTCATAATTTATGTGTATAAGCTTATCATCAGTCACGATATTGATAGTAAATCTTGCACAGACTACAAAATTAATAACCACCGCCAGTTTCTCAATTATTGTATTGCTATCATCGTCACTGCACAGTCCTAGTCGTCACTGTCATTTGACAACCACCATTTCATTCGGTGCTCATCACAATTATTATTGTAATACAATTTAAACCATTCCAAAATCTAATATGAATGGTTTAGATTTAAAATTTTTAACACACAATATTTTCAATGATAAATTTATTTTTTAAAGATACGTTAGTTATGATATTATATTTATCTTGAATTCTGTATCAATCAAAATAAAAAGTTGATTAAAATATATAAAAAAATTTAAATTTAATCTGAACCATCAAAAATTGATTTGGATGGTCTAAATTGTGATGAGCACTCCATGTTATAATTATGATGAGCATGGAATGTACTCCCCCTCCTCTCACCATTAACAACAGTACACCGCCACTATATGGCGACTATTATTATCAGCACTACTATCTAACGCTACAATAATCGTTGAACTAGTTAGTTAACATTTGTCGTACGACTTTTTTGATTTACTGTTACCTATCCTCATTATTATTGTTACTTCATTATTATTATTATTATTTTCATAAGGTTGCTGACTTTATGTTTAAGGTCACCATTACTCTTTTGACCGCTTTCATCGTGATCACCACATTTCTCTATCTTATCATAATTATGATAATTTTTGTTGTGCCATCCCCATCCATCATTACTATCATTGTTGAATTGGTCACTATATGTAGGCTATTCCCACGCACTATCATCATGTTATGACATTAGTAATAGTGTTGTTCACATGTAACAAATGATCATTTCATTAATGAAGACATGTTATATTATCAGATATGTTTGAGGTAAAAAATGCATGACAATACTGCAGACTATGAATAGTTTATAACATGTTGTGAACTGTTTACTTATTACTCTCGAGCTTTGTTTTTGTGATACACCAGGATTGAGGTCCTAGTTACAAAGATTGAGCTTACACAGTTTGTAACTAATCCCACGATTGTCAAAGAATAGGCTTGCTAGCTAGGTACACTTTCATTTTAATTATGTGATCATATTATTTCCTCTAATTTGATATATACTTTGATACATATATAGGCTCCGATTAATTCAAATAATATGAACATTTTTCAAAAGAACAAGACCAGCTTCATATGTATATGTACATATAACTGAGAAGTAGTGGTGTTCGACAGTTTGGGTTGGTTCAATTTTAGACAAACATCTAAACCAAACAACCATATCAAGGTGACTGCTTTACACAGAAAAGGGGCATGAAATTCTTGTAACGAAGTCGGTTTGGTTTGATTTTTAATTGATTTGGGTCAACTTTAAATGAGTTTTTGTATATATATTGAGATTAAACATAACTTGTCGTCCCCCACTATTGCATATTTTATATATACATTATTTGTATACATACATCGCATACAGCTTTAGCTATGTTATATTTTTTTGCATATATTCTTTTGGTCCTAAATATAAGACTCATTTAATGAGACAGGAGGGAGTATTTGCTTTTGAACTCAACACTCTAATCATCATGCAAAAATAATTTTGGGAAAAGTTGAGTGGGGCGAAATTTAGCTAGTGGATTCTTGATAGAATCACGTGCTTGCATAAAAAAAATACATAAAAGAAATGTACTGAGTTTGGCTTAGGTTTGAAAGACTGAAAACCAAAATCTCAACTAAAATGCTGGGTTTTGCCATATTGAAAACCAAAACCTACGATATCCTAAGATTGATCTGTGTTTTGACGGGTTGACATTGTTTTTAATTGGTTTGGGTTGATATGATTACTTGCAGGACTGTATAGGTGTAGACTAGGGGATGTGGTGGAAGTTGGGGGATTTCATAAGGGGACCCCAAAGTTGAATTTCATATGCAGAAGGAAACTAATCCTGACAATAAACATAGACAAGAACACAGAGAAAGATCTTCAGCTAGTGGTGGAAAGAGGGTCAGATCTGCTGAACAAGGAGGAAGCAGAGGTAGTGGACTTTACTAGCTACGCAGAAGTATCGGAGCCACCAGGACACTACGTGATATACTGGGAGATCAAAGGTCAAGCAGATGACATGGTGCTGCACAGGTGCTGCACGCAGATGGACGTGTCCTTCGTCGACCATGGCTACGTGGTGTCCAGAAAGACCCACGCCATTGGGCCTCTAGAGCTGCGCGTAGTTGAGAGAGGCGCCTTCAAGAGGATTCTCGACCTTTTCGTCGCAAGTGGGGCAGCACTTGGCCAGTTCAAGACCCCCAGGTGCACTACTAACCCAGGCCTCCTCAATATCCTCTCTGCGTCCACCATCAGGACCTTTCGCAGCACCGCCTATGCTTAGACTCATTATCCTCACAATCATTTCTATTTAACGTAACCATTTACTTATATTTAAGGGTATGTATGTTTGGAATAATGTTTTTGACAGTTTTCTGCCAAAACCACCTTTATTTTATCCCATACATACCAACGCATTCCAAGCATGAACTTTAGTTTTAGAATTTTGTTATTCTATGTTACATTGTATCTTTAGACTTTATTTATTGGTGTATCTTAGGATAAGGAGTTGCTTAGGCTCCCATTCTCTAGTTGTAGCTAGCTCGTATGAGAGTAGAAAATGAGCAGCCCTTATTTCTCCGCTTGATATCTATCCGACTATCACCTAATAGTAATATCCAGCTGATTAATTGAATCGCTGAAAGTTTAAATGGAAATCAATCCCAGAAGTTATACATTCACAAAGATGCATATATATGAAAAAATATATATTGCACCTTGAGAGAAACTAAGACCGAAAAAAAAAAATCAATTACTATAGTTAATTATTACTCCTATGAACTAGGTTTTATAGTGATGTTCAAAGTTTGAACTTTAACGACTTGTCTTTTCTTGCTTTTACAGCTGGACAAGTCAACAAGAAGCTAAGAAAACGATCAATCGATGATAAACTAAACTCTTTTCGCCCTTTCCAATTTCAATACAATCGAGAGAAATAGTTTACATAATTTTAAATTAAATAATAATGCAATCTGAAAAATAAGCATATATTATTTAGTGTTGAACCCCTGCAGTTAATACATTGAATTTCATTGGCAAAAAAAAAAAACCAAGAAGAAAAAAACCAGTTTCAAGGCCGTTCGGCTCTTATATCTATCTGTCTATCTATATACATCAAGGATATAAATTTATGAGGATAATTATCACCCAAAAAAATTATATGGATAATTTTTGTGGGGGTAGAATTATAATTAAGGGTAAGATTATAATCATCAATATAAAATACAAAAAACGGTTGGATTCCACACAAATGCATAACAATATCGATCCATTTTACTCAGGAGAGAAAAAAGTAAACATGAAAATTTTTTTGCAAAGAAAATAATCAAAATGTTTCAAATATATCTTTTTATTATAAATACATGTATATTATATATTTTTTAAAAGAATGTTTATTAGCTTAATGCGACACCGGATAATTTTAGCATATGTTTTATAATATTATAATATTTTGGCCAAAAAAATATTATAATATTAAATGAAATAAAAGTTGGTGAAAAAAGAGAGAATATTATCCAGGATTCAATAGAAGGAAAGATTAAATAATGTTTTTTTTTTTAGTTTTTAAGCCTTCCCATTCACAAGGCTGTATATGATTTTGTTATTTTTCCAGTCTTAAATATAAAATCTATTATTATAAAATAAGTTTTATATTTAAAATAAAATGAGTATATAAATTTTAACACACAAAAAAATATCTAAAGGCACACCTACGGAGAGACTTTGGTCACACAGCGAGGGAGGGACGGGAGGGTTTTGTTTGTGACATCGCACCTCCAATTTTGGACCACTAAGATTATTGATGCGTGATTGTAGCTTAATGGGAGGCAGCAGTACCTAATGGGGTAACTAGCTACAGTAGCGAGTGAATAGTAGGATTTCCGTTACATGGAATTTCATGTAATGTACGACGTAATGAGCGAGAAATGAGAGAGACTTACGCCTGTGCCAGCTGCCCAATCATCTCCCTTCCACTGCTCAGCAAGGGCGCCCATCACTGCTCCAAATATCATCAATTATCGAACCACACTGCACAGTGAGATTGGAGTCAGAAGAGAGAGAGGGGCTCTTTCATGGCGAAAAGAAGGCGGCATCGAGTTCCTGATCTACAGTAATGGCTTTAAAGCCTGTGGAGAACTCGATGAGCGCAACAGCAAATTTTATAAAAAGACTTTAACCCCTGCGCCAGATTGTCCATATATACTTTCACAGACTGAGCGAGTGATGAATCACCCGCGCCCGGTGAGACTATTTAAGAGTAGACCGAACAACGTAAAGTCACAACCAATGACACTGTGGTAGCATCATTGTGAGCATAATAATCGGTAACGTTGCCGGAGATGCTTTGTTAATTACTCACAAGTGACAGCAACAGCGGCATGCGAGAATCACGAATCAAAATACTACAATCTCTTCAAGGTTTTAAGACCAAAGATATATACCTTATCAGGGCTGGAGTTATGCCGCGGTGGCGGCTGCACAATGGTTCGCGTGTTGACCGGTGAGCAATATGTGCACGACGGAAGGCGGGTGGCTATGGCCGCTTTGAGATTAGCCTGTCGCAGGCGGATCGAGAAAAAGAGGGTTAGAAAGAGAAGACGAAACCTCACCAAAGTGCCTAACTGGGTCCCTTGGTGTCTTAGCAAGTCTCTCTCTCTCTCTTCTTTCTTTTTTAATTTTAGCCAACGAAAACTCCTTTAATCAGAGGAAACGGATCAAAGACAAAAAGTACAAGTCTCCAATCTTAAACAAAGAGATCAGGACCGAAAATACAACGACATTAACAGAACATGCGCGTAACCACCTGATACAAAATAGAAAAAAAAGAGATTGAGCAATCCCGGTGCGATCAACTTGTCCTGCCACCGCAACAGACACGCTAGACGGGGAGGAAATAGAAGGCGTAAGGCGTAGACAAACTCCCACAAGGGAACTCCCCCCGCCTTTGCACCACAGACAGCTGGAAAACCAGTAGCTACATTGCTTTGTGTGCGTAGAGGCCAAAGCGATCTGACCGTTAACAAGATTATTGTTATGTTATGTTGTTTTTTTTTTGTTCTTCTGTTATTTTTTTCCTTTTTTCTAATAAAGAGAATCATATTTCTTTTGGTAGCTGGGTCATCAGGGAGAAGTCTCCCGTGGTAAGTGTTTACCCCTGGAGCTGCTGGATTAAGCTTTCAAATCTCGCTCCGATCCAGGTTTTTTGGGACCCTATATGAGCCGTCGGGTGCTTGTACGTAGTATATACAACTAATTCAACCTTTGAAGGCCAAATAGCTTATAAATATTTAATCTACAAAATTCTACGTAAATATACAATAAATTTTATCTCGGTTTATATAAAATTTATTTTTTAATATTATTTTAATGTTTGAGCTCTTTTTCATACCTACCTTGTTAACAGGTTTCACATAGGAATAGGAATAGCAGCTAATAATCTCAGCAACCATTCATTAGAAATTAATACTCTTCTGATTCTTAATATAAGACCCATTTAACTAATTTAATTAGATTAAGAAAGTTAGGTAAGTTAGTTAATTATTAAAAAATGACACATTTTTCTTAAAATACCATAATCATTTTTCTTAATACCCCTCTCCCCTTTCTACTTGATTATGGTTGAGGATGTATCCATAGAAGTAATTTAGAGAGAATTGATAGATATAAAAAATTGGTTTTATATTTAAGACTAAAATGAACTCAAAAATTATGTCCTATATTAAAAATCGAAAGAGGAATATGTTATGCGATCAAATTTAAAATTGTAATTACTGGAGCCAAACTGGGCGAAGACAGACAGAAGGAGGGTTTCTTTCCCACGGGGAACAGTTATACTCTTTCAGTTTTTAATATAAGACCTATTTAACTAATTTGATTAGATTAAGGAATTTAGATAAGTCAGTTAATTATAAAAAAGTGACATTTTCCTAAAACACTATAATCATCTTTCTTAATACTCTTTCCCTCTTCTACTTGATTATGGTTGAAAGAGTATCTATAAGAGTAGTTTAGAGAAAATTGATAAATATGAGAAATGAATTTTATATTTAGGATCAAAACCAATTTAAAAATTGAATCCTATATTAAAGACATATAAATGCGTTACTGGCACACGGAGAAATAGACGCCCACCTAGAGGCCAGAGCTAAGCCAGCCTACGACCTAGCTACTCCTCACTTCAGTCGTTGCAGTATCTGGGGAGACTGAATTTTTATTGGGTGTCCGTACTGAAAGTTTATGCTTTTTAACATTTTGTTTTTGAATGATGGGAGCCGCATCACTGGCATCGTCCAGAGATAGGGACGTGTGGGGACCTCATTTTTAACACGTGGTCAAAATACTTTTCTCATTAGGAGTACAGGTGTTCCCCACTTATTTTCTGCTATCCATCCTCACCTCATTGATGATAAACAGCAGTTTTTTTTTTTGGTTGTTGTAAGGGATCAATATTGCTTGCATATTAATTCTACATCGATAACGCCTGTATTTCCTGCTTCCCTATTTACAGGTCACCTCTTGAAAGTAAGGGTATTAAAGAGCTTAATGGACGCCTACAGAGATACTACGCTGAAATAAGGGAGTAAAGGATATTCAGACATTGGGGTGGTTGGCTTCATGGCCATTGGCTGCTTGGTTTGCTTTTGCATTGCTTGAAGCGGTTTCATGGCCTACCAGGCCAGTCTGCGCCTCCGAGCAGAGGTCATCTCAATCAGCCTTCGTCATCTTATATATCGATCATAATTATAAAAACCTGTTTGATTAATTTAAGAAAATTAAAAAAAAAAATTAAGTTAGTTATTTATAATAAATAGGTGTTATCTTTCCTAAAATATCCTTACTAATTAAGTATGTTGGCTAAAACTATAATTATTAAAAAAACTATCTTGAAAAAAATTAAGTAAATATGAGAGACAAAATAGATTGAGGTCTTATATTTAGGACCAACACAAAAATCAAATAAAGTCTTATATTAAGGATCGGAGGTAGTATGTTTTTTTAATACTGTTTGTAATGACTAATAACAAAAATATTTTATTATCTCCGGATCTAATTGTAGCATCTCATTTATAGTTTATAAATAAAATCTTATAATTAAAACTGAAAATAATATCATTTAGTCTGTCCAAATAAAATGATAAATGAGATATGAAAATAATAAGAGCAGTGATACCCAAAAAACATGTTTTGGTTCAGCCACGTTATGTACGTCCTATCTTCTTAAGAATAACTGAGTACGGGCGCGCACCAACGTGCATGACTTTTTCACGAGCTCTGCCAAGAGTGAGTCTGATGCCTCATAATATTAATTAATGTGACAATTGACAACATTCAAACCAAGTTGTCGTCACCTTCCAACTGGCACTGTCATACATGGCGTTACAATGAAGTCTTCACACTACTAGATTTTTCCCCCCCAAAGTAATCTGGATCACCCGTCCTTGACTTAGCTTCCTCCTCGTTTTATACTCTTCACTTGATCCTTGAGGTGAACGTGGTTGACATCAATGCTCAATCTTCATTTGCTTTGACCAATTAAGCAGCCCTCTTCTCCCATTCCTTCTTGAAGTCTGATAAATTTAGTTGTTGCTCCAATATTATATTTTCCTTCTTTTCTTATCAAAACTGGATTCAATCGCTAAGTTGTCCTTGTCAAATTTGCAGTTCCTTTTTTGTTTTTAAACTAGTTCACGAAAGTTCATACTTGTTTGGCTCCTGAAAGCTCACAAGATTTGAAACAACAAAATTTGAATTCATGTTTGGGCCCCAAACATGTAAGGCGGCACGAAGCTTTTCAACCAGGGGATGCATGCAACATTGTGGTCCCGTACCTGAAAGATGGGGACTGTGGCTCGTGAAATCCTGGGCCTCCGCAGACATCATGTGACGTATGGGATCTCGAAGGTCTTCATGGGTCATGGATGGCCGAAGTGCTTATCTCTGCACGTGAGCTTGCAGTAGCAATAAACCTTTCAAATTCAGCACCATTATTTGAAGAAATTATGATCGTGGAAGCGTAAGGGTGGGGATGTGCCATTATTTACTGTTGTGTTACCTACATAAGTTGCCCCTTTAAGCTCCTTAGCTCCCTCGCCATTGTTTCCTGTCCTCACACTCACAGTTCCTCGGCCTGCTCTGTCAATTCCCTGTCTCTCTCATCATTCCTCTGTCCCCAGCATGGGATCGATCTCCTCAAAAATCGAGTACCTCGGCCTTCGTTGAGCTTTTCCATTACTCGGGAGGCCGAATTGGTTACTTTGAGAGAAAAATTAATTCGAGAGCGTCGAATGTGCGGAGAAGAAGGTGGGGCATGGAGCTATCTCCAGCTGTGGCACCATTGAATTCCCAAGGAGAAGAGCATTGGGGGCATTTCGACAACTCTGTGAGTGCTGTTTCTTTTGGGTTCGTCGCCACGGCCATTCTCGTTTCGTTGTTTCTTCTTCTGGCTATCTTCGAGAGGTTTCTTCGGCAAACATCAGCAGCTGAATCTGCTGCTCCAGTTCCAACGGATCTTGAAGACCAAATGTTGTTTCATACAAAACTCCTGCTTCCATCTCCCAAGGTGACCTTTCCCTTCCTGGCTTCTTATTATGATGGAAGAATCATGACTTCTCTTTCTCTTCCCCGGCATACTGTTATCGACCGAATAACGTAGATTATTTGCTTGCCTAGTTTAAGTCTCAAACGTGCCGACCGTACGGGTAATAATTTTAGGAGTCCCACTTGGGACCTAGTTTCAAACTGTGATTGCAGGCCATCATTCATATGTTTAATAGTGTTTCTAGCAAGGCTGCCTTTGTCCCACCTGGAAAGGACGTAAAAATCCCGACAGAAACTTAGGTTAGTTCTTAATTTGTTCATTACTTTTCATCGATGACAATTGTAATGTAAAAGGAAAATCTCCCTTGCATGGATAATTCTATCTGCAGAAGTTTTAATTAGGTACTTTAGCCTTCAGACGCCAAGCAGCCAGAATCTAAATTTTTACTACTATGCATGTGATTCACTTATTCTATTAGGCTATCAACTTCCTTCTTTTATATGCTGTCATGGAAATTAATATTCATCTCTAGGTGCATTTGTTTGTTCTGTTCTGCCAAGCTTTTCTATGAATTTTCAAGACAATGCCTTGTGTTTGTGTTTTGATGTCAGATATCAAAGGATGAGAGAGGCGTATTTGTGTTGATGCCTGGGGAGCGAATTCCTAGATTCATTGCACATCCTGCTGCCGCACCATGTCCCCCAGAGCCCATCACATTATTGAATGACGCTCTCTAAGTAATTAACAATTACTCTTCCTTTCTGGACTGGCATCTCTGGTCTCACAGGTGACCCTTTTAAAGTGTAATGCCTACTATAATGCTGGTATAAGCAGAAGCAATGACTCCTTTCTGTCTACTGCAGACTGTAGGCAGTGAGGCACATATCATTTGCTAGTGGGTAAACTGAAGCCTCTGGTCTTATCAGACCCGTCTGTTATGGTTCATCGTTTTGATCTTCGATGCACACCTCTTGTGGATGAATTCAATCGCGCATTGACCCCTTTCTTTTCTTTCCCCTCTACACAATGGCTGAAGGAACCCTGTTTGTCAGAGTGGATCAACTTCATACCATAACTGTCATCATGCAAAAGCATATTGTGGATTACTGTCAATTGAACTCAAGTTATAAATTTCATTACATATTTCGGGGAGGCGGACTTTAGATAAACTTAAGAGTTGTAATTTCTTTGTTTCCCACGATTACTAGGGGAAGCAACTGCATATTTGCTTCCAACACAAAATCAATTTCAACTCTGCTTGCATGTCATGATAAACAAGGTTCCAGTAGTGAGATAACAGAATTTAAAGATGTACCTGGTAAAAAAAATTGAAAGAGCAGAAGGAAACGCAAACATGTTAGTGAGGGTGCTTGAAGAATAAAGCCCACTGGGGAGTTCTCAAAAATTGATGAAACAAAACAAACATGGTTCCACCAACTCACATAAGAGAAGTTGTTATCATAATTGACGGGGGTAAAACAATACATTTTTGCACGCAAAACACAAATTACACAACGAGCAGAAGGATTCACCAAGAAAAGAAGTGCACAACAATGATCAGAACAGTAATAAGTACACGGAATACCTGAAGGTGAGGCCCGAATCACCCTATAGCATTCTGCATATTATGAAAAAGTCTAGCAAATGTCACTATATTATGTTTTCTAAAACGAAAAAAGATATAAATATGGTAGAACCTACTATTATGTGTTTATCTTCTCTCTTTGCTTTAAAAAAAAAAAAAAAACTGCATGATTCCATGCTTTAGGGGAATCCATGCCCACATAGGGAAGCACTTGAGAGTCTCGGTCCATAATTTCATGTATACATGTAGTGATGTGTATATAAAATTTTTTTGACCGATTTACGACATTATGAAAACTCTCGGTTCATAACATTATAACACTGTCACAACTTCAAGAAACTTGGAATAACTGTGGGTAAGCGACAAGAGATGTCCTCATTTAATATTCATTTTGTTTGGGCGAGAAAACCTCTCGGTGTTGGTAAACAAGAAAAAGAAATAATTGCGTACTCTATTCTAGTTAAAATAATTTGAAGTGATTAATCTAGGGTGTTTGGATAAAACCAAACCATAGTTTAGAGAATAGATTTTAGAAAAATAAATTCTGTGAATAGATTTTGAGAATAGATTTTGAAAAAAGTGATTTTGATAAGTGAGAATATTTGAATATTGTTATCAGAATCTTTTTTTATATACAAATTACTAAAAAGGATATAAGCTAATATGATAATTAGATAAATGATAGATTTTAATTTATATTTTTGTTTGAAATAATAAATTTGTAAATAATAAATTATATATGAAAAAATATAATAAATATTATCTCCGGTCTTTAGTATAAGAGCTAATTGGGTATTCCATTTGATCTTGAATATAAGATATCAATTTATCTTGTCTCATACATTTATTCATTTTTTTTAAAGTAGTCCTCATGTTAATTTGCACATGTTAAATGTTACATTAAATAACAATTCCAATGCATATTGTTAATAGGTGTTTTAGAGACTGCAAGACCTATTTATTATAAATAAATAATTTAACTAATTTTTTTAATATTTACAAATTAATTTTCTAATTCTTACATTAAGGATTAAAGATAGTAATTGATATGTGTATATATATTTATATCTGAAACCATGGTTTTATACCTTCAAAAGCAAAAAAAAATTCACTTTATGAAAACCATGATTTTATACCCAAAACCACGGTTTCCAAATGAAAAGTGATTTTGGAAAAAATTATGGTGTTTGGTTACTTTTATACAAACCATGGTTTTAAATTAAAAAGTGATTTTGAAAAAAAAATATATAAAGGTATTTGGATGGAACAAAACTATAATTTTAAAGTGATTTTACGGTATATGAAATAAATATGCAAAAGAATTTGTCTCGATTTGTGAAAAAATACTTTTGAGAAGTACTTTTACAACTTTCCAAACACCCTTATAGTGTTTGGATGTTTTTTCTTCAAACCATGATTTGGAGAAAAACCCAAACATTTCCTTATCAGCCAAGCTTTATGTTACAAGTGATCATCAGTGGAAATTAATTGCTACGCACGGTTTCTTTTCTTTTTTTTTTAATGGTAATCTTCACCCCCGTTTTTATACATTGAATTGATCGAAGACCAAGTGATCTGTTCTGATCATTAACTATAACAACAATCCTCAATAATTCAACGAATCGCACAGTGCATTGCTAAGTAAGTCCTTCGGAGCCCTCGTTTATTTTGTGCACATGACCTGCTAGGTACTAGAGTTGTCTCATGTCCGTGATAAAATGTTTTAAGCACGTACTCATTTGTTGACACTTACGAAATTTTTTATCGTGTGCGAGTATCAGATAAAAGATATTGTTCTTTTTTTTTTTCCTGGAAAATAAAGCTATAAAAGCATGCAGCAACTTATTTTCTTTTTTCGATGTGTCACTTGTCGTCTTCACTTGATAAAATAAAATTGACCAACTAGCGGCCTATGGGAAGGGGAGAATTAGGTGAAGGACAATTTTGTTGGCATGAGAAGATGCGACCCAACTCTGGTCCTAACAAGGGTGGCTTGTTCTGGACATTGTAGCCCCACGGGAAGAAGACAATGGTCGGCGACACCGAGAAAACAAAAGTCTCTTTGTCCTGTCCCATCCCTATAAAAGAAAACAACACTTCCAATTTCCCATCTGCCTTTTCCCCATCCCTAGACTGTAATCCCTGTCATTATACATTTGTGCAAGACAGTAAACAGAGGTAACGACTCTAAAGCGATAAAAGAGGGCATCCCTCTTGAATTTTTGGCCCTGATTCTACCAGCACCCCCCCCCCCTTTCTTCCCTCAAAGACACCTAAAAAAGAAACAAAGAAAAAGGAAAATTCCCGGTTACATTAGATATTTAATACAGTATTTACAGCAGCGAAGCCATTTGTGAGCTAGGAATCCCCCAATCGACCGAGCACGGCAATAGTACAATCTTTGTAACGAGCACTCCCCACAGAAATTCTTTTCTTTTTTAAAAAAAGACATAAATATTGAAAGAAAGCAGGGCCATGTGAAAATGGTTGGAATACGTGCTTCCAATATCTAAAGAAAAATAAAGCACTCCATAGAAACATGGGGATTCTCGAGAGACTCTCGCGGAACGCCGTCGTTTCCCTCCTTGATTTTCTCACTCCCCTTATTCTCATTCTCTACCGCCTTAGCCGCCTGTGGCAACTGCCGACCCGTTCCTCCCGGTGCTTTCACCTGACTCCGACCACCGGTATTTACCCTGCTCTGGTTTAACCTCGTAGACGGTGACCTCGATCGCCTTCCGGATCTCTCGCCTGCGTCACGGAGGACTCCAGCGGACCCCAAACTAGGCTTTCTTGTAATGGCTTGACCAGATTCCCTCCCCCGAACGGTCCTCGAATTCCCCTGACTCCTTTTCTCCGGCGAAGGCTCTGCTCTCCTAGCTGGAGATTTGGACCTCCGTTCTCTAGCACTGTTACTGTCGACGGTAAAGGGACGCTTCCGCGGTGCATTTGACGAGGGAGACCGAATCGACCTTTGACTTGTGGCTTCTCTGCTGCTTCGTTTACTCGTCGCTTCTTCTTCTCTCTTTTCTCCAATCGTGGCTGTGGTGGCGGTCGAAAAGCTCTCGGTGACGCTGCACATTTCTGAAAGCTGAGACACCTCGGAGACCTCCTCCTTCGACTCGAATTTCTCAGGCGGAGGTCGTGAGACGGGCATTCCGATTTTGCTCTCTTCCAGGGAGAATGGAACTTGAGTTCTGGAGAAAACCTCTTCCAGGTCGTTGAATCGGAGTTTGCCATCTTGAGGTTGAATGTTGGGCATTTGTGCTTTGGTTTCCGCCGGCAAGAATGGAACTTGAGATTTAGAAATGGGCGTTTCCGAAAGAACCTCTTTGACGGTTTCCTCTTCAGCTGCAGGGGGGGATCTGCTTTCTACTTCAAGGGCGGCATTGGATTTCTGCGCGGCAGATCTGGGGTGGAGGTGCCGGTTTTTAGGGCCATCTGGGTGATGCTTCGAGGATTCTACAGTGCTGACGCAGCAACCCATTTTAGATCAAATGGGGAGATAAGAGGAGAGATTTCAGAAGAATGGGTTCATATATTGCATAATTGAGTGGGAAAGTGATGAAATCTAACGGCTAAAGTGTTGCATTGTTGGTGGGGAAGGGGGAAAACGATGGTGGGAGAAAAGGAGGAAGGAAGAGGCCAGAGGGAAACACTGGAACGAGGAGTGCAGTGTGCAGTGGCGGAGCAGGTTGATGTCTTAAGGATGATTTATAAATTATGAGACCTTAATTTATATTTGCTTAAGTTATAAATTATGGGAGGATTAAATCTTACTACCTAATAATTTGTAAACAACGTTCATATTTAAATAATAAAATATTAGATTATTAATATTTTGATAAAAATAATATTTTTAATTACTTATTGATACTGTGGTAAGTAAAGTAATTGGTCACTTGTTGGCGGAAAAAGAAAAGTAATTGGTCAGTCAAATGATTAGTTGGAGTGGCATTTTATTTTTAAGAAAAAAATCACATTAATCCTTGACATTTATTTGCAATTTTGACAGCTTAATTAATACTCTTCTCATTTTAAATATAGGATTTTTATACACTGTATATAAAAGTCTTTTATTTAGAATCGGAGGAGTACTATTTCTTATAAAATAGTCTCCGTTCCTTAATATAAAACCCAATTGTTGAGTTGGTTTTGATTCTAAATATAAGACCCATTTTTCATTTTAACGATTTTTTTTAAATTACCCCTATAAATACTTCCTTAATCATAATCAAATAGAAGGTGGAGAGAGGGTATTAAGAAAGATGATTATGATGCTTTAGGAAAAATGAGTCACATTTCTTATAATTAACTAACTTACCTAACTTTCTTAATCTAACCAAATTAGTTAAATGAGTCTTATATTAAAGACCGGAAGAGTATTTAGCTGTAATTTTCAAAAAAAAATCTGTAATTTTTTCATTCAACGTCAGAACAACAGTGTTTTTTTTGAGCGAACAAAATAACAATGTTTAATGGATGAGCGACACTTTTTCAATGCTTCAAGGGTGCTGTCATGTCACTTGATAATTTAAAATACCCGAAAACAGTTTAAATCCTTTGGCCGACAAATTCCCAATGTAACTGCATATTCTAAATCCAAACTCCAGTGTAACTGCTGCTAGTTAACTGAGATTGGACATAACTTGCATGTTCCTGTGATAATACCTTCTCCAATTCTTAATATAAGAGCAAGTTGATTAATTTAAATAGATTAAAAAAATTTATTGAGTTAGTTATTTATACTAATTATATATTATTTTTTCTAAAATACCTTTACTAATCATATATTAGCTAAAACTATCATTTGATTGAATATTTAACATGTGTAACTACTATAAGGACTATTTTAAAAAAATAGATAAATATAATAAACAAAATTAATTAGGATCTTTTATTTAAAACCAAGTTAAAAATCAAACTAGTTCTTATATTAAAGACAGTCACATGAGATACTACATGCCAATTGATCATTCGTCACCAATTTTGTAATTCAAAAACATTCATCATCCTCATTTCTTTCCCGTTACAAACTTTCTGCATGCCTTTCTGGTGAAAAAGGAGGAGGAAAGGCAAAGGAAGCTAGACAAGGCTGTCAACGTTATGGAGAAGAAAAGTACTAGCTTGCAAAAGAGAGACAGGAAGAGAAAAAAGATACCCGCCTTTTGAATTATCAAATAATCAAATTCAAATGTGAAATCTAATTATCTCATGTTAAAACCAGCAGAATAACTCTCTTCTTCTTCTTCTTCTAACAATTCATCAGATTCAATTTTTTTGTTCATAATTAGATGCGCCTGTAGATATAACACAGTATTGGCGTTATAAACATTGAGATCAACCAATTTTTAAACATCCAGACATGACGACAAAGATAGCCATTGAATTCCTTCACACAGATAATTGCCAGTGTTCTCTGAAAATGCTTCCAAGAATTAAAATAAGATAGCCGCTAAAATTTTAATGATGCTTACTGCTGTAGATTACTAGAAGGAATAGCATCAGTTTCATTCATTTTAATCATCACTCAAAACCCAACCCCACCAAGTCGTACCATAATCCCGCCAAACAAATAACAAGCCCCCCACACTGAAAATGAACCCCTTGGCATTCCAGATTTCTTTCGAATTCCATGCTTGAGGAAGGTACCATTTGCCAATTCCTTCTCGGACAATGCCATTTGTAACACCCAACTCGGGTTCAAAATTGCAATACCTTTTGAAATAGTTGGATATCAGCCATTAAACAAGTTCAGGTGATAACAGGACGTTTCAACCAGATTGACATAAGCAGATTTAAATGCAGTCTCGGATAAGAGTTGAGGAAGAAAATTTATGTGATTAGAGCAACTGGATAAACAACACTGGTGAGAGGGGGCATGCAATATGTTAATGCATCAGAAATCAGGACATGTTGAAGCAGCCTCTTCCCTTGGCAGGAAAAAAATATTTCCTGATTGAATCTGAATTAATTCATCTGCTTTGTATGATCCGATGATCTCACTACGAGGCCAGATGCAACATTTCGTAGGTCCTATCACGTACAAAGAACACAATTAATCTATCATTCACACCACATGATCAAGAAATGTTAATGCATCTGTCATAATAGAATGGAAAAGTGCCTTTTACAAAGTTTGCACATGTTACAATAATTCAGATTAAAAAAGTGGCATGATTATACTTGCATGTTCATCCCATAGGGATTGGCAAGTGGTAGATCCCAGTTTGAAGTGCCACCCATGCCCATGCATGCGAGTTTGCCAAAATTTGTTAGAATATTATGGCTGTAGGAATCATGGAGTCGTAGATACAGACTATGGGCGGGAAAAGAAATGAATCTGTGTTAAATCTTTTTAAAACCCTGTTTGAGGTCCCACTTTCCAGGTTCTCTAGTTGAATCTTGTCTGCCTAGTAGATATCTCTAACTATGAAACCAACGAAGGTTAAAAGGTACAAGAGGAGTCTCCAAAGTTCAATCCCTGCTAGGCGACACTGGCAAGTGTTTACAGGGCGCGGCTTCTTCAAGAGAAGGAATAATTATTGGCGATCAGTTCACAGGTTTATATAGACTAGACTGATGAAACAGAGTTAGACTATCTTTACTTTGTTAGTTTTTGCTATGGCCCGATGAATGACCTTTATATAGCCAACGGCCGTGACATTGACGACACACTGTTTTTTAAGCATTTAAAAAATGATCTTGTAGGAGTCGATGCCGTTTTGTCCTCTTGATTGTTGTTCTCTTCTTCAATAATATATCCAGTCTTTGAAGTGAAACGTGAAGGTTTTTCTTCCTGTAGTTGGTCGTTTGTTTGGTGATCAGTTGTTGTTGGGGGGGGGGGGACGTTGTGCTTTTTTCACCAGTTGAACTTAAGATTTCAAGTTTGCTCCCCTGATATCTATCTCCGAGACATCCAAACTCCTTGAATTTCTGTAGTCGAACTCATGCCAGGTGGTTCCACGAAGAATCGGAAATGGTGGATGTCACCTTTTAGTAATTTACTTCTGGCGGATAAAAGCTTCTATTTTGAGATAGGCCGGCGAAGATTATAATAGAAAGTACCTTCAAAATTTAGTCAACTGATTTTTTTGAGCCCGAAAATTTAGTGAAGGGATTGATCTAGTAACGTTAAGAAGCAAGATCATAAAAATAATGCAGCTTACACAGCAAGTATAATTACATTCATAAATGATTTACCTCGAGTTAATATAAAATCTATTGATATAAATTTATAGGTACTACAATATGTGTTGTAGTCGCAGAAACTACAAAAATAGCGGTATTCTAAAATTAATCTCAAGTGTGTTCCCATCATTTTTCGTTTTGGCCAATGGTGTAATCCCACTATTTGTTGGTTAAGCTTTCGTCGATTTTTTCCAAAAGGGGCCAAATTTTTTTTAGCACGGACGTTAGTGTGGAGAGTGCATGAAGATTTTCCCTCCATGCGTTGCCTTTCTTTCTCATAGGTCGGGCGCGAACAAGTTCTCATCGTTTTTGTTTGGTGGTTTTCCCAGTAAACAAACTGTATCGACAAGAGAGGCAGGCCTCCGTCCCGTTGGTTCCAAAGCTCAAAGCCTTTCCCTTTCCCTGCCTCTTTTGCAGAGTTCAAGCGCTCTTATATATCCCATAAACGTTCACATTCCCTCGTCTTTCATTTCGATTTCGGCCCCTTTGGTTGCCACCAGTCTGGCTGTTTAGACCTTCTTGTCGGTCCTCATGAGTCGCTACGACAATCCTTTCGATGAGGATGTGAATCCCTTTGCGGTAATGATTTTACTGATAAATCTTACGCATTGAGAGCTCTTTTCTGTAACTTGTTTTGTGCCATTTTCTCTTCGAATCCGCATGTATGTTGTTCCGCGTGCGTTTGGATTTTCTCTTTTTACGTACTCAAACTGTTGACAGGTTAAATGCATGGTTTTTCTGTTTGGCTGGTTTATCGGATCTGTTTATGATATGGGATCATTTTTCTACTGAGATTAATTTAAGCTAAATTCCCATGCATCCTACCTCTGTCGCATGATTGTTCATCTCCTGTAAAGACAATAAAAAGTAATAATGATACATGGGCCATGGGGGTTTGATCCTGTAGGTTTAGGATTCGTGGATAATATCGACTTCTCAAGATTTTTATTAGACCTGCTCAGAATCAGCCCGAAGCTGCTACTAACATTTGAGCAACGCTAAATAACGGCTCTGATTTCTCTCTCTTGTTCCCTTTTTATTTGGACTGACAAGAATGTGTTGAAATTGAGATGTTTTAAATGGACACTGGTAAATTTGTTCAGTAGAATTTAACAGCCTCGCATGACACAATTCACCGATACGCCAAAAAAGTTTAAACTTAAAAGCGAAAAACTAAAAGAAGAAACTAAATGGTATTAGCGAATGAAATTTTCCTGTCTCCATGTTAATCACAAAAATATTAATACAGATATAAAAATATCAAGTTGCAAAATTCAAAGCCGTGAATAATGCAACTCATTTCTCTAAATTCACGTAAAATGCAACGAAATTGGTTTTGTTTAGTTTGAAAATATAATAGTTTCTTCAGATTGGGAGGCAGCGAATCTTCTCTTTTTTCTTTTTCTTTTTGTTTGTTTTTGGGGGAGAATATGCAGTAATCTGCTTTCGATTTCTATAACTGTTTGGCCCATGGAGATAATCATGATACGATTGCTGCTTGCATTAATTTTAAACTACAGATTAAAGATGCCACCTTGAATGTGTTTTTGTGTTATTTCAACTTATGTTAACATCTGTTATTGTTACAATTAAAACGTCATCATCTTATTATTACTACTAGGGTGGATCAAGCAGAGGAAAATCGTCGGGGCAATCAAAAAATGACGGAGGTGGATTCACTAATATCGTAAGCTTTCGCTTCTCTCTCTTTGTACCACAACTTAAATATGCATCAATTTATATCCATCATATTTTTGGCAAACAAAGGAAACACATAATAATCGAATCCCCTGTTTTCGACTGAGCAAACGTGTTACGTGGTTATCGTTCCCCTTCAATTGGGTTTAGGTCCTAAGATGTTATAGTCGCTTTCAGCTGATCTTGGTATTGTCAAAAGCGCAGAACCATCATATAGTATAGAGCAGGGAAGGATTGATTTTCTGACTAACATTCATCCTTCAGACTTTATTTCGACCATTTCATCCCAAAGACAAACGATTAAGTAAAGGTCATGATAGGTTTCTCTTTTAGCCTTTGATCAAAGTTCATATGATTTGTAAACAAATAAGATGGGATGATGATGCATTATTCATCCATCATTTAATTTTGAAAAACCTGGAAATGATGCCTTTAATTACAATCTACTAGTTCTCACCATTTCCTCTTGAGACTCGTGACCTTGATGCCATTATTGATATTTCCCCTTTTGACATCTCAAAGGTAGACAGTAGACTGGATTCCAAGTGTTGAATTGAATGCCAAAATTCTTCTTAGTATTTTCCTTGGTAAAAAATTTGCTTATTCCTTCTTTGACGTCAGGACCTCAAAGCAAAGGAAGCGGAACTTAAAGCCAAAGAGGCTGAACTGGCTAGGAGGGAACAGGTGACTTATCGTGATATCTTGTTTTATTGATGACCTTTAAGTTGGCTTGCTTTTATAAGAAGCTGGGAGCCAATCTTGCTGTGCTCAATTCATTGTTAATATGCCACTGAATTTTGTTAAAGGTACTGCCAATACGAAGTGAAAGTTCAATACCAGGGGCCTATTTGGCATCTGCAGTTCACGTTAATTAATTTGAACAGATTTGGCCATTTGTCAGTTGTCTTCATTAATATTTCATCTTAGCAAATGACAGTTCCTTGTATTGAGTTGTAGTTTGATATGTTGATGACCTGTAATTTGAATTTCAAAGGTGCCACACTTCTTCACTTTTACATGAATAGGATCCTATAAGTTAACCTAGTCATGGGGCCGATATTATCTGTTTTAAGAAGGGACTTCATCTTCCCATGATGTTTTGCAGGAAATAAAACGAAAGGAAGATGCTATATCACGCGGTACGCTATTTATCTATTGTCATGAAAGCCAATCAAAATAATGGGTTTTGTTTGCAAATTTACAATTTTTTCTTTCTGGCAGCTGGAATAAAGTTAGAGGTAAAAAATTGGCCATCTTGCCTCCCCATCATTCATCACGACGTGGCAAATGATATACCAATCCATCTTCAGAGGATGCAGTATGTTGCGTTCTCAACACTTTTGGGTATGTCGATGTCTTGTATTCTGTGTACTAAATTGTTTTATACTCTAGTTGTGTCTAATCACGGCATAGCTAATGACCATTTCGTCTTTGTAATAATGTACAGGTTTGGTTTTGTGTCTTGTTTGGAACCTCTTTACAATGCTTGTGGGTTGTTTCAACGGGCAAGGTTCGGTCCACAACTAGATTTTGGCCCATGTATTATTCATTAATTTTGGTCTTGCTTCCCTTAGAGGGACTTGTCTTCTTAACTTGTAGGTCCTGCAATCTTGTTCCTCGCTATTATCTACGTCATTTGTGGCATTCCTGGAGCCTACATATTATGGTACCGCCCTCTTTATCGTGCTATGAGGTAGTACTCCATCTCATGAAGTCCATTTTTTTTTCTCGTCTGCCATCTATCTAAGTTCTATCTTTTGTTTTGCATTCGATGCGTTTCTGTTTTGTAATTGTCTTCCCATCTTGTGTCACAGGACTGACAATGCTCTCAAGTTTGGCTGGTTCTTCCTAAGTTACATGGCAAGTTCATATATTTTCTTTGTCCGCAACATTCATTCCGCATCTGCACAGGAGTTTTGCTCATCTCATGTTTCACTCTTTTTCTCCAAGCAGGTTCACATCGGTTTCTGCATTTACGCTTCAGTTGCCCCTCCATTTGTCCTTGCGGGACATTCTCTCACGTAAGTTTCCATATGGGATTCATTCATTAGTTATATTATTGACTTCACAATCTCCTGTTGTTCATATGAGCATCATCATCAAGTCATTGCATTGTTCTCCTGTATCTGAGTGAACTAATATGCCCGGCGTATGATTTTTCGCTATCAACAGAGGATTTTTTCCTGCGCTATATTTCATAGGCGACCATCACATGCTTGGGGTAAGTTCCAATTTCGTATTATGTGCGGTACTTAAAAGACTAAAAACTATCACTGCCTTTTCAACAAGCAGCATTTGATGGAGGATATTATGCTATATATCTTTTGACTTGCAGATATTATATTTTGTTGGGTTTGGATTGTTCTGCGCCGAGTCTCTGCTGAGCATCTATGTTATTCAGGTTTTTATAACTTACCTTTGGCTGAGGCATTATTCTCTTGAGAGCATTCCTTGTTTGATGGGTCTCCATTTATAATTTTGCAGCAAGTACTAATGTACTTCCGTGGAAGTGGCAAGGCTGCAGAGGCTAGGCGTGAGGCCGCCAGGAGCACCGTCATGGCAGCTCTATGACTGACTGACTCCGGCCACTTTCTGCTAATCACCCTGCTTCCCTTGTTCTTTGATTTTGATGTCTTCTCTTAGGTTTTGGAGTAGAATACAAAGATAGAAATTCTAGTAATGCATTTAAATAAACTTTTTCTTCTTGCTCCCCCCCCCCCAAAAAAAAAAAACAGATGCTATCTCTATTCATGATGTGTTTCATAGATTATTGTTTACCGTCAAGTTTTGTCTTTGTATTCGCAGTCCACACTTGATTCTGAGTTGTTTATGGTGAAAAAAGGGATATGTACATTATGCAATGTTTGCTTCTGTAAATAATTGGTAAATTCTGTGAGGGTGTAATATTTACACAAATTGATGAAGGTAAACTGTGACGTCGATTTTACGAAGGCTCGGTGTCTGTTTGGAAACTTGGATATGATAAGGAAATCATTTTCAGAATTTTGTCAACATTCAAATTTAAGTTTTCTCCAAGTGAATAGTAATCCATATAGCTGGAGATAAATGGGTGTATTAATGAATTCTCTATATCCTGTGGGGTATTTATGCCACCCATTTTTGAGGTACTATCCAACACTAGATGAGTTTTCTTTTTTCTTTCTTTCTTCGCCTTCTTCTGAGTGCAACGTTTTGCTATTTTTAAAACATTCAAATGCTTCAGGTTGAGGATAAAACAATTTTATAGGATTCATATTCCAAATAGAACGCCCCCAAAATCAACGGTGCCCGACTGACTCCCATCGATAAATTTATTGCGTTCCGTTATACGGTCAAATGTAGTATGATGGAAATAGATAAATAATTAGAATTGAAATTAATTGTATAGTACTCCCTTATACTAGTGTGTATAAAGGTTTTATATTTAGAATCAGAAAAGATCAGCATGTATTACAGGTGCCCGCTGAAGGCCATTACTTCTGTTATCATTATTATCTCAAGTGGGGCCGTGCTACTTGCAGCTCGACTAGCACCTGGCTTTAGCCATCATCAACATTTATTATACGTTAAGGGTGTCTATATATGCCTGTGTGTGTATATGTAAGTGTGTATAGACAATCCTCTGTCCCCATAAGAAAACATTTCAAGCCAGGCAGCTTCCATTAGATTGTCCTTGTGTTCAGGGGCTTAAGGCAGCATGGTGTGTTTCTGTTTCCTGGTGGACCAGACACGGCAAGTGCAGCGGAGCAAACCGGCGGCCGGGCTTTGTTCGAGATGCGGCGGCGGAGCTAGCGTGGCTGATATGAAGACGGCCACCAGATTTTGTCACGTCCCTTTTTATTGGAAATCCTGGAGAGCCATCGTTTGCACTTTTTGTGGATCCATTCTTCGTTCTTACCATTAGTTACATCATCCTTCTCTCACCATATCTTCTTCCCGGCCACCCCCATGTTCCCTTTTCTAACTACCTTTATTCATATTATTTCATCTCCTTGTCTTTTTAAGATTTAGAGACATTCTTTCTTCTTAAATATGCTAGAGAAGTTCCCTCTCTGTTTTTTCCTCCTCCTCCTCTTGGAAAAGAAGACAGAGTTCAAGACAGAATAGAAAGCAACATCAAAAGCTATTAGAGGGTCTATTGCTTGCAGTAACAATATCGTCTTAATCATACAGGTCATGTAGCGCCAAGGGGTTGTTGCTTTTTCCGACGACTGGAAGAAAGATTGCGTCTTCTGAGTCCTGTATCAGTCTAAAGCAGGGAGGCTCTTCTCTTTTCCCTCTACTCTGGAACCTTTTCTCTCTTGAACGGGAAAAAGTTATTAGTTTGATCTAGGCTAGTAGAGCTGTATTTGTGATCTGGAATGTATTCTTAATTTTACATAACGATTGACTGAATCAGTTTTGCTTTTGTTTTACTTCACTACAACTAAAATCTGAGTTGGAATCCTGTGATGTCGGCGACGACGCCGGTTATACTGAGCAGAACTCACTGGTAAGATGAGACAGGGTCTAAGCTGACATACATATAACAAATGAATTCCAATCTAACTGTGAAATCAAAACTGATTAAAGTTGGAACAGAGAATGTAGCTTCGAAAAAGGTAAAGGGTGCTATATTTTGTACCCTGGCAAACAAATTATTAGCAGTTCGACTATCCCTCAAACAGAATGAACGTCTTCATTTACTTTAATCTTGAAAGTTGAATTACCACTAAGCAATGATCACACTTGTTGCGGTACAATCCATGTTATTATTATAGGTACTCTAATGACTCTCGCAATTTTAAGACACTGCTAGTTTCTCCAAATTGGCAAGCACCTTCTTAAATGCACGTGACTGTTGGCGTCAAGAGTACTAAATAAACACGGGAAGGGAGTTAAATGCAAAACTGCGGGAGGAAGTTGGATAACTGGAGCCAGCTAGATGAGTTTGCAATGGGACTTCGAGCACTTATTTGGACGCCTGGGGGAGCGTTTCAGGTTTTAATGTCTTTCAACGGCGCTTCTTCATAAACTGTGGCAGCAACAGATAAACTAGGAATCCATAACTCCCATAAATGGATGCTACTCAACCGCACATTGATTCATAGAGTCTGAAACCGTGAAACAGTTGTTGAAGCCATAGAATGCTAAAAAATCTTCCAGGCCATGCTGCATAATAGAGCAAAATATGGGTGTTGACCGCAAATAATTAAATCTGGGCGGCGAAAGTTTAGGTTGTGGAGGCCTATTTGACCAATTGGTGTATGGCTTTTTTTTAATTTTCAACTGCTCTCCTTAATTCTGTGCCCTTGACCGTGTGTTGGAACATGAAGCATAATCGCTGGCTTAGTTGGTGAAGGTATTAAATACGAGAAAGCAGAAGGCACATGCGCAGAAAGAGGCATGCATAAATGTCTCAACCGTCAGCTTCGTTTTAGTGTTTCATCCCATGCACGGAAAGGTCGTATAAGTGGATTCCCCCGTACTTGGTGGGCCATATGCCAATAATATACTATAATTAATTAATGAGGAAGATTTCCAATCAACATAACAGACTAATGAGGATTTTGGATTGGGCCTATTCAATGAGCATAAGGCCTCATGAAGTGTGCTTCCCAAACCATGCACGACAAAAGCCCATCTCGCAGCTGGCTTAACAAAGGGACTCCGAAACCTTTTGAATTTTAATTTCTGTTTCATTTTAATTATTGTTTTTTTGTTTCAGTGTTACTTTTGAATTTTTGATGGGGGTATGCTAAGTTTTTTTTTTTTTCACTTACACCTATCAGGGATATTTCAAACATTACAAAATTACTTTACATTAATAAAGTAAATTGAAAATTAAGAGATCATCAGGTCGTGTAAAAACAAAACTGAGGGTCAAATTATATTAAATTAGTAAATCAATCAAAATAGTTAAAACCACAAAAAAAGGCATGCTTCTAAGGTTCCCCCCCCCCCCCTGCCAACCATGCTTTTAAGTTTTAAACGACTGTGTAAATGTCGCATCCTGATTTTGAATGGTGATTTGGGCCGTGTAACTTATTCAGTGCAAAACATGGCGCCACTAGGGTTTAAGGAGGGAGTCGCTTTGACGCTCTCCTCAAACAAACCCGACCTCTCGTTCTCGTGAGAATGTAAAACTATAAATGTCTGTATTCTTTTTGCCCTTTACGGACTTTCACTTCTTCAGTCCTTCCTTCCATCTTTCTCGTAGCCGTATAGCCTGCCTCTCCACAAAGGCATGGCGTGGTTTACTGAAGACACTGAACTCAACAATTCCAAGGATCCTTTTGAGACCCTTGACCCCCCTCCCCCTGACTTCTCCTTTGCCGATTCCCTCCTCGATTTTGATTCCATCCAAAGCTGGTTTGATTCTAGTTCTTCCCCAGATATGCCTCCCCTTCTCCATAGCACCACCAAGCTCACTCATTCTGACCCCTCCATTCACATGGTACCCCCCACTGTTCTTCCTCGGCTCGACCCTATTGAGGTTCCGCAACGTGACCAGTTGGTGACTTTGAGCGATACCATTGAGGAAGGAATCGGAAAAATTAGTTTGGCGGGTGGGTCTGAAAAGCCATTGGGAAATGGGGGCTATGCCACTCAATGCCAAGGATTGGTGGGTGGGGGCGAAAGTTCGGAGTCTGGAAATCCCAGTACATCTTCGTCGTTGTCACCTTCTTCCACTTCTCCTGCGAGTAGTTGTAGAAGCGATAGTGTTGGTCATGGTGATGATGACCAAGAGGAAAGTACATATCCGGACAAGAAAGGGGAGGTTATTAATGAGGAGCTTGAAGAAGGTGAGATACGAGGTTCTGCTGACGTGAGAGAACTGGTTATTAAAACTGCAGTTGTTGATGACGACGAAGGAGAAGATTATGAGAAGATGGTTGGCTGGAGCGATATGAACGACGCTGACGAAGATGAAGATGACGACGCTAGTGGCGGGCCAATCAGGTCGAAGAATGAGCTGGAGGTACTTTTCTTTGAATATCGTAGTTCGTTATGGTAGCGAGAGAGGGTCTTTCCGCGCATGCTGATTCTTAATTTTTTTTTTTTCAATTTTTTTTACTAATTTGGCCGGATATTGAAGCTTTTCTGGGACGTCTGAGCCAGTGAGCCAGTATAAATCCCGAGCTTTCTGGGGAACAGAATCATAATTTCTCCTCTCCACGTGCTGACGGACCTCTTGATGGATTTGAATCCTGTGATTTTCTCTCAAATATATGTACATGTTTATTTGATTTCCTCTGTTGTCTGTTTTGATAGGCCAGTGCCCGGATGTATGTATTTAAAAATGCAGTCTTTGACCGGTTAGTACGATCTTATTGGAAAATTTTCAAAATCTTATATTTCATTCAACATTCAGGACGAGATAACTTTTTTTTTTTAAAAAAAAAAAATCATTAATTTTCCGAATTTTCCCAAGTATTGTTAAGTCTATGATAGCCAAAAATGGGGGAAACGAAGTCCTTGTGTGCTGTTGTTTAATTTTGGTTCGGGGCTATTTTTGAACTCTACAAAATTCGCAGGTCCTTCCTTCAGTTCCTCAAGTGGATGTGACCTTAGAACCACGCCATCAAATGCTGCCAGTGGGAGTTGTTACGTCGGTAAGTTCATATAACACCGTTCTCTGATGAGGGAAGTAAAATAATTTCATTCCAGGATAAAGTTTGTTCATTGTGAGTTTAGTTTCTGAGATTTCACCTAACTGCTGAAAGATAATATGACTGAGGAAAATTAATTGGACGGGCATCAATGATAGTTGGAATCAAAACGACCATGTTGAACATTTCACAGGTTATGGGCTCTAAACTCATTGTGGAGGGACTGGAGAAGCATGACCCTCTCGACGAGGGTTCAATTCTCTGGATGTCTGGAAGCAGAACACCACTAGGATTTGTTGATGAAGTCTTTGGACCTGTCAGAAATCCTTATTATGTTGTGAGATACAATTCAGCAAATGAAGTTCCAAGGGGCATCTATGAGGGTGCTTTGATCTCATTCGTTCCAGAATTTGCCAATCCTGTGCTCAATGAGAAGGATCTGTACAAGAAAGGATATGATGCGTCAGGTGTGAATGATGAAGAGGTTACAGATGAATTGGAGTTTTCAGACGACGAGAAAGAAGCTGAATATAGGAGAATGCAGAAATTGACAGAAAGGGGCATCAATCATCAAAACCGAAGAAATAGGAAAGCTAACAGAAAAAAAGTTTCCCAGAACGCAAGAGCAAAGCTCGCCATGCCATTACTCAATCAAGGAAATAGCCCAACCTTACTAGGCGTTGGACATGGTCATGATGGGACAAATACTATAGCCCCACCGTTTTCATTTCCGCACACAAATTTGAATCCTCTCACGGCTTCGAATTCACAACCTGCCCTGCTACCTAATGGACTTCCTCCAAATGGCGCACCATGGTTTCCTCAAAACGCTTGGAATTCTCATCAGTTTCCTGCACCGGCAATTGCATTTCGACATCAGTTTACCTCCAGTCAGGGATCACTATCAACAAACATGATCGGTGGAGTGCTACCGCCCAATGCATTTGCTCAACCCGCATATGCTGCCGGCCTAGTGGGTCAAAAGCAAATAACGCCTGGGTCGAGCTCCCTGTCCCACAGCCTGCGGTTTCATCCGCCTAATTGTTCTGGAGAAAATCAAATGCATTTCCAAGGGAATCATAATTTGCGTCCCGGTACTACTTCAGTCAATAGTCACTTTTCTGGTCAATTTCGTCCAGGTTCATCTGCTGGACGTGGAAGAAAAACACCTCATCGAGGTGGTCGTAGAGATTGGTCCCCAATTTTGTGAATGTGTTTTTACCGTACATGAAATAGATCACATCAGCGTGTAGTGTTCTGAAGCCTGCTTGTTTAGAATTGTAAAACCAGTTTTTTGTTCATTGATATTTTGGGTTGAATTGGGCCATTGAATTTTGAAATCAATCCAATGAGGCCCACAATTAGGCAGAAAGAAAGCTTGCCACTTTCTACCCAATAATTGGTATCGGTTGCTTTGGGATATAACCTGGGGTTGAACCAATTAGCCCCCAGCATCTCATCTTTGTGGTTTTTTTTTTTTTTTGGTACTGGCTGTTTCTCTTTCGATTTCCAAACGAGAGAAGACTGGTTGACGAGGTCAACTTCCAATTGAGAATGCTGCGCTACAGTGATTTATGAATTATGATGAGCTAGTGCCTAGTAGATATCAATAGCAGCATCGTAGTGGAAAGATGATTCATGCAAAAAATCAAGTAATCAACATCTAAGTTGGCATTTTTATCAAAATTCTTTGTCCAAAATCTAATAGCTTCATCTTTAGGGGTGTTTGGCAATCCCAAAAAGTGCTTTTCAGAAGCATTTTTTTGCAAAACGAGACAAATTCTTTCACATATTTACTTGTAAACTGTAAAAGCACTTCTAAAACTATAGTTTGGTTTCCTATCTAAATACCCCCTTAATCTTAACACATAAAGCGTCTCAAGTGTGCGCTTTTATGGTATCGACATGCTTCGATAACATCTTTTGGTTGTTCTTGATGGATTGTTGAAGCAAGTGGCTTTTTTTAACCCTCTCCCTTTACCAACTTTCCATCCAAGCAACTTCTGATTTTTATTTCATACCATTCTTGTAACTTCTAATTCATCCCACCAAGAACGTAGCCAATGGTATATCTTCCTCCTAAATCCAAAGAAAACTTCTTGCAAGATATTTCTCCTGAAATCTAAACATAGATGAATCCCTTGTACCAAAAACAAAAAAAAAAATCATAGATGAATCCCAGCGGGAGTGAAATGCTGCAAGCCTACTGATGTTCTTGGAAAAGTAGGTCTCCATCGTAACAGCGCTTTTAAGTTTCTTAGAACCATCTATAAAGACTCGTTTTTTATGATGATTCCGGGATTTAATTCTCTTTGTATGTCGTATAAGCCTCAGCCTATTATATTTTCAACAAAATAAATGGATAAATAAACCCTTCATCTTCGTATAACCTTGTTGGGGGCTTCATGCTGGAGGACTTTTGGAGCACTTCACGCAACTGTGTAGTTTTCTCAAGAAAATGTAAACTTAGAGAGAGAAAGAGACCGAGAGAGCATAATCCTTGAGAAATCTGATAGAAGAGAATAACTTACTGATATTGAAATTTGAAAAACCAGTCAATGAGAACAATGAATGTTGAACTCTGACTGGGAAATTCAGTTCAATTAGGAAATAATTTTCCATGGGCTTAAATGGCCCATATGAAGAGTAGGGTGAATATCACTGCATTAGAACTTCACAGCACAATCTGGCATTCAAGCTTTGGCGTTCCTAGTGAAGTCAGTACAAGTTTGGCAACTGCAATCCGAAAAGCGGCAGATATCGCAACCAAAGCAGACGCAAGAAGTGCAACCTTTGCATGTTGGAGAACGTGTACATCCTCTGTAAACTCTGCGACTCGCTCGTTCTTCCTCATCATCACAGGTAATTCTGAAATGTAGAGTATTGTAACAATTTATGATTGCTCCATAAATATGCAGCCCACTATGGAGTTTTAGCATGGGTTAACATACAATATACACACAGGAATTCACATTTGAACTTAATGGCAAATACTCTTCTAGAGGTTGCATTGAAAAGATAATCGACTTGTTCAAGCATTATGGGCAAGGAAATTTTTTTTAAAATTAGAATGCTTATCTGCTCATACCAAATCAGTACGAGATGCTAAAGAAAAAAAGAAAAAGAAAATCAGACGTTAAAAATAGCTAAACTACAAGTCTCATACATTCATTGTAATGCACATCTCACTGGGGACAATCTAGACCTAATAATGGGAAACTAAGAGTGGAATCAATATTCCAGGGCTAGACCAGCCGTTAGCAAAAACAGATTGAAAACTTCAAGGATAGGTTACCAAACCAGTATAACCAGGATGGGAAATATAGGGAAAACACTAATGTCAAAGACTAACACCAAGCGCATGCCTGATTAGTTCTTTGAAGGATTAAGATAAAGACAGACGATGCCACACCTAACAATACGCAACTGTTATGGCACAATGTCATGGAATTAAATAAATCTTATTTGGTTTAGCTTATATTGACAAAGGCTACCATTCTACCAACATTAACAATATTGCAGTTACAAAGATAAAATTCTTTCTTCCAGGGTTCCAAGTATTATTCCCACTAAGACCTACACTTCACCAATCTTTATAATTTAAAATGAAAGGTTTCTTCTAGGTTACTGGCCAAGGGTAAATGAAAGAATTTGATACGCAAAGCTATTTAAGATAACCAGAAACCAGCAGAATATCAGTTCACAATGTTAAAAATCAATATCAACTATTCTATTTCAATCCGTTTATCACAACAATAGAGTTCTCCACCATTTTCTTCACGTTATATTTTGCTCTCTTCACCGTTTCAATGCCTGTGAAAACGTCTCAATAGACAGCGGTCAGCCAAACCCAATGTTGGGAGTCATACACTTCAGAACGGAAGCATCTAAATCCACATTAGGAAATCAACTATCAACTAACATTTAATCATGCATTTAAATCGTATTGGAACATTACTTTCAGAGAGGTCTTTATTTAAGCACTACATGTTTCTAAAACATTTTCGGACCCAAGCCTGGTTAAGCTGTTTAAGGCTTTAAGCACGTAAGTTACAGCCTTGAAATTGTCTAACTTCACATGATTTAAACCGCCACTAACAAAGTAATATAGCAAGGCCCATCACCTGACTGAAGGCAGACAAAACTTTAGAATAGTCTGTTGCATCTAATCAAGAGAATCAAATGAAACAAAAACAAGATATAATGAACAAAAAATCAAGCTCTCTCAGGCTTAGACCATGCTAAATTACTGGCACAACACTGGAAATTAGCAAGAATCCAAAGATGCCTTCTTTGGAAGGCTTTGTCTCAGATCATCTCTCCTAAAATATTACATCTATGTTCAATCTTCGGATGTCATCCATGGGCAAGATAACAAAAAATACATATGCCCATCCTTATTATATACCATTTTCCTGTTAATTCAAAATATAGAAAGACGATATCTGGCAAATGATAACTCATGCAAGAGAGGAGTATAATTCAATGAAAAGCAGTAGCACTAATCCAAAGCATAGGCATCATTAGAACTCCTATTATAGTCAAGATTTGCTGACTCAAAAGTTTTCAGGAAACGTGTGATATCTGGTACTTTTTTCTTAGTTTCGTTGCATTAAATCAGAATTCCATATACGAGTTCAAACATACTTGTCATATGGCAGATCAGAGCATTTCCAATTTGCATCTGCCAAAGCATCATGATGAATGCGGCATTCTTCTCTAGTCCTCAGACGGAACCTGCGCAATTTGTCGCACATAGTACAGTGAACAAACTCGTCACGGTGATATGTCCGTCCATTATGGGACCTGTTGGCAGTTTTTGACACCTGATTGTAGTATTTGAGCAGCACTGTTTTACACAAGGGAACTTTCTCCCCGTTAAGTATTACCCAGACATTATTCTTCCATTTCCTGGCTGTCTCCCTTCCGGAGTGCTTCTCAAATGCAGCTGGAGACAACTTGCCTAGGCATAAAAAACCATTAAGCAAATAAGGTGATGACATTAGGATGAAGAAGACTCACTCAGATAACTTTCTAATATAACTACTAACATGCCATTAGAGACTTAAAATTTTGAAATATATTTTACTTTATCAATACATAAAGCACAGTAGAATCTTTAAGATCACCACATTACTACTTAAAATATCAAGCCAAAAGTCAACAACAGTTAGTGATGCTTGCAAAAGAATTGGTAGAAAAAGGTTATAAAAAAAAAATTGATAAATTGTTATCTACAGGATTTTTCTGCAAATTGAGATCCTATTCCTTGGAATCATCAGAGTCCTTCTTTGCCCGAAACGACACTCTACTCAAACCATTGTGCAAGCAAAACAATGCACAGAGATGAATAATATCCTCATCGTGTCCAACGTGACGACATATGAATGATGCTACAAGAACGGGACCTGAGAGTCCAACCGCTGCAAGAAGGCAATCATTCACGCCATCGTAGATTACTGAAAATCAGCCTCCTATGCATACGCTATACATGGATGGCCTATTTCATCACGCGTATGAGAATGTGATAGAACAGCAGCAGAAATAGTATAATTATAACCAGAATGTAGACTTGGGATCACATATGGCTTCTCACATTCTACTCAACAACAAAGACTGTAATGACTTTCTTAATTCGAAGCCCGTAGGACACCTAGAAGTACGATCAAATCTCAACGGTAATGAGATATTATTCCGCAGGTTCAATATTTTTTATCGATCAACCAGTCATGTTCTGCTCCCAAAGACTCCATAAGAAACAAGAACTTGACACATTAACATAACTCTATTATCCGTAAAGAAGCGCGTTCATTGAGACAAATCAACATTTACTTCAACTGTGCAGCCAACTATAGAAAAGATTATGTGCGTAGCCATCATTGAAAACTCCAAACCCAAGGCAAATTAAACAACCGAATAATAACACCAACCAACGTCAGCAGTAATATGACCAAAAACTTCGTACACACAGGAAATCTTCATGCGGAGGAATCAAAAACTTATCTTTAAAAACTATATGGAGAAGAGAGAGACCTTCCTGGCAACCAGGCGTGCATTCACAGGTGATTTCGAGGTACCCATTAACAAAAACCCTAAGCCTTCCAACAGCGTCGCCGTATCTGTGGCTAGTACACCCACACGTTACCTCCACGTAGTCCCCGACTCTCTTCATGCCACTCAGCTCCTTCAGCTCGTCATCACTGAACATTGCTAAATCACTTTCTCTCTCTAACCCATTCGCCATCTTTCCCTCTGCGATAAGGAAAGACTCTGTTTCGGTTAAAGAAAGCAAGAAGGAAATCCACAGGATATATGGGAGGGAAATCGAATAAAGGGTCGAGAAAATTGCGGCGAGAAATCCAGGAAAGTACAAGAATATCCTCCAAAGTCTAAATGATAAAGTTGCAGTGCAAGATGGAGAAAAACCCAGAAAAGCATATAATGAAGAGAAAACTGAATAACACGCTTCTCCAAGGGTTACTCCGAGAGATCTGGTGGAAAAAACGTTGAAATATTAGACAGAGAAAGAAAGTAAGCGGTAGAGAGAGAGAGATGGTAATGGGGGTTCAATGAATGAGCTGGCGAAAGCTAAACAAAATAACAAATGTCGTGAGGTGAAGGGGTTAGAGGCTTAGGGTGCTATTTGCATGTATATTGATATGACATTAGGAAGAGGGGGAGGGAAAGAGGGGGGGAGAGAGACGAGGAAAGGTCGCTTTGGGGTCAGCAGTCAGCACTTTTGTTTATGGGAAAACCTGGCTCATGAAAGACGAGGAGGTTTCGATATCTGTAGTTTTCTTTATTTTTTTACCGCATCAGGTTTTAGGACGTTGCACCTTCTGGTACCACTGTTCTCGAGGAGACAGTTCAAGTTCCACCAATACTGCATTCCACAGTGGACGAAACGAAATGGAGTTTAAGGGTAAAATTTCTGCGATCAAAGGATGCATGAACAAACCCGCCGAAAATATAAAACGGAGAAAGACTTCAGGAGGAACTTGATTCTCTACTACAGAAACTGCAATTCAGTTTCGTATGGCTTATATGAGCTGCTCGAACTTTTTTTGAGATGTGAGAACAGCCATTAATGACTGCCTGAAAAGGTAAAACTGGTGGTAACGTTGGTCTATAATGAGATTATACATAAACTGACGTACTTCCGTCATATCAGTAGTTTTATGGCGATAGTAATTGGAGGCGGATTATGCGTTCGGAATTCAAAGTCCCATTTATTGTTATCATGCTCCCTGCCTGAAAGTGTACTCCAAATAAGCTAACTCTCAATGATGATCTATGTGAACATACAACAAAAAGCTTACAAGCTTATATAATCATGACCCTTTTGTATGGTTTATATTTCGCAACTAGCAAAATTCAGTGCATGGAAATTCATTAAATAATAAGAAAGTCCATAAAAAGTATTGATATGATCCATGATAATATCCGGCAACATGTTAAAACTCTAAGCAAAAGGAGAATGAATTCTGCCCCACAAAGAAAAGATGGGGCGGGAAACAGCCAGCTTGATAATCACACTAATGTGACAACTTCACAGATATGGAAAATATTATTTGAGAATCTCCTCTGCATAGTGATAAAGCGTAACTGTGACTCGATCTCCAATGGCAGGCTATTTATTTTTTTCTTTCCTTTCAAAGGAGAATATGCCTTTCAATAAAGAAAAGAGGGGGGGATTTATAGAAACTGAATTACTAGAATATATCACAGTTGTTGTGCTAAACACGAGCCCTGTCAAAAAAAAAAATATTTTATATATAATCTCTGAATGCATATTAGTTGCTATTTCATGTAGTGGGAGCATTTGCGTGCCAAAGCCACTTTGTGGGAGTTCAATTAAAAAACGCTATAGCTCTTGTTCCCCATACGCGCGCCTATTATTCATTAAAGACACACTCCGTGATGGTTACCTTTCAACGAACGGTTCTTGTCTTGCGTGCAATTTTAACTAGTCAAACAGGCAGACAAATCGCAATTACTTTGTGACTATTTCAATCTCTGCTATCGCCACAAACCCCATATCCGTTCTGCAACATATCATACACACAAACATACTTCAAGCAGTCGGCTTCCGGAACATGCAATTTAGCATATATTGAGAGAACCCACCAATTAAGAGATCTACCTGATATGCTGTGTTCAAAGATTTGAGAGGAAAATGTTAATTTGAAGATAAAATTCTTGTTCTGGTGTCAATCAATTGTATACCAGTCACATAATTTTTCATTGGCCAGCGGACTACCTGAGGCCCTCAGATGGGGAGGAAGGGAGTGCCTCGAGGTGCTATGAATATGATACAGTCATGGTTTTGGCAGGAGAGTAAAAAAAGCAGAGGATGTAAGGGTTCGATGGCGTCATTCTGTGTGAAATAGGCCATGATAGGAAAAGGGAAAAGAAGTGGTAAAAATAGGACTCTTTTTACTGTGGCATGCAATTTTGTTGATGATTGGATCAGATATGCTCTATTGAATCCACCTACAACTCTAGTGGTCGTTTCCAATTCAAATCAAACAGTATCCCCACAGAGCCAAGCAGTGTGCCAACAAATGAAGCATATAAAATCTTCCCAAGATAATAATGTGCATCATATATACTTTGTCTCCTTTATATATTTTTCAACGATGCAAAAAGTGCCGTCTACACGGCATATATAACAATGGCAGACTTTTCCACTCCAACGACCAAATAGTGATGTTGTGCAAGTACTTTCCTGCCGTGAGTTGGATCAAAATCTAAAGGAATCGACTGGCATAGGATTCTATAAATATTGTTGGCAACTTGGCATCCCAGGCCAATTTGCTGAGACGAATCATGCATGCGCTGCCTCTAGTGCCCCTCAGTTCTCGGCATCTCATCTCTCCCTTGCTGAATAATAAAAATTTGTTAGGTGGTCACCAAGCCAGCTACTATATTTGACTTGTTGCCACGTCAATTTTTCCCCCACTCTCCCGCAGAATCCAATGAAAAACTCTACATGTTGAATACGTTCAAGCACTAAAAATAACCCAGACAGATTCTGTCACGAGTGATCTGATCGATCTGCTCACACGCCACCCCAACTCATCCGAAAAAAGGAGAGCCACGCCAGTCCAAAAGAATCCTAGCGATCGACAACATCAAAAGTAGGATGCAGCAAGCACTGATTATGGTAGATTTGAATAATCTCTGGGTGGGTTCTAGTCTTTATCAGATAATGTTATAAAATGTTGGGACCTGGAGCTCGTGTCATTGAGTAGTTTTTTAGATTTATATGAGGACAATATTTTATTACCGTCATACCAAGAGAGATATAAACGGATGGAAATATTTAAATGATCAGATAGTAGAGGGCTCAATTGAGCAATACCATACTGTAACAGCAAAGAGATTGTAACGTGGGGGAGTTGGGGGTGGACGGACGAAATCAAAAAGGGGTGACTTTGGGGGATGAGAGACGAATGAGAAGCAAACGCAGGGGCCTCCTTAGTGCAAGTGATGAGGTCAGGCCTTGGGTTGCTGCGGGATGCTCTGCGGTGCAGGATGCCCTATACTTACATTGCCTGCGACCATGTTGGTGTTATTTATATGCGTGGGTGTGGGTGTGGGTGAGAGGTGGATGTCACAGCGTGGATAGGACGATGAGGCAGCTTTTGCAATAATGGAGAGTGTGGACCTTGGAGATGATTACGCTGAGCGCTGCTCACATTTCGTCACTATTTTCAGCAACGTACTTCCTCCTCACAATCATCTGCCCACTTTTATATTGTCGCCTTCCCACATCACTCGCCTTCTCCTTCGCCTGTTCCTCCTGCCGACAACCATTCTCTCCCCCTCCTCACTCCTTTCACTGCATAAGATCTCCTCCCCAATAATGGGCTCAATTTATCCCATGCATATTACGTTAAATTGTTGTCCCGTGCATAAATAATATAACATTAGATATTCTAATATAACATAGAAAAACTGAGATAAAACTATCATTTCTTAATTTAAAAAAAAAAATTAATACGTAGACTGACATGTTAATTAGCACAGGTCTAAAGAATTCGGCACCGTTTTTATATTGTACATGCATATATAGATATTTGTAGATGAGGGATTTATTTTCGTTCATCTGTTATCAATTGAGTTTGACCTTTTTTTTTTTTTAACCTTGACGAGTTGTGGAGGAAGAAAGGAGCCAAGTAGCTAACCCATCCCATTTATTAGCCATCCTTCTTTAGGCTTCCTTGTGACCACGCGGGCCAACAAAAAGCGTTTCCGGCCTAAGAGGAACCGTCTTAGCCCATACAATTTCGAGATAACCCAATGCCCCCTGATTCTTCGGGTCGGGACCCTAAACTCAAATTTACTTTGGTTTCCCTTCCTAAGTCACCAAAACAACAAATCACAAACAAAAATTGCATCGCCGTTTGTGAAACTGAAACCAAAAGGACTGTAGTAGTATGTGTGAATCAGGCTAAGGAATAACGGCTTCAGAAATGTAGACACCTTTAGATAGGGGGAAAACAATATATCACTGTGGTGACATCATCCCACATGAAGTGTTCAATGTCTTAGATGGAAGTATTATAGCTGTCTTAAAACTTTAATTGCTTTTGAATAAACAATGTCTATTTATAAACGGCACTCAGCATAGGATAAGGGGTAGAAAGTCTTCTTAAAGAACATGCCAAATTCATGAATCATGGCCATTACCCATTGTGTTCATTCGTAACACAAGCAAAGAAACTCCCAGTCATAGTCAAGCTCAAGCAATTCCTCATCAGATAGCAAAGGGTATTATAATAAAATCACGAGAGGGAACATGGGGAAACTCGAATAAGAAAGCCAGTCTCCAGAATCAGCGCCCTGACACAGTCTTAATGGTAATGCTACCCCAGCTATGAGCAGTTAGTTGCATGGCCTTTTTCACATGACAAGCAACCAAAGGTAAGTTCGTCACCACAAAACAACCTCCGTAAGAGAGAGAAAGCGACCCCTTTAATCCTTCACAACAACAAGAATCCATTTTCGTTCAATCTCTGGGTGAGACTGAGAGTAATGGCTTCCAATAAAGGCAACCATGGCGGCGGCAGCGGAGGAAACAGAGGAAGGTCATACGCGCTGATGCTGTTACTGGCATTTGGAGCTGCATTGCTTGGGGTTATGGTGCTTCACAAGCTCAGAGAAAGGCGTATTTACAGCCTTCTGGTGAAAGAGAAAGATCGCGATCTCCTTGCTCTTCAGCATCTCTTGCAGGTAATGACTCTCATTCCTCTGTTTCGTGTTCCTTTTTTTCTTCTGACGTGTCACTCTCTTTGTCCGACACATACGAAGCAACATGCATGTAGCAGATCTTTATCAACTTTCGTCCTCCTAATAGTCCTTACTAAGCGCTTCTAATCAGATAATTCTTTAACCCTTTTGGGATGAATTTTCAGAATTTCTAGCTCTAGGGTGAAAATAAGATCTTGGCATGTTGCGTGATTAGCTCCCTTTGAAGTTAACTGAACTGAGTTCTCCAATTATTTGCTCGGTAGTGAAGTTTTTTGTGAAGAGTTCCAACAATAATTATGGTAACTTTGGTTGTTTCAACTACACAGAAGGAAAGAGATCATACGAAAGAGATGAAGAAGAAGAATGAAGAAATGAGGGCGAAGATATACTCCCTGAGGAGTCAAAAGATGGAGCTTGACAGAAGGGTTCTGGAGATGAAATCGACGATGGATTCGCTGAAAGAAGAGCAGAGAGTGATGGAATCTGCATTCGAAGAGAAGCAGAATGAGACCAAAATGCTTCGAGAGAGAGTGAGCGATTTGGGTAGAGAAAATCCTGAATTAGCAGCTTTAAGGGAGAAATTTCAGCGGAAGGAAGCAGAGATGAGGGACTTGAAGCACCGCTTTGAAAAGGCATTTAAGAGCCGCGGAGTAAGCAGTAATAATTCAACCATCCTTCCAGAAGTAGTGTCAGAAAATGGAACAGTGGCAGCACACGAGAAAACTCAGACCGAAAATAAACAAAGGGACGAGCAATCGCATGATCAAGCTACCAAATATGAGGGTGACAAGCTTATTGCGAATGAAGATGCAAGCAAAAACCAATTGATCAAGTTTGATGCTGGAGATGAAATTCAAACGAGAGAGGGGAATAAAGATACACTGACTGAGCCGATTGAGCAAAATAAGAGGCAAGAAACTCTGCAAGTTGACGGTGGTGCCGGTGACACTACAAACGAAATGAACGAGAAAATCGGGGCTGGTGAAGAAAATGCATCAATCAGACAAGAGCAGGGAGGAAAATTTGAGAATGATACAACTGGAGGAGGTCAGGAATTCAGTTTGAAGCAATTGGAAGATAACCCCAAAATTCCTTATGATGAGAAAAGGAAACATGTCCGTATGGGTAGAACAAAGGGGAAGAGATGGGGAACGATTGTCAAGAACAGTTTACTGGGAAACAATGGGATCACCGAAAGTCATGGAGTTGTAAATATAAGAAGCAGAAAGCTTACCAGAGATCAGCGAAATGAGAAAAACAATGAAAGGGAGGAAGAGGAAATGGGCAATGACAATCCCAGCAAAAACAAAGCAGAAGAACAACTGCAGAAGCCTGGAAGCCATGACGATATACAAGATAACGGAAACCAAACAGTAAATGAGATAAGCCACCAGGTGACCGATAATGATAGTGGCGAGCGCCAAAGGAAAAAGATATTGGATGAGGACAGTCAGTCAGAAAAGGAAGAGGAAAGTGGAGTAGAACAAAGCTGGAGTAGAAGGCATGTCAACTTAACAGAAATGAACGCCGGGCGTGAAAAGCCTAGCACGCCTGATAAAGAACTTGAAGAACCAGAAGCTGCAGATGTAGAAGAAGAGAAAGATGACATCAACCGGGTTGGTGACGAAGATAAAGATGATGATTTCTCTAAGGAATCCCAGCCCGACTCAGCAGATGAGAATGAGTAAAAAGGGGAAATGCACGAGGTAGAGTTTCAGGCGGGTTTATGATGATACTATAAATTCAATTATGTCCTGTTAGGATAAAATAGCTGGTATCAAGTTTGATGTGATAAAAAACTATTAGCGCTAAATAGCATAGTGTCTTATCAAGTACATATCAGTAAACCAAGCTGCACTTCAAGAGGTTCAGGCTCTCTTTTTAAACTTGTGCAGCCTTTGCTTTGAAAATCAAAGACGCAACGGGCAAGTATACGATTCACCATCCGAGAAATATCATTTGAATAAATTAATTGTTAGTACTACTTTTTCCTTGCGAATTTGACGCAGGGGAAGAGCAATGATTCAAACTATCACTTTTACTATAGAGTCCATTTCGAGACTTACAGGATATCCTCGCAGGTCTTCTTTAAACTACATTGCAGCCGATAGAATCCGTCCAGCCAATTACTGTGCGTCAATAAATCGTTTTTCTCTCACTTAACACATCAATTTTTGTTCCAATTAACATGCTATGTCTTGGCTGAGCTTGGTAGGCTCATTTAAAACAACGCGATAAGACGACAACAGTTGTAGTTCATGTCAATGAAATTAATTTCTTACAAAAGCAGAAGTATTCGTAAATTATTAGTAGAAAACCGTCAAACATTTAGTGAATGAAATGTAGCAAATACAGTTCTGGCAAGAATCATCTTCCAAGGTTCATCATTTTCAAAGATTCATCGATGACTAGCCACATGTAGGATTGCTTGCCAGCCAACAAAACCAAGACCGGAAAAACATGGGGAAGCAGAAGTCCACGCATTCACATTATTATCAGCAACAGTTAGGACGTGTAAATATCCAAACTTCACTGCGGTGCCTCCATCAATTTCTGCAAAATCAGTACTCGTTTAACAAAGATCAACACTTTGACACCCAAATAAAACACACTTGTGCTTAACATGACACTAGATTGAAGGTACCGGAGGCCATCTAATCTAAATCAGCAACCATGAGTTCACCTCAAAATTGGTTTAGACATTAGAAAACTTCAATTATTAGCCGTGTGCAAATAGAAAAGAAAAAAGCAACTTCGTTATATGACTGCAACCAACTTTAGCTATGCAAGAATTAATTTTATGATCTTCAGTTGAACGATACAATATTAATTCACTATTAACATTTACAAGACAGTTTGCTTTACAGATCCATTCGTCCACTTATTCCTCTTGCCACTTGAAAATTTTATTAAAAACGCTAGGAGACAAGGACCATGCGAATATCCTAGCGTGGTAAATTTTGGAAAAGACAGATTTGTTTGACAGACAATAGAACAGTCACAGCAATACTCATTTATAGAGAACCACTTCGGACATACTCATGATGACAATGGTGAGAAGCCAATATGTGGTAAACTGGTAATCATAGTAGCAACCATTAGAAAATATGAACGGGAAGAGGTACCTCTTCTTTCTTGCCCTTGCCTCTAGTGAAGAACTTGTATCCACCAAAGAAGAGCAACCCCCAGCCAGATAAAGAAACAATTACAAACTGCAAGAACATAACAACGAATCCTATCAAAACAAATGCTTTGCAATTAATGTAGCATCTTCAACACATGTTTACACTCACATGCTCTTCCTTCCATTTAGATGGATTCAGCGGATCTTGCCAACAGTTAACTTTTGGGGGACCATGGTGATCTGCAATAACCAATTGAGTAAGCCATTTCACGGACAAATTGCAAAATATTGCTATACACTAAGCTACGATGCGGAAAAGCAAATTGAATACAGAGTGACGAAGATGGAACACATGTTGACTAACAATGACATATTAGGTTCGTTAACACCAGAATCTAATTTTTCCTTCTTTCAAGTGCGGTTCAACAGCATCATGCAAAGCAAAACAACAAATAGTGCTTGATAGTGCCTCAATTCCCATCAAGTTTTTATATTCTGTTCTTTATTCTTGTTTTTTTACCCATTTGCAGACACACTTCTCATTTTCCCACTTTTCAGGGAGGGAGAGGAAGATATTTCAATTTGTTTTAAATGAAATTTCAGATATGCTAAGGTTTCCCAGAGGACATTTGTTTGGGTTTCGCACTTATGCTCAAACAATTTTTTCTCATAATTTACAAAGTTTAAGCACAGTTCCGGCTCAAGTTCCTGTTTAGCTAGATTATAAAATGTAAAATCGACACTTCCCTGGTTTCGGTTCACATCATCACCCATAGAATGAATGGCCAAGGGACGGGGCTCAAAAACCCAAATTTATGCCGATTTGACCCTCAACACCAAACTTCTAATCCTCGCGGAGGCATAAAACTCGAATTAAGCTGAATGATTCAGAAAAATTCTCAGCCAGCAATGCTACGCCAATGAATAAACGGAAAAATTTGCACGATTACATAGATCGTGACCCAATGGTAAAATGGGATCAAACGGATTCATAAAATTCAAGTAAATATAAATTACCCGCGGCACCGGCGAGACCACGCTTATGGATGAGGTTGGCGGATTGAATTGGCGTTCTCGGCGATGAAATACGATTCAAAGAAGCAGCTCGACGAGCTGCAGCCGCTGCTAGAGTGGCCATTGCTTTCAGCTTGTTTTGAAACGCGATGCGAGAGACTAGGAAGGAGGGCACAATGCTTCGATTCTGGAAGACTGAAATGCCCAACTCTCAGGGCACAAAAACGACGTTGTGTTTGAAGGTGATATCGCGTCATTATGTCGTATACGAGAACCCGATATTCCCATAATGTCCACCGTCATTATTTTCAAATTTTCAAAAACATATTACTCCTTCACTTTTAAATATAATATTTTTTCTACAGTATATATAAAAATCTTATATTTAAAATCAGAAGAGTAGTATTTATATCAATAATAAATAAATAACTTAACTGGAGCTTTTTGCATTGAGAAATCAAATCCATTTCCCATATGCTTCTCTTACCCAATCATCGTTAATTAAAATAAATAAATACCCATCACCATGACCTCAACAGAAGTCATCCTTCCTTTTAGAATTATTAGCTGACGTATGTTCAAATCCTCAATTTTCCATGAAGCCAGCCAACTCTTGTAATACTTGTCAGGTGGTTAAATTTGCTCATACCATGAAAACAGATTTTATGGTTATCAGATTAATTAAAGGCTCGCCCCGCGGCTATAAAAATTTGCCTGACTCAGATTTGTTTGAGCAAAATGTCCTTTCTGACGATCTTTTTAATCCTTTGTATGGCTAGGGCCTGTCTTCTATATACGCACACATATATCTATGTCTGTATATAGCCACTCTCGTATCTTAATCTCTTATTTTGTTGGAAAAGGTTCGTAGCCTCCTCACCTGCCATCAAATAAAACACACAGCTAAATGAGGCTACCATTGTTTTCTTTCGTTTAGGTTTCCTTCTTCTCGATGAATCCCTCCAGGCCAAAAGAACTGTCAAAGATAAAGATATGTCCCATAAAATACATTGCATCTCTGTTTTGGATTTCATAAAGAAATTACACAATATTTGTGTGTGTGTGTATAGAGATGTATCATATTTCTTTTTTATTCTCATTTCTCAACCCGACTAACAGAAACACTGATGTCAGTGCAGTGTCTTAGCAAATGGCGAGTCTCCACCTCAATATAACATCATCGTCTGGATAAGATAACCAATGGTTTCACTCCCAAACTACGGGTCTAAATTATTACATTATGGGCTAACGAAAAAACCATCTGCGGCACAAAGGACAAGAGAAGCGATTGGATTTGAGGCGTTTGGCAATCGAGATGTGGCTCCACAGCCGAACCTCAAGCTAAAACCATTGGCTTTCCATATAGTCCAAATTTAGCACCAGTCCCGGTTTCATCTCTCAGCCGTCTTCTGTGAATCTATATAAGTACCAATCCCGTCCCACTGCTAGTAAGTGTAACAGGTGAAAAAGATAAGAGGATTTAAACTGGAGTGTGAAGCAGCTTGATAATTAAATATGTGCGCAACAACAGAGGCTTGGGTTGTGGCAACCAGTGTCGGGGTTGTGGAGGCCTTGAAAGATCAAGGTTTTGGCAGGTGGAACAACGCCGTGAGGTCAATACACAAGCATGCCAAGAACCAAGTAAGATCGGCAGCTCAGGCGAAGAAACTCTCTCAGCCTTCGTCTTCGGCGGCGGCGTTATCAAAAAAGCCCAGAGATGATGAGAAGATAAACAGGTCAGAGGAGTCTCTCAGAACAGTCATGTTCTTGAGCACCTGGGGCCCCAACACCTAAATCAGAAGCTTTATATATCAGAGAGACAATCCCACACGCATGCGCGGGCACGGATGGATAATGGACCTACTGAGAAGCCACTTACCTTTCTAGTTTCTATGGGGTCAAATCGTTCACAAGCCGTTCTGGCCATGATAAGTTGATACGGCCGTTTATGTGTAATGCTTAAAGATACATATGTAAACTATAAATTTCGATTTTGATTTCTGAAGCGATGAAATCTGCTTCTTCGGAAAAAGTTTCTCTGCACATGATGTTATACGTTATAGCGTACCGTAACTTCCTTTCATCACCATACGTGGTGTAAAAAAGACATGGTACATCAATATCAATGTAAAATATGAAATTTTTGTCAACGGGGCATGAAATATGAAATGTATAATGATTCTCATTATTTATAATTAAGTTTAGATACATGCTGCTTTCTTTTTTGTGGCCAACAGATACAGCTAATTTCTAATTTTGTGCAATGTAAAAAAGACGTGCCTAATCTTTCTCATATGAAGTTGATAAAAAATTTTAGGATTCAATCCCAATTCAATAACAAATATCTCCTTTTATTTTGAAATATCACTATGAACATTTCTTAAAATATACATATAAGAATAATTTTTATTAATTAAAATAATATTACTATAAATTAATTAATTTATCCCTTCTTATGCTTGTTACTATGTTAGGATAAACAGATAACTTTATTATATCCTCTATCTAGAATTTTGCAGTGTTAGCTAGAAATACAGATATACTCATAATAGGATAAGATAAGGAGGAATCAACATTTCGTTGTTTCCTTATCCCCAAAAAAAAAAAGTTTGGTTGTTATATTTGATATTTTCTCACCAAAGGCCAAACTCCTAAGGTAAAATAAACCTTGTATTGATATTTGATGGATGTTATATTCAGTAGGGGATTGGATTTCTTCTCCCACTGCCGTGGTCCGTACCAGTCTGAAACGCGACGGCGTATTAATCTAGAAAATGACGAAATCAACAAAATTTTATAAAAAAGTAAATCATAGATATCAATTCATATAATCATAAATAGTAATCTTAGTTTAAAATTGAGTTATATATAAAAAAAATAAAATTAAATACCTTATTTTAAATTTAGATTATTGAATCTATAACTCCCTGGATCGATATTTACTTATATCATGTATGAAAGATAATTTTATACATACGATCAGAAGGCGTACTGATCTATGCTCTTAATCCGAGATGTCTTGAGGTGTTTCCATAAATGCAATCACATCCCATCCTCTATTTTATACATAATTTATCTGTAATTTCGTAAAAAAGGGGATTTAACATAAAAAGGTGCATTTATCCTGGTGAACAGAACTACTGCATATAGATCTCGAAGGTGGGTCCAGCCTCGTTTTCCTGAATTTAGGGGGTGTTTGGGAAACTCAAAACCATGGTTTCAGAAGCATTTTTCCGCAAAACGAGATAATCTCCTCCACATATTTACTTCGTAATCCGTAAAAACACTTTTAAAACCATGGTTTATCCAAACACCCCCTTAATCCATTTTTTTTTTTTTTTTTTTGACCGGACCCCCTTAATCCATTAAGGTATAAGCCAATATGGTGCCCCAGAAGCTAATCAGGAAACAAGAGGCCTGTGTGTCCCACAGTCTATTTCAGAAGGAAAACCGCGCCCAAGTTGTCTCGATATGAAGAAATTACTCTTCACTAAAGCCAGCGGTTGCAACTTACTTTACGTTATGTGACGCAGAGTGGTCCTACTAGTCTTCAACGTTGGATTGAGACACATTTCATGAGTATGAGCCTCCACTGCTCCTGATTAATAATGATTACCTACCAAAACCACCGGCTTTTCCTTGCCGCCTGAAACCACTTTACGCCCCCTGGTTTTCCCAATCTTTTGCCTATTATTCTCCCCCTTTGCCAACGCTGCTGGCATCTTTACATTTCCTTCATATAAGTAACGACCGTCTTCGCTCCATTTGCTTCATCAAATCAAAATCATCGATCGAATTCAAAACATAAATCTCGTTGTTGCCCTTCTGTTCTTCACAGAGCCAACTTACTTTATCGACTTTTGAGTGTAGTAGTTCTTAAGTCATCCCGAGATTTGCAAGATGAGTTCAGCAAGCAGAGCTTGGACTGTGGCTGCTAGTGTCGGGGTTGTGGAGGCGTTGAAGGATCAGGGCGTCTGCAGGTGGAACCACGCTTTGAGGTCAGCCCAGCAACGCATGAAAACCCATGTCAGATCCTTGTCGCAGTCCAAGAAGCTTTCTTCTTCCTCTTCTGCTATGGTTTCCGGCAGATTAAAAGACGACAAGGCAAATCAGTCAGAGGAGTCCCTAAGGAAAGTCATGTACTTAAGCTGCTGGGGTCCCAATTAGAGAAGATATTTTCGTAAAAGGAGTTGAAGTTTCGCCCCGATTAATGAAAACGGGACCTGAAATTTCTTTTTGTGGATCTTTATCGGTTGAACTAACCTCTGTGAGAGTCTGAGAGATTGATGTAAATACAAATTTTGTTATTTGGTGTAAATATATATTTTGTTGAATGAGGGATCGATGCAGTTTTAATCACGCTCCTATTTGAGTTTTGGTCAGAATTTTCTACTTTCATTGGCACGCTCTGCTCTCGGGGATTGTTATGTTAACCAACAATAACGTTTCATTTCATCGTACCCGAAGGCTGAAGCCAGTGCGTGAACTGGGAACTTTCCTTGACAAAGAAACATAGAAGACGCTTCCTTTGTGAATTTCAAATTATGGTAAACCATCCTAGAATTCCCTGAATTTTTAACTCTTGCAGTTGTAATAAGATATTATATATATTATGCTCCAATACATATGTATGTACGCAGCAATTTGTGCATGCCAAAGAGCTCAAAGTGGCGGGTAGAAGGGTAACCATTCAATCACATTCCTTGTCATTACTGAGTCCATGCACGGCGGGCGCTTTAAGAAATTACTGAGGTCTGTTACTAGAATTGAAGTCGTGTGGGTGTGGGTGTGGGTGTGTGATCCACTTTCAAAATTCAAAAGATTATAGTTTTATGTTCGTTTTTTGACTCGAAGTAGGCATCTGGGTTCCGCTTATGTGTGAATGGTATGATTTTTGTTATTTCAAAATATCATTTGCTTGCTCTTGTTAATGTTGAATAGCCAAATACTTACCAGTTCAATCATGCAGTTTAAAGAAAAAGATTGCACTGGGGTCCAGTGGTCTTCATTTTGCAAATTGAAATCTTGCCTCTTCGAAATTTATAGAGGTTCTCGGTTTATTTAATTGAATGGTGATGGGAATGCAACTACTTAAACTAAGATTTAGGGGTTTAAACCCCACAGAAGAATCAAAATAAAATATTATTGTTAAAGTTTATTTCATCGAGCCGACTATATTAATTAATGAGATAGTATAAGAAACAATCATCTCATTAATGTTTATTTTTTTGGTCAAACAGCTCATCAATAATTAACTTTATATACTTATACGTTCTTAAACTGTATGTGATGTCTAATACTTAATCATATATACAAAGAGCCTATGTATGTTATTGAAATAATGTGTAAATTATTTATTAATTTGGTCCTTATTTTTTAGAATGCAGTATATAAATAATTTAATCACATCCTAATTTTTAAACTTGATTAAAATAAACTACTCTCAAAGTTTTAAATTACACAAATAATTCTCCACCCGTGTCTGATTTACATGTTATTTTATTAGCGAAATATTCCGATTGAGGTGTATGGGCACGTGGATGAATGTTAAACACTGGCAATATGGTTCGAATTTTTTTGGCATCAAATCATTTGATGCAAATGCGAACCACAATGAAAATAAAAAAATAAAAATAAAAAGTAAATATTGTGTAGGTTCGTGGAAGAAACCAATTTCGATACTCATCAATCTAATAAAAACTTTAAACTCATCAAATTTGAATCGTTTATATCTTATTTAAATAGTTTGGATTTAATTTTTTTATTTTTATTTATTCAAAATAACTATTTTAATATGTATAGAATTTAAAATAGAGATAATCTCTTAATTGTTATTTTTATAAAAAAATATTTTTTATTTAAAAATAATTACTTAAAAATTTTAAATTTAAACTGTTCAGGTATAGAAAATTTAAATATAATGAGTTTAACGTGGTGATCATTCAAGAAATCGGATGCCCTCGTGGAAGTGACTCAATGCTCAGCAACTGTGCATCACAAGCACGTGGTCCTCCTGCCGAATATTCATCAGGCAACTTGAAAATTCCAATAACATCCTCCAGCGCATCGCCTGAGGCTAAAACCACCATCCACGACAACAGGCCTTCCCTCCCCCGGTTGTCCAATTCTTCGGCGGCTCAAGCCATCCCTTTATACAAGGAACCCTATCTCCTTCATCTGTTCCATGACACACATTACACATATCCTCTCTGTGTTTTCTATCAGTGGCTTTGTGTCATCCACAATGAGCTCAGCAAGCAGAGCTTGGGTTGTAGCGGCTAGCGTTGGAGCTGTGGAGGCCTTGAAGGATCAAGGCATTTGCAGGTGGAATTACGCTTTCCGGTCAGCTCAACAACATCTGAGAAACCATGCTCCATCCTTGTCTCAGGCCAAAAGGCTTTCCCCTTCCTCTTTTGCTATGGCTTCCTCCCGACTAAAACATGACAAGGCTGGGCTGTCTGAGCAGTCCCTCCGGACTGTCTTGTACTTGAGCTCCTGGGGTCCCAACTAGACCCCAACGCCATTAATACCCATTAATTACTTTGTCCTATAACAGAAAAGATGGGACTTCAGATTTCTTAGGCCATCTGCGGGATATTGGATCTTTTATATATAAAGTAATGAAAAATTGCTCGATTCTCTTTGGATCACACATGTAAATTTTGATGAATGCCACGTTCAGTTTCTAGTCTCTAGTCTCTTTGTATCATTGTAATTCTATCCTATATGTCGAGTTATACCACTGGCCGAAACCACATACTAATAGCCATGTCGCCTCTAGAATTTTAACAAACAAGTCCTTCAACTCAAATTTTCATTTCTCTGTAACTACATAAAAGAATTTTCTTCAATAAATACATACCTGACTCAATCACATTGGCCATTTCACTTCCTATTGTCTTTGATGCAAAACAACGACACCAAAGCATGTGTACAAATTTAGAAAAGCTCAACCGCAAGAGCGTGGACTGTGGCTGCCTGCGCCGGTATCGTAGAAAGGTCTTTGATGGAAAGAACAACTGGAGGATCATTTCCTCGATATGCCCTTACTAATTTACTAGTATAATATAAAATCGTTTGCTCACATCAGACCAATAAGCTTCCTCCAGTTTCATCAGTGATCTTCACGAAGCTGGCGGGGGGAAAACAGAGAAGTTATGTTCAGGTTCCCTATTGAAACTGTCAAATGTGGACACTATAATTAATCCAGAAGCCTCTACTTAGCTCTTCCATTTGACGCCAGGGAGCAAGGCAAGCATGAAGATATTTATGACGCAATTTTCGAGCTTCAAGAGAATTATACATGTATTTGGCCCCAAAAAAAACATAGAGAATTATATATGTAGAACCAAAAATCCAGGCAAAAGATGTCTGCGGTAAGATCTGTTTGGTGTTTTATTATTCTTTTTTGCTGTTGTGTTCATGATTATGCTGTGCGGTTGATTTGGCCCACCAAGTTTGTTAACAAGCTTTTAGAGAACTACCTACGTGATCACACGTAACTGAAACGAAAATAAGTAAAACAAAAGTGAAAGCAACCACAGCCATACAGTTGAGGAGTAAAATTTGTAAGCAATCAAGCTCCAGGAGGGCGATGGTGACAGTAGCATTGTGTGGCAAATTTAATTTTTTAAGAGTTTGAAAAGAAAGGTAGTTGGATTTGGCAGCGGATACATGTTTGATCATTGGCCAGAAAAGTTTTAATTGGAGCTTAAAGTAATTAACAAATTTAAGAATGGCTTATAACCTCAATGAGAGGACCACATATCGAGAGGAGGGGGCCGATATTATCCTGCTTGGAAAATGTTTAGATGAAATTAAAATCATAATTTTAAAAATATTTTTACGATATACGAAGTAAATATATAAAAGTGTTTGTTTTCAAACATCCCCTCGATAACACCACAAGCTGGTGATTTTCTAACATCACAGCGCATGTTGTGCTTTTTAGGCATAGCATCTAAACTATTACATCTTTTTAAGCACAAAAAGCGAATCACGAAGCCGAGAAATAAAGCGATGAAGAAGTAAATGTCAATTCAGTGCTTAAATTTCTTCTTCTTTAGTGGTTTAGATTTGAAGCCAAGTTGATTTTGTCCATATCCATTTTATTTTTGTTCTTATCCTAATTGTTTCTTTGCTTAAAAAATCAGCAAACTTAAAATCATCCCACCTATAGCTTCTTCCCCGCGTCGCTGTACAATTTTCACCACTTAAATTACGGAATATGCAGCAGGTAAATTGGCCAAAAAGTGCCCCCAAAAAATTGGTGCACCCATCGCCCATGTGAGTGAATCACCAAATTAGGAGACAAATACAGATCAATTAGAGTAGCATAGATTCTAAATAATTGTCAGCACACAAAAGCTAACCCGGAGATTCTTAAATAATAATAACAGTAATATGTCCTAAAATCGTGAGGCGAAAAATATTAAAGCAATTCACGTAACATGATATTTTTCGTACAAAGCAAATTCAGTAATTGGAGAGCATTACGTGAAATCTTAAGAGGCAGAAGCAAATGATTGCGGAGAGAGGGGAAGCAGAGGAACTGTAACAAACAGTCGGACCTCAAACGTAGAAATCAAATTCAGGAAATTGGCCACATTTGAGATCCGTCTCGGCTTGTGCAGTAATGTTCACTCACGCCAAGCCCATCCCAACCGCCTCAGCTAAGCAAGTACCTCTCTTGTAAAGGTAAGCACCACCATTTTGGACAAAACGCGGAAAAGTTGTAAATCAGATATAACGAATGGTCCTATTCAATCTTTGTTTTGCTCAGGCTGCCACTACATCAAAGCGCTTTCACAAACGCCAAAAATTCAAAAATATTACCTAGTTCAGAGCTCCGTGAGCCAGCTTTGAGACGCAGTTTCGGGCGAGGCGAGCGGAATTGAGGCTGAGAATGGAAGTGGAGAGTCAAAAATCGGGGTCTGACGGGAAGGTTTGGAGTTTTTGTAGAATGCCATTTTGGCAAACGAGCCATGCTTCTTCGTCTTCTTCTTCCACATCTTCCCTGCATAACAATGTCCATCAGCATGACCATAATCTTCAATCTGTTGATAGATCGGCTCATCATTCTTCCACGACGGTTTCGTCTGTCGCCAAGTCTCTGCTTCCCGCGAGAAGGAGGCTCCGTCTTGATCCCCCCAATAAGCTTTACTTTCCCTGTATGTATTTTTAGAATCCTGTTTGTTTATTTACTTTGGCTTCAGTTTCTGATTAGATTTGGTTCTCTTAAATTGTTCTTTGGGTAGCGTCAAGCTTTTAGGACTTTGCTTCCTCGTTCTTTCGCTCGTTTACATCGAACGGATTATTCCTAATTTTTAGAAATAATGTACCCGTTTGTGAATTATGTTCTGGTCTCTCTCCTCCTCGTCGCCGTCCATGGATTCTCCAGTTGGCAGAAACGAAAAATTTTGATAGAGCATGATGCTTAGAATTTGCAGTTGATGTTGGCTATGTCGCCTGTCTGATTTAGTGCGACTGTGTTTTGATTATGTTGAAGATGAACCGGGTAAGCAAGTTAGGAGCGCAATCGCAATTAAAAACACTTGCAAGTCACGGGTAGCATTCAAGGTGGGTAAATATTTCTCTATTTAATGTTTCTTCTTATTTTTCTAGCCTCGTCATGTTATGCATATGATCGTTTTGACGACTCGCTCTGCTGAGTCAGTCGTGCCCACGTTGACACTACGTTGGAAAACTTTTGGCTGTATTTCTTCCTGCGGAAAGGAAATACGAGGTCAGAAAAGTATCTTGACGGCTTCGACAACCGCGACGACCGGGGGAAAAATGTGTGAAACATTGGAAATATGTTGAACAACATCATCTTCCCATTTGGGTTTCTTTATGAAGGCGTTTTAGTATATTGATTTTAGTTCGCTTCCAATAACTTTCTGGTTGCTAATTCTATATACCATCTGTCACTTTAAAACATTGTGAGTGTCAACATTAACAGTGGCGTGTTGTTTTGTCATAGTTTCAAACAACTGCGCCTAAGAGTTGTTATATGCGGCCTCCTGGTGGCATACTTGCACCTGGTGAAAGTATAATCGCCACTGGTAATTTATCCTTTTACATATGTTTTAAGTTTAAACGGTATGCTTTTGTTAATCTTGAGATGGATCTTTTTGATAAGGATCAAACTTATTTGGCAGTATTTAAGTTTGTGGAGCCCCCAGAGAACAATGAGAAGCCGATTGATCAAAAGAGCAAGGTTAAGTTTAAAATCATGAGCTTAAAAGTGAAAGGAGAAATGGAGTATGTACCAGAGCTGGTAATGCATCTTAACTGTTAGTCCTTTCAGTGTCGTCTGGCATTTCTTTATAATTTTGTTCCCTCTTGTTTATTTGAGATTAAATTGAACTTCTTGTTCTGAAGTTGCTTGGGGTTTTCAGAGTTGTATATGGTATCATTGATTGAATCAGATTTTTTTAGTCGGAATCAGTTACGTATAATTTTTCGCCTCTTTCTAGGGAAAATTTAGGTCAAAACTTTGGAAATTTCCCAGAAATCAAATAAACTTAAAGAAAATGACGTCCATTCTCAGACTTCCTTAGAATTGCTAAATTCATTGTATTTCAAATATCAGTCTGAAAAAAAACTTGGGATGAGGTAGTGCACGTAAGATTCAGTATAAGTACAACAATTGAATGCGAATGCTTTTAAATGCTGAAAATTATGTCATATAATCCTATTTGCAGTTTGAAGAGCAAAGGGATCAGGTAACAGTGGAGCAAATTCTGCGTGTTGTTTTCCTGGGCCCTGAGCGTCCTAGCCCTGTAAGATATAATCCCAAATATGACCTCTACCACTTATGTCTGCAAATACAAAACTATAGAAAGATTATACATTGTTTCTGATAGGCCATGGAAAAACTTAAGCGACAACTTGCTGAGGCTGAGGCTGCATTGGAAGCACGAAAGAAGCCCCCAGAGGAGACAGGTCCAGAAAGCGTCGGGAAAGTTATTGATGAATGGGTTAGACTTGGATGCTCAGTTATCTTGCATTACCCCCCCCCCCCCAAAAAAAAACCACAAAAAAAAAAAAAATTCCCCGCCCCCCAAACAATTGGATGTTCTTTCATGCGGTGTAATTTATTGTCTGCATGTTCCTTTTGTAGAAAGAAAGAAGAGAAAGATACCTGGCACGACAGCAAGTCGAAGGCGTCAATTAACCCAGAGGGATGTTAATTTCACTTGAGCCCTTCGTTTTCGGCAGTTCTCTGTCAAAGAAGTTGAATTCGTCGGCCACTGTTCCGTCAAAGTTGGGGGTTTGAAGAGGTTATTAAAAAAGTATTTTCGATTTTTTGGGTATTGCTCTGGCATGTACGTTGTAGGCGAGTGGATTAGTACAACATGAGTGGCAGTAATTTATTGAATTTTCACGTAATCTCTTGTAATTTGTGGATAGATTGTATCATTGTATTCTTCAGATGAAATTGTCCATCTCGGCAGACTGATTATTAGTTTCATGCCATGTAACGTGGCCATGTGGGTAGTTTTATCTGCAAAAATATCCATATTGGAAGTCAGCTTCTAACTATCATTTGGAATGAAGGATGAATGCTATTTTGGAGTGAAATAGGTCTCCTTAGGTTGATTTTATGGAGAGTATCCTCTTTCTCTACTGATGATTTGGGAGAACAGCCCGTCGTCAATTTCGTCATCTGGCAAATTGAAATTTTTTATTAATTTATATGGTAATATATTATAAATAAAAAAATTGTTATATTTTAATATGAAGATAAAAAGTGGTATATAAAATTTTATTTTGCTCTGCGAAGTTCAGAGACCTATTTTTTAATCAAATTCCGTCTTTTTTCTCAAATGTACATGATTTACTTCCTCAAGATTCACGAACGGGGGTCACTGTAAAGCGAGCATATCTGTAGTTCCTTTAATACTAACAAGTATAAAAGGGCATCAAGTGGGGAACCTGAGGTGGAAGTCCCATCATGGATAATTGAGAAAATATGCCAATCTAGAAGACGGGGAATAAATAAAGGCGCAGGAGGAGAGAATCAGCAAACTGGCATCGTCTTTCATGCTCTCAACTATAATTAATAAATTAAAATAACATTATCGGTATTGCTGCAAATGATAAGGAGGTTCCCATCAGATTACGCTTTTGATGGCTTCAAGACATCTGTTCGCATTCCCATGTGTGTTGCTTTAATCTTAAATTAAGCTTGGTAGGAACACCAATAATACACTTCATTCTTGGCTAGTCTGGTTCTGAGGTCGTAATCATACTTGAGCAGGTCACTTTATTTGTGGCACTCTGAACAAGTTTATTTAAAGAGGACTGGTAAACTTGGTGACACATTCGTCAAAGAATTGGCACTTTCATGGGATCTTCCCATACCACACGCATCCCCAAGAGAACCTTGTGATTTTTAACTACAGTTACGCATACCAGAAAGAATTGAGGAGAGATTTAAAAGGTAGCTGCCCGCTCAATGTTTAAACCGCACATATCTTCAGGTTGTGGGACGAAATAAGATGGTGAGTGGCAGATCAAGGAGCCAAATAGGTCGTTGCTTGCTTTCGCCAAAAACATAACTTTGATGGTAAAACCAAGCATACTCATTGTAATGAATCAGATTGACATATGCGCTGTCCTGTTTCTCTCTTTTTCTTGCTTTCCCCCATTATGTTCCTCATATTTTGTACTCTGTGACGAGTATCTAATATATACACACAGCAATTCTGTTCCCTGGCGCGTAGTGATAGAGGAAAGGGAGTTGGCACATGACCCGGTATTGGGCCCTCACCTCTGCCGTGCACACGTGCTTGTGCTGCCAAAGCAACAGTTATACTTTTAATATAAAAGCGATATAAAAACGAATTGGCTAAGATATTTATCTATAATAAATATACATTATCTTTTTTTAAACATTTTTACTAATCATAAGCAGAATTATTATTTGATAAAATATTTAACATGTATAACTATTACATGATTATATTAGAAAAAATGAATATGAGGATAGAATTAATTGATATCTTATATTTAAGACTAAATTAAATATCAAATTAATTTTTATATTAAAATTAAAATCAATTATACGTGTCATCATCGTAATCTATTGGAGATGGGGGCTGGGGGGGGATCATACATTATAAATAATCCAAGCTGTACATTTAGAAGATCCTGTGTACCTATAGACTATGGTTGTATAATTGACCCCACTCTTCAAAATGGACATTTCTCCTTGAATATCATAAGGTTAGGATCTCGGAAGTTTTTACCTTAGATGTGGAGGCATTCAAGAGTTTTTTTTTTTTTAATTTAATAAGGTCTTAAAAGTATTAAAATAGGAGTGATGTTGTCCAACCCTAATAGTAAGTTACTAGACTAATGCCTGTCACGTTGGATCTTATCATGCCATATTTGATTCTTTGTGACATATTTTTGTCCTGCAAAATTTTGCGAAAAAGTAATGTTATCCGGTAGGTGTTAGAAAAGGAACAATATCACCTAAATTTAACAGCCAAATGAAAAAAAATAAATGTTAATTTTGTTCTATATCAGGATTGTCAGCCAATTACGGAGGTGTTATTTGGGACAAGGAGGGTAGATGATCAACTGGCTTTAAATGCAAACTCATGAAGATTCCACCTACCATAACAAAATGAATTGGTAATCATCCATGGCCTAAACCCCTGTTGGCCCAAAGGTCATAAATTTGTTTTTTTTAATTTTCTAATTGTACTGAAGCCTTGAACTTAATTATTTTAGATAGAGGCTTTGGCATATCTCACTCTTTTTGAGACATTATTGAGGATACTAGGTCGATATTTTATAGGAATTGACAAGTTCTAGGTAACCACACTTTTAAAGAAAGTTTAAGTTTTGCTGTTTTTTTTTTTTTTTGTTGCTAAGTCTTCTCATCCATTGGGGGAACATTATTGTACACTTAATCAGCCTGTACCTCTTGGATTTTAAAAAAAGGAGATTGATGAGGGGTTTTAGGTTACCTTTTGTTGTTTTGATTTGTTTTAGTTGAATACAGTTTCTATTTTAAAAAAAAGGATTATCAACAGTCCTTTTTTTTTTCTGGGTTTTACTATTAAATTTGAGCAACATTACTTCTCTTTTGGCATTTTGAAAAGCTTTTCGCAACAGAAATAACCAAAGAAAGTAACACAGTCATGTCCGCATGAAAATCATATGTGGCATAAGGTCTGATATTACATGTGTCCGATTGGTTATGGCTAGAGTAGGGCAACATTGCTCTTATTTTAATACTTTCATAATGATATTAAATTAAAGAAAGATTTAAATACCCATAACTTTCACGCATAACAAAGCTATAACCTAACTACATACTACTCATAGTTTTTATTATAAAAGCTAGACAACTAATTTAAAAAGATTAAAAAATTTGTTAAATTGATTAACTGAAATAAATGTGTGTTAACTTTTTTAAACTCCTCTCTTGATTCATGTGTATTAGAACTGCTAGTATTTCTTGGTAAGAACTTCTTATAATTAATGGAGGTATTCTTTAAAAAAAAAATTTCAGAGATAAAATAGACTCTAAATCTAATCGCAACTAATTTTTATATCTTTTACATTAAAAATTAGAAGTAGTATTGTAGTTTTTTCTGGGTACAATTGTATTGTACTTGGTTCAAGCAACCAGGAATAAAAGCTCAACAGTGATAAACGAGGGGCTGACGGAGCTCGTTGCACGCGTGTTCGTATTCATCCTTTAGGAGCGGAACAGAACCATTGGGCTCTCCAATGAAACTAACGGCTCATCGAAGACACAGCTTTTAAGCCGAAAAGGTAAAGGAAGAGAAACCAGTGGCTGTCTCTCCTTGTCCACTAGATTCCAACACGTATGAGGAGCTTGCAGCCCCGTATCTTGTTCCTGGTTTTGGAATTCTACGTGTATGATCTCCCTTGCACGTTAGCCAAAGCAAGCAGGATCAAGCCCCTCCTTAGGTTATATACCCATTTTCATAAATTTTTTTTCAGGTCCATTTATAAATTATCTTATTAAATTTTTCATATGAATGAGCTATTTTATCTTTGATTAATTATAGTATATATAATTATTTTCTTTAAAAGTGTATATATTAAATATAAATAAAATTAAAAAGTTAATATATTTTAAAGAAGAGTTGCATTTTAAGATTTTTAGTATGTATAAAATAAATGTTGAAAATTCTCTATAAATAGTAACATACGAGTCTATTCAGTTTCAGTCATCATTTCTTTTCCCTTTTTTAACTTCTTATCATGACTCCCTGTGCTCATCTCCATCTCAATCATTTCATTACATCCACTTCCATATAAGATATACTGTGATTTTCTAGATTTGACCCCCCCCAAAAACAACTAATTATAATTGCGTATTTTGCTTTTGTTAAAAAGTAGCACTTGCTCATAGCTTTGTTTGCCGAATTAATCGTACTTGTGCTGATTTGGGGAAATTTATAAATCATTGTATAATTGACTTGACAATTGACATAGTTAACATCCCCACGACCCACGTGAATGCACGTGACTCTCATCCCCCACCCATCTCAGAGGTTAAGAAGCCCAACCCGCAGGCTTCCACGAGTCACTTTGGCATCCCTGACTCATCAAAGTCCTTTAACATCAGAAAGACGAAATTACCCCTACAGTGAAATGGCGATAAGAGTCACGTATACGCGGACATAATAATGGAGGGGGACCTCGGCCCGGCCCAAATAATGAATAATGGAGTACACAAAAAACAAATGAATAATGGAGTGGGGCCCAGAGGCAGAAGAAAATAGGTTAGGTGTGGGGAGTGAGGTACGGATGAGTCACCGTCGTTCCTTCGGATAAGCTCGCCATCTGTCTCCTCACACCCGCCATTTATTCTCTCATATTCTCACGGTATCTCATCAACCTGCGCCCAGTCCACGGGTCCATTAAGTTTGATATATCGAGATGATTTCCCGATAATCTCGTCCTTGGAAGCATCGACAACTCCGAAAGCACAATGGCCCCACCACTCGTTATCCTAATCCTGGAGCCACCTCAACCTTTGCTAATTGCTGCTGCTGCTTTATCATTCCTCATCTCCTCTCTATAAAGGACAGCGCCTGCACCCTCTTCTCCCACGCTCAATCTTCCAATTCTGAAACACTATTCTCCCACGTTACCGAGTTATTTTCGTGAAGAAATCTTAACAAAGCCAAATATGAGTTACCTAAGCCGTGTATGGATGGCCGCGACGGTGGGCGTAGCTCAGGGCCACACGGACCCCGGCCACAAGTGCAAGACCGGCCTCAAGTCCATTCAACAAAACCGCAGAAAGTTGTTCTCCGCCGGAGATTCGTCGGATCTTAGACCTTTGTCTGGCATGATGGGATCGGATGTTCCCAGACCCATGGAGAACAGTGATGTCGATCCCCGACAAAGGCAAGCCGACGATTCTCTTCGGAAAGTTATGTACTTAAACTGTTGGGGTCAGGGCTGACCCGTGGCGCGAAGGTCGCCGGAGATGATATATGTTGATAGAGATCTGATCCGGATCGTGCTGATGGGTACCGATCGGGTCAAATAGAGGGGTTGACCGACTTTGGTCTGGATGAATGGTTGCTGGATTTAAACTCTAAAGTTGAACTGTAATAGTTTGGCCCCAAAAAAGTCGGACTGTGTAATAGTTGGGGGAAGCTTGATCTTGTAGGTTGTAAAGCTTGATCTTGTAAATTGTGATTCCTCCGACTAGAGACTGACCTTTTGTGGATAAGTTACTTGTAATCTTATGCACGCCCTTCTCCCTTTTCACTCGTCCTCTCCCTCTTCTCCGCGTAGCACTCCGTCTCCCCCACGATGAATACTCTGTAGAGCAGACCTCCACGGTTGAATAACCTCCCTCTGTTCCCCTCTCCGTCGCTGGAGACGGCGTTGCCCAATTCATTGGCGCGTTTCTTTGTGGATTGGGTCTTCAAGCAATTTCTTGTTGCTACCCGGACAAAATAGCATCGTGAATCTATCTATTATTCTTTATTTGCCAAGAGAGGGTGCCTGTTGCAGAATTAGATGTCCAAAAATTCATTCTCCGGAGCTCAAATGCATATATAACTAATGGTATCAAGTTTCCTAAATCCTTGTGGAAGTTTCGGCCAAAAAATATTATCGTGAAGTGGCTTGTTTCAAGAATAAAAATTTTCTGCACATTCCCGGGGCTTCTTGAAGCCCGGAAACACCATCTTTGTCCCTGTGCTATACTTCACTTTCAGGAATTAAAAAAAAAAACGAGAGATATATCAGTTTGAGGCCGCAATGAGAGAAAAAATCATCCCAATGGAATCCCTCTGCATAAAATTAGTTCAAAAGAATCGGTGTTACCCCGGTCAACAAAAGAAAATAGTTTATAGTCCAGTATCTCTACTCTCTTCAAACCCTTAGCCTTAACCGTCTAAATCAATCAAATTTAGATGATAAAAGTTTAATATTTGGAAAAAATAATTAAGGTGCCAATAACTCTATTCAGTGGAAAAGCAGAGGCGAGGAATAGAGAATCCGATTAAAATAGTTTGAAGCATGAGAATGAATCGAAAGGCGGTGAATTCAACCTGGCAATCCAGTTCCCAATTCAATCTGGACATTTAACTGGACTAGACTAGCAACCAAATGACTCAAAAACTACTAAACAATATAATTAAATTGCTCATTTTAACCAGTCACCATTTTATGGAAAGAGAGATAGATGCCTTGACAGCATAAACCAGAAGGACGAGAAGAAAAGTGACAAAGGTCATCTTTCGGGAAGAAACAAATCACAAAATTAGAAACCAAAGGCACAAAATTCGAGCCACCATAAAACGCAGAAATTAATAAGAGTCGCTTACATCCGGCAGATGCAGCTCACTTCCCTGGCATGCACCCCCTCCAACCTTCGCCTTCTTCTCCAGGGGCCACTTAAAGATTCGGAACAAGGTCTGGTTTATGGGTTGAAGGGCTCCGTTTACAGTCAATGTGAAGAAAAATCAAGCGATCCAAGAGTGTTCGAACTGGTGAGGTTGTTTGTTTTTTAATTATGGAATGTTTAAAGTAGTTTTTTTGGAAGTGATTTTAGGAGAATTCAACATGTGAGGAGTTTTAAGTGCTTTTTGGGTCTCCAAACACCTCCTACACTGATGATTGGAAAATTATTCAATACTTCAACAATATCATGTTATTAATATCATCCCTAGTAAAATCAGTTCAAACACTGAAAGAGAAGATAAGAAAATATTATCTGTACATGGAAAAATAAATGGTGATGAATATTGATCTATTGAACTGAAACAATTTTCATATGATTGATCATAAAAGAATAATTTTACACGACAACTTCTCCTCATATAACCCACCGACATATTGATGCGTTCATATGCTAACGTATTGACCGGTCAGGCAAGATGAACTAAAAGTTCTCCTGGCGAAAAAAAATCGCCACAAGCCAAAAAACATTCTTCAGATTTTCTAATAAGCAGGAGTCCAAGACAGCTGTCAAATAATGCAATAGAGCGGTTGCTTTCTGTTCCTCTGTATGTTAATCATAGCTTTGGCATAATCCAAATGCTTTGAAGCTTTAATGCGTCATCTTCTCCATGCAGAATCCGGAAGGGGCACTCTCTGCTTTTGCCTGTCACTTGTTTATAGCTGGTGTTAGTACGAGCGCGTTTTGTTTATGAATAAGATAAGCAGATTGATCTGTGCTATGTTATTCTCAATGGGTCGCAATGGTTAAATATTTGCTCTGATTAGTGATTAGTGGGATCTGCCCTATGAAATGCTGTGTTTATGGGGACGGAGGAAAAATGCGAAAAATCAAGTTCTCGTCATCATAAAATTTATGCAACGAGTACATGACTTCGGTCGAAGAGGTACATTGATCGTGCCTCTCATTTCTTGATTTTCTTCGTGTGCTCAGAGATATGTATTGATCGTCCCCACACGACGACGCAGAGAGTCAGAATCTATATTTTCATTATCTGGAATCTTATTTTCATTATAGGAACAAACCTGGAACATACCATTGGGAAGTGATTCAGTAATTAAACCCTCATGATTTTATTTCTATTGCAGTTAAAACCCCTTTCCCGTATTCACTAATGTATGTGGAGTGATATTAGAAACCCGCTTTTTCTCTCTCTTTTTTCACAAAAATGTATGTAAGTTTCTCAAAGACACCGTCCACGGTTAGAAATCCGCATCCAATAATCAAATGTATATAGGAGTCGAACTACTACGGAATACGAGTAAATAAGGCATAATAACAAGTATAACCAGCCGATGAAAATATGATAGCCCCATAGGAATTTAGTGCTGTTATTTAACTCCAATCTCGTGGGACAAACAAGAGAAGAAGCTGATGACAACACGAAAATTTCTGAGTTTTTCAGACCCTGATCCAATTTGTAAGGAGCAGGGTATAGTTAAACTCAAGACAAGAGAACAAAAAACAGACACATGTTAAACAGGCAATGATAGCAAGAAATAGAAGACATTTCCAAAAGGGTAACACCTCAGTTAAACCTGTTTATGTCATTGGAAATGCAGCAACACCAAGTAGGTTCTCCCTGAAAACAGGGACTTGGATACACTGCAGCCTCGGACAAGTTGGATTGTAATAAAATCATCGGTGAAAAGCAAAAGGATTGCTCCAAAGAATTCATGGAAACGAATTTCTGAAGGAGATTAAATCGTATTAATTATAAACCGCATAGGAAGAAATACTAATTCAAAAGAAATAGCACGAAACGTTACAACCCCAACATTCATATTTTCTCCAGCAATATCGACGCAGACACAATGGAAAACATAAAGAATAGTAAACATTTACAATATAGCATGCCTCAGTCAAATCCATTAATGTCATATGAATGTAGCTTCCCCAAGAAGGTTCCCCCTGTAAAACAGGGACTTGGATCCACAACACCTCAACAAGCTGGATTAAATCATCACAGGCAATCATTATAAAGGCTTACCTTAGACAGTTAAGTATTAGTAAATTAATTTAGGTTATAACAAAAATAAGATGTTATGTAACATAACACATCCACTGCATTTCGATAATATTCGAGGCTCAGATTATAAAACAGCTCTATCAATCACAGATTCTCAGAAGCAGAACTGGCATTTCAAGCTGATTAATTATCATCACAGCCAACAACTGAAATGCAAATCAAAGTAATATGAGTAAACCGTCGATCAAACTAGACTATAGGAAAACATAAATATTAAAAAGTGGCTCATATCAAGAAATTCAACCATTTTCCTTTTATGCTTCATCGATGACTCTCAGAAGCGCGGATAATATATAATCATTGCCATATCTTTGAGGTAAAAGACAGAGTTTATGAGGACACCAGCCATCTAGCGGAAATTTTTAGAGGCACAAATATTGAAAAATTAAACCCCCACGTGAATACCGCCAATTCAATCTGCGCCTCTAGGACTAGCTTTATTTTCATAGCACATTCGCTTGAAAATAAGCCAAAGGTGTAGTGAGGCATTTTCCGCAGCCCATGCACACAGACAACTAGAAAGTGACAGGAAGGAGGAATGTTGCCGTTGCTTTGACACAGATCAGCCATGAAGAAGGAGGCTAAACTGCAACACGAACGGCTACATCTGGCACGTGCTTTGGGGCATTCGCATCACAGATCTCAGGGAAGCCCGGGAGGCATCGTGCGAGAATCTAATACTGAACCTAGCATACTTACCTTCGCGTTGCCCAAACCCTAGAAGCTCCCAGCAGCCAATCCATATGGGAGACGGAGCGCATATGAGATTTTATAGGCGCGCCAAACTGAAACCCTAGACCAAAGTCTCCTCTGCCGCCTATCCGAGAAAGTACATATTTTTATAATATGAATGAAAATAAATAATTTACCGTGGAAGAAAATATTAACAACACAAAAATGTTTATTAAAAAAATATTATTAGTTATATTCTAACTAAATTGTAAATCAGTTAATTTGTCATATTTCTGGTCAAAAAAATATGTTATATTTCAAATTATGAAAATAAATGAATTATCACGAATAAAATTTTAATATATAGGGAAAAAAATTATTTGTTAGATAATATTCAAGATTCTTTTTCAAATTTATCATTGTTGAATTATTGTTTATCCTCTGATTATTAATCAATATTAAAAAAAAAATACACAGAGTCCCCCAAGCGGAACAAACAACACTTTGCTTGCACTCAGCTTGGCCCAATGTATTAGACCAACCCAATAAACTAAACAGAACGAAATCATTGGGCTAATTGGCCACTCTGAATTCATCACATTAGCTAACATAGATCTCTTTTCTATTTCCAACATTCCGTTTCCATCAATCCAGTCATTGATTTACCACGAGGGCATAAACTTGCTAAATCTAATTTTTAACTAAAATGCCCTTCTTAATTTTAATAAAGGAAGACATTAAGATGTTTTGAGCCTATGACATCAAATGCTTTAACATGATACGAAGTTGTATGCTTTAACATGAAAAGCCTCAAGGCACACAGGTTAGCTTACCAATGTATTCTTTCATGTATTTCACTTTCATTCCTCTCGTGCTTTGGGTTTATGTTTGGTTCCCATTTGTCCTCTTTTCCCTTTCTTCTGTTTAATATTATAAAAGCTGCAGGAGCCCTTATTTCTGGACTACAAGAGATGTTGAGAAAAGTGATTATTGTCTCAATTCTAATTAACAATCATAACCTGTGCTTACTCAATGCTTTAGCTCAATTGAACTCAGCAAGCAATGTCAACCTCATCAAATATGCGAGTTAACACTAAGAAAAAGGGCATAATTTCTAAGGACCTAACTGAGATGAGATATATCAACTTCATCTGGGATTCTAAATGTATCTGCGGCTCCAAACTTGCGATATTCCTCTGCTAAAGAGTTTTCCTCATCACTATCATAATCGGCAACATCGTTGTGACGTGGCGACATGGGATCAAGAACACTTCTGGACTTGCAATCATGAGTGGCAAGCATGTTGACCTGACCATGGTGAGAAATCTCTACTACAACAGTATCATCGTCCGCCGGAAGAGGCTGCTTCCAAGGTTCCCCATCCATCCTCATGAATGTTTCTTCTGCTGCTCCTCTGTGAAACTCAAACCGGATTCTGTGTGCCTAATATGGTACCCACATTTTTATACATCAACAATAAAAGGCCCGTAAGTGATACGGTCAAAATTCAAACTGATAATAACGATACTGATATTCTGTAACATAACTCTCCTGCAATAATTAAACTTCTTGTGAATGAATCTTGGGGGAAAAAACTTTGGAAGCCAATTTGATTTATGCCACTAATAGCAGTTTGGGGATAAAAAATACTACGAACGAAAGCTATCTTGCTTCCTTTGCTATATTTAACCACAGCATATACCTGGGCAAGACGAGTTCCGTGTCCTTTTGGAGCCAGCAAAACGAGGCCATGCCAGGCGTTTCTGAAACCAACGATTTCTAGTAGACCATCATCCACAAAAGGGGGAGTCAAGTCCCTCTGTATTCCATAAAAGATAAAATATTCAGAGATTAATTAATAAAATAAATCTAGTACGAAAGCATAAGTTAAATCAATAGTACTAATTCTTAAAACTAACATATGATGCATGGGGATTTTTACAATTATAAAAGGGATGATCACAATTAGCGTATAAAATTTACATCACGTTGCTTCCTTGTATTTGGCGTACCCCAAGGATTCAGTCCTCCGGAAAAACTAGGCAGGTTAAGGCATACGATTGACCTGATGCTGCAGGTGAAATGGACAGAGGGTTACTGGGAAGCATAACGTCTGTTATCAAAGAACTTGGATTTGGATTTATATTGACCTTGTATGCCTTCTTATTGGGCATTAGCCCTTAAAAAATATCCGTGCACAACAATTGATGGGACAATCACCATAAATTAGTAAACAAAAGCAACAACTCTAGAGCATGTTTGGTTTAACGTTAGAGATCATGGTTTTGATAGCCTCCAACGTGAAACCAAACATGAACTTGAAAGTAAATGATTGTAGATATGGGTATACATAATATTTACCTCGAAGGTATGTCTAGATCTTCCCATTTATCCCGTGTTTTCATGATCTTTACTTTCGCAAGTAGTGCTATGTTCCTGCATTAAAATATCAAATTACAATTAATTCGGGGAGTTGCCAAATCCTGGAATGTTCAGTTCAGTCTGAACTGTGAAGGATGGTCTGTCATCGCCTCATGGATTAGTATCGTGCCTGTATATCTGCGGCAGATGCAACTAAAAAGGACATTTTAAACTACAATGAAGTAAAAAGGACCAAAAATTTCAAAAACACTAAAACTGGTCTCAGCTATCCATACTTCCATAGGAACCACGCACTTATATATTGACTTTAATAACTCTACAGATTGAACAGAAAAAGGCGGTGTCAAACTTCTTAGGTAATTGAATTATGAATCATGTTAGACGCCTTAAAAAGGCATCGCTTGGTAATTGGATTCGATACTGCTATCTGCTTGGCATTGAAATTTCCAAACGCTGATCGTTTTATTTCTTAGGGCCATTACAAATGTAGGGGCTTCAATGGTAAAGCTGCACTAACTAACTAGAATGATGGGGCCTTAGAGACATACCCATGAAAACCGCTGAAGATGTGCGGCTAAAATCTCAAATTCAAACGTTGCCTTACATTTAGTTAAAGCACCAGATACACGGTACCCTTCTAATTATAATATAGATCTGAAAAGTTGGGACTCTTGCACATCACAACTGCACGTTTTGCATGAATTTGATATAGACCGATTGGTTCATGACCATGAATTTATTGAGGCGAGTAGAGACAACCTTACTCTTATAAAAGAAGGACATAAAACTTTACTTGTGCGCGCGTGAACTGACCTCGAAGCGTTTGGACAAGAGAAGCAAAAAACCATCCTTGTTTGCATCCAAGCTTCGCATAAGTGGTCTAAAATGTAGATTGAAATTGAAACAGAAAATCAATAAGAAAAGTGAATGAAAATATATTCACCGTCTAAAATCAAACTCCACGTTTTGTGCTTCCACTTGACAGAGAAAAAGCCAGACACGCATTAGCTTTTTTTGCCTTGTGTATTCATTTACAACAGTTACTGCAGATATAACAGAATACCTGATTGACCAATTGATTTTTAAACTTTTCAGGATTCATCTTTCTTTCAGAATGAAAGGCATAAGAAACTTGAGCATCCATTCCTACAATCAGCAATCAAAGATCTTCTATCCATTATTAAAGTGAAATGTAACAAGAAAAAATTTTCTCCAGTATAATCAAAGGCCTAAACTCTAAAGCACTGTACAAAAAAGTTCAAAATATTCAATCAGGCACAAAGAATTAAGATATTGCTATGGCAGGCCAACCAAACAAGTAACAATCCCATAAGTTAAAAGTAAATCATATAAGTTAGCAACTTGAAGCACCCTGGAAAATATATTCTTACCCATGCTGAAGTAGTTCCAAAATCCCCCACGAAAAGTGTGGTACCCTTCCTGAGTAGCAGTTAGAAGCAGCCATACAAGAAAGCATAATGAGTAGGAAATACAACAGCCTAAAAAACAGAACAAAACAAATTATGAAACCCTTTGCCCCTTAAATCTGCATTTAAAATCCTTATGTTATGGTTAAACAAATTGGAAAGAGCAATAAAGTCTAAGATTTCATTGTTGCAACGTCCAGATATCAACAGGGCTGCATATGTGATAGTTCCTTAGCCTCCGATATTAAGTTAAGTATGAAACAGAAGTAATCGATATCCTACCATATTAAGTTCATCAGCCTCCGATACACGATGAAATGCGTGTAGAGAATGAGGTAATTCAAGAGGAGCAATGGGATCACAGGCACCATGTTTCGGAACCTTCATCCTCATTAGAATATGCCAGCTGGGAGGATAGAAAAACCATTAAGTATCAGCAAACAACAATCTGCGGTTGATACATGTGCAAAAATTAGATATCGGAACAAGAAGCATTCCTTCAACACCCTTTTTTTTTCCGGTGGGGAGTTGGTTGAGGGGTAACTTCAAATGCCCCAGATCAATAAATAAAAAATGAAAGAACAGGATCAAAAGTTCATTACTTGTCTATTTTCATTTCCTTGGCTTTCAATACTTGATCTAAAAATGTCTTGACCGAGCATTCATCTGTCCCTGGGTTCTTTTTTCCCTATAAATCAACGAAATGCACGTCAAGAATATTCTCATGCTTATCAAATAGTTACTTCCCTCAACTAAGATAAACTGCTATATATATGTTTTGTTTTTAATTTCTCTAACATGATAATCTTAGGTACTATTGGAAGCTTCTGCAACTTATGGTAAAAATTTAAATGCACTTTTTAAACCGCCTTATATGTTTGTGTTCTTGATGCAGCTCTTGAAATAGAAAATCACTAGTGGTATCGGCACAATGTTGTACAAGTATTAGGTAGTTCTATCAAAAGCAGGAAGAGAGAAATGCTATTTCCTACCCAGCCAAATGCAAAAGGAAGATTATTTCCTGTGCCTAAGGGAACTGTGGCGATCGGTGGCGGATGAGATAACTCAAGATCACAAACAACACCAAGTAGCCATCCTGCTGTTCCATCACCCCCTGCAACCTATAGGCAAGTTACGCATCAGGGGAAAAAACAGTGAGGTTTTGCGCATAGAACCATTAGAATTAAGACAATGCAAAAGAAAACAACTTTCCTCCTGGAGAGTTACATGGTCAATGTATTTCTCAACTCACAATTAATCTCAACTTCTCCATGATCCTTGCAGCAAGTTGATCATTCTGACTCTTGCAGTTTTCTAAGTTAACATAGACTCTGCTCAGCACCTTGTCAGGAGCCTCTTCCCCCAAATCAAAAACCTGAAGATTAAGCACTACTCTCAGTTCCGTGAAAATGTTCGAACACCATGATTACAATGGATATTTCATTTCTGAAAGGTCCTGTATAGGTTTTCAACTTGATGATTATGAAACGATACCTGCTTTTCATTAAGAAGAGTACGATATGTTTTTAAAAGGTCTCCTCCAAGTTGACCGCCACTCTTGGAGTTGATAAAAACTAGCACCGGACACGTAGGAGGAGCGTTCATTGCAAGGTCATGATTCTTATCCGTCCACTCTGCTACAAGTAGGTAATTTGGGATCTGAAAATTCTTCATGAAGTTGGGGTCTGAGCTACCGCAAGCCATTGTCGCATGCAGCTTCAATACGGTTCACGTGCACTACTTCAACAGATAAAGTAATATAGAAGGGGTTAATCACTAATAATCGGTAGGCGATGTGAAAGTTTATTCCACTTCGCAAATTCAATGGCAATCGCTAGCTATGAAAAATATATCAAGTTTTATTACATCTCAGCATATGGATTACTTAATATACGAAATTTTCTCTTGCTTATAAAAATTTACCAAAAAAAAAAAAAAAAAGAGGAACTTTCTTGAGAGCTAACGGTCTGAAGCTCGAGAGTATCCGAATCTGAATCAGCAATACCAAATTTAAATAAGGTACAAAAAATGGAAAGTGGCGTCGAATTTTAGTTTTGGTGTTTTAAAGTTTTAAATCATAATTTTTTGTCCCAATACTTTTTTTAAGGGCATGATTACACATATCGAAACCAAAACTCATATGTCACGAGCAATTGTAACGAGTTTTGTTTTAGATTCTTGTTTTGGTTTTAGTTTCTATAAGTTAAATTCAGATCAAATTCATATCAAATTACAAAACCAAAAATCAAGGTTTAATATTACAGAGATTAGAATTCCATAAGTTATAAGCAACAATAATATCAACCCCAAAATAAAATAAATAGCTTTTGGTAACCGCTAACATCAAAGAGGGGCTCTAGCCAACCTTGCTAATTGTTTATTGAACGAAGGCTACTTGTTGTAGGAAGAATAGATTCATAGATGACAATGAGCTTGCAAGTTTCGAGACAGAGGAAAGTTGAAGGACCTCCACCTAACGGGAAAGAAAACAAGGAACAAGAAATTTCAAATAGCGAAGTTTCCTCCGAAGGACCTTGATAAGCCTCTTCGTTAATCGTTAATTTCGACAGATAAGGTACATCAGGCATCAAACAATGAGAGAATACTCGCACAGCACGGTTGCGAAAAAGAACTGTCCGTAAAACAACCCTTGATGCGCATTCACAAAAGCGTGCCTTTTTGGCTGCCCTCGAAAAGTGGATACAGAATGTTTCGAATTCGCAGAAAAGTCGTAATAGACATGCATACAATGCTAAGTGGAATGGAGGGATGATGATGGTTTACCTGGAGAACAAATCGTGGGGAAGATGAAGAACTGAGTCTGTGAAGGTGGAGGAGGTCAATGAGATCCAGGGAAACTGAAAAAGGAGCTTATGAATGAAACGAAAGAGTTGACTTTGTCATTGATCATTGTAGAGACAATGGAAAATATAACTGTTACATGATTCGATGAGGAGGATGAAAAAGAGCAGTGAACGTGAAATCAAAGGCATGTTACACGGAATCCGCGGGAGGATTGAGGAGGGAAAGGTGGAAGTTAGGATCTTCAAATTCGAAGCCTCATGTTTGGTTCTTCCGTAATTACTGTGTTCTGCTGCTTTTCTCTCGGGATCCACATGGAACGACGGGTATATTCACAATCTGGCATCGGATTTCCACTTTGCACCAAATGCCCTTCATCATTGCGATCCATCGCCCAAAAATAATCATTATTGCTTAACAACTTTTTAAATTTATACTAACAGAGTTGGGTCTAACAAGAGGGGTTAGTCTCCCACAATGTGAAAAACCAATATTCGAATCCCTGTTAAGAAAGGTGTCCACATTTAATGCCTAACAGTACCTCGAATAGGATTGCCTCCAATTGAAGTATAACTGTACTTTAGCCAAAAAAAACTATTTAACTTTATTCATATTTAATATACATTATACCATATTAGAACAAAGTCAATACAGTATTAAATAAAACGTAAAATTGTATATTTATATGAAATTTTTTTTCCTACCCTGTAAATAGAACAAAAAAATTGTTTTCATTTCTATTCATTTCTACCCTATAAATAGCTCTAGAGGAGTAGACTTTACACAATTAAGAGCGGTTTGGAATACTTTAAAACAACTTTAAAAAAATACTTTCATGCAAGTCAAGATAAAACTTCTTTCATACATTTAAAATCACTTTTAAAATCATAATTTAGTTTTTATCCGAATACCTCCTAATAAAGTGAGGAGTAGAATAAAAAAAATCCCACCTTTTTATATTGATTGTATAAAATGATACCTACATTAAAAATATTGGTAAAACCGCCATTTAGATGAGATGAAGGAAGGTGGCAACTTATACTAGGCAACTCTTGAAACAAGCCCACATAGATGTATTTACATGAATATAAAAAACTATGGTTTAAACAGACATACATGAAAAAAAATTTCTAAGCAACTCCAAACAGATTAAAGTGGGCTTCTTTCAGGCCCAGAAAAAAAATAACCGTGCAAAGTGGGGAGATGACACTTAAGTATCTACTACCCCCGCTCCTTAATATAAGACCCCAATCCATTTTGTCTCTCATATTTATATATTATTTTTTTTAAAGTAACCCTTCTAATAATGATAGTTCTAGTCAATACACTTGATTAATAAGGATATTTTAGAAAAGACAACACCTATTTAGGATAAATAACTAACTCGACTTACTTCCTTAATCTCCTCAAATTAGTTAATTGGCTCTTATAATTAGGACCGGAGGTAGTATTTGGAATTAATATAAATACTTATAAATATTTCATGTGAATCGAAATAAATTTTTTCTCACATGCCTATCATGTATTTATAAAAAAAAATATAGGCAGCAACCTATATTCATATTAAAAAAATGTCATAAATGGTCAATCGTTTTACATGAATATATTGATAAGTACTTATATTAAGTAACCCCTATCAGGTCCCCAAAAAAAAAATTAAGTAACTCCTAGATACTTAAGTGTCATCTCTCCATTTTGCACGGTGCTTTTTTTTGGGGCCTAAATCCCACCCAGTCATTTTTTTGGGGCCTGAACCAAGCCCACTTTAATAAAATAAATTCAACGGGCATACATCGGCAAGCGCGAAGTTCATCCCCACCACTCACGTGAATGGACGTGGTTGGTTTGATTTTAGAATTTACTGTTTGTTTAGACTGTTTTTTGGTTTTTCATCTTGTACGTTTTCTGCTGTTTCTTTGACTTATAGTTGCTGTCCTATTTCTTTTCGGTGATTAATAAAATCATATATTTTGGTTTAAAAAAAAAAGTCATGCATAATATTTTCGCCTATATTAAATTTAAGAGCGATATAATTATATTTGAACTTTGAAGCTATTATCAAGGTCCCAAAAAAAAAAACTTTGAAGATGTTATCTTCAGCAGAAGTCGGACTTCAATATGGACCCTGCATCCCTGAACCTTGCTTGACCCCGGATTCGGATCTTCTCAGCGTCTTTATTCTCCGCGGCTCTCATAAGCTTAAAATCACATCCATTCAGTTGATCTCGACACTCAAAGTTGAGACACATCATCCAACTTCTAAAATTGCATCTCTCGTTGGCTTCCTTATAATCTCAACCGTTTGTTTATTTTCAGCTTTCAACCAAATCCCTAGCCATCTGAGAAGACAATGCTTGATGCCTTTAGCCCCGCTCGACAACGACAACTCGTGCTTATCAGAAACTACTGTCGGACACTATGGCTTTGTGCAAAACAACCTCATCATTTCATTCATGCCTGCATTAACTTCAAGGAACACTCTAAATAAATAAAAATTTAAATATGGATGAAGCTATTATACTTCCAGACAAAACCAAAGAGTAAAAAATAGGAATGAGATATACAAGATAAGTTTCGTGGCATTGCAATGTCAAATTTTTTTTAACCCATAACTTCATTTCCTTTTAAAGTCAAGAATGATACTGGCTATGAAAAAAATTCGAAAAAGATACCATCTTTCATACAAACAATTGGTTATTTTCATCTTACTTTGCTGCTTGGAATGAAGACTCTGATTGTTGAATCCCTCTCCTCAAAATCGGTAACTCCTCCACCTGGACTACCTTTAAAACGTTAGATAGAGTCTTGCTAATTACAGAAACAGTCAACGGCAATAGCCAGTGGCCATAAAATCACATCATCCAAGTATATCTATTTCATAGCAGAAGAACCAGTTTACTTGTGATTTGCATGAAGTGTTCCCGCCAAACTTGGCTTGCAGAATGTCGAATGGCTTCCGGTTTAAAGGAATCAAACATGGATGGCTAGGATTATAATGATATGGATGGCCGAGATGCTATTTTAAATCCCCCATGACGTGTCTGATTTCTGAGCACCGATATAAACTGAAAGCATGTGATTTTAAGCTTCTGAGGGCCGCTGAGAATAAAGACTCGGAGAAGATCCTGATCCGCTTGACCCCGGGAGTCTGCCTACAGGAGAACCGTGTATTCCATATTATCAGCTTCTCATGGCTGTAAAGATCCTCGAGCAGTGTCAGGTTTCAGCGCCGCCGGGTTCTGTACCCTCAACACCTCTTCCTCTCACCTTTTTTGACCTTCCATGGTTCTATTGCCACCCTCTTCAACGTCTCTTCTTCTTCGACTTCCCTCATCCCACCCACCACTTCCTCCGCACACTCCTTCCCATTCTCAAGCATTCTCTTTCCCTCACTCTCCGACACTTCTTCCCCTTCGCCGCCAACCTCGTCCTCCCTCCCGACCCTGTTCATCTCCACCCTTACATCCTCTACCAAGACGGCGACTCCCTCCCTTTCACCGTCGCTGAGTCCTCCGCCGATTTCTCCCGCCTTGTATCCGACTCTCCTACGGACGTCACCCAGTTGCACCATCTCGTTCCAGTGCTGCCTACGCCATGTACCTCAGAAAACGGCGCGCGCTTGATTCCTCTCATGACCATTCAGGTCACGATCCTACCCAACTCTGGGCTGGCCATCGGTGTCACTTTCACACATGTCGCCGGCGACGGCAGAGCATTTCACGATTTTATAAAGTTTTGGTCCTCTGTTTGCAGGGCGAAAGGGGATTTGGATTCCCTTCTAAGCTCTCTGACTCTGCCGTACCATAGAAGGGACATCGTCGAAGACCCTAAAGGGCTTAAGCTCGTCTACTTGAAGGAACTGACGAAGATGGAGTCGAAATCGATGGAGTTCGCAGGCCTCGTCAATGATGTGTCTTCCGAGAAGGTTCGGGCCACCTTTGTGCTGAATCGAGGCCAGGTTGAGAAGCTAAAGAAATGGGTTTCGATCAGATGCATCGGCAACGGTACGGTAACACCTCATTTATCAACCTTTGTGCTGACAACTTCTTTGATGTGGGTCTGTATGATCAAATCAGAAGAATCGCAAGATGGTAATGTTGCGAATAATCTCGAGGAACACTGCAGCTTGATTTTTCTAGCAGATTGCAGAAATCATCCTGAATTCACAATACCCTCCACGTATTTTGGGAATTGCCTGGCTACTCCCATTGTGGCTCTCAAGAGGGGTCGGTTAGTGGGGGAAAATGGGCTTGCTGAGGCGGTAAGCGCTATCGAAAGCCGAGTGAGAGAATGGAAGAGGGAGCCTTTAAGAGGGGCCGAAACAGTGATGTCAGACTTCAGAAATTTATCCAAGTCAGGGCATCCTTTGTTGGCAGTTGCAGGCTCCCCAGGATTTGGAGTGTACGAGACTGATTTTGGGTGGGGGAAGCCCAGGAAGAGTGAAGTAGTTCATATTGAATTCTCCGGATCCATTTCTCTCTCTGATGGCAGGCACAGCGATGTTGCAGTTGAAATAGGGGTGGCACTGAGAAGGACTCAAATGGATATTTTCGCAGACGCATTGGAAGAGCAGCTGGGAAATATTAATATAGCTTGTGATTGAATCACGCAAACAGACTGGGAATTGAATCATCCCTTCCAATAAGCGTCAAATGGATCGGCGAACTAGCTCCATTGGTCAGACGACGATCCTCTCCGGGCTTTAATGTATTGTGCCATTCCACGTGGTTCATTTTCGTTTGCACTTTGTTTAGCTATTCCTGGGGTATTTAATGGTCACATGTCAGTACGGTAATTGAAAAGGCTTCAATGGTCACGCGTGGCTGACCAACCCTGCGTGCCTAGTGTTTGCTTAGAGCTGTTTTATTTCCTGACATACTCCTGCGTCACAAATGTGGGACTCAGTTACCATCCTAAGCATAATGATGAGCATAATGATGAGCACAATGATGAGCACGAAGAGCTCATCATTTATGCGCACCGTTTTAAGAATCATTTGCTGGCCAAGCAGCGTCGTTTTGCTGGGTTCTGTAAATTTGTGCTTATGAGTTATGATATCATTTTTCTTTATCAGAAGGAGGAGAAAACGCAATGAGCAAGTTCCAAATTTTCGCAGTTGAGTCTCTTCTATTTGAAGAAGAATACCGATGGCGACTCCCCAGCTTCAGCAGAAGGACAAAAAATGTCTCTGAAAGACCAGGGTAATGAGTTTTTTTAAGTTGGAGAAGTATCTCAAAGCCACAGCACTTTGCACCCAAACTACCAAGCATGATCCTTCAAACCTACTCTCAATTAGTGACATTCTTCACTTGATAAATTAACGAGTTTTAAATTGTTGACCTCTTTTATCTGCTCATTGTTCTTTTTACTGATCTCGTTTTTTGGATCTTGAATTTGTGAGTGTTTGGGCTAAAAATAAACTCGATCGGTTTCCAGTTTGCTGCAGAGTTTTAGCAGAGGAGAGACCATGAAAAGTAAAAACGATGCAGGTATATTGGTTTATCCGATTTGAGTCAAGGGAAGAGCAAAAGAGTAGCCTTTTGGGTGGGATTCTTGGCAGCCCATTCTTGATAGTGCTTAACCAGTGTGTCTTTCGAAAGAGATGAAGTGCAGGAGAACAAAATTAAGAAGGAGATGAAGAAACCTGAAGCATTTTGTTGACATTGGCTCCAAAGATCTTGTGAAATAAGGAGCGAAGACACAATCATTAGCCCCCCTACTTCCTTCCCCCCCTCTCTCATTTCTTCAATCGCTTGATTAGGTGTTTAGCTTAGCTGCACACGAAGACGGTGCCGAAGAAGAAGAGAGATGATTGAAAGGGTCCAAACCTTCAGAATTTCTATTCGCAACAAACAGTCATTATCGCCCATCATCAAATGGTTAAGATCATTCATAACTTTAATGAAACGGTGTGTGGTGGTGGTGAGCTCCTTGTGCTCATCAAGTCGCTGCGCACTGAAACTCATTCCCACAAATGTGATGGTAATTTTATGATGAGAATGATTAGAAGGAATGGAAGTTGTTGGAGAGTGAAGTTACGTGGCCAACAATGATGCGTAGGAGATGAAAGCGAGGTGGCGATATAATAATATTAACGAGTAATACGTGTGTGAAAGGTGGATGCTCCGGGTCTCCAGCAGTTAGAATTTTGGTGGATAGATGTTACATAAATAAAGCTAACAAGATGAAAATATGGGGTCTTGCGTGTGCATTATGAATATTGAATTATATACAAAATTGGGATTCCATTCCATTAATAATAATAATTTCATTCTTTATTATATAATACAAATTTGGGAACCGAAATGAGAACGCCGCAGGGGGCAGGAAAGGATGAGGATTGGGATGATGGCCACGTGGAGAGTGTGATCCAACAAACCGACCGGATCCTCAGCGTGCACGCACTTTCACTCGATCATATGCCATCTTCGCATCAACCCGAAACCACGTGTCCTTTTCCCTTCCTTCCCTCTCTGTTCCTCACACCGCGAATCTCGTCCCATTTGATTGGATCGCAGTAAAGATCATCCAGTTGTCCCAGTTGTCGCCCACCTTGTTATTTTTATATTCAGAGGCTGTACAAATAGACTTATTTAATTGTATAAAATCTCCTTATCAAATATCATCTCGATATCATCGAAATCTAACAAAAGAGTAACATTCTGAATTGATCCATTCAGCATCAGCGTGTAGATTGATGCTTAATCCATGAGTATGTTGTGTTTTAATTAGAGGAGATTTGAACTTAATACTCGCTCTTTAGGCGGTTATTTCACATCTAAATAAATTACTCAGCTGGTCCTTAATATAAAACCCATTTAACTAATTTGATTAGATTAAGAAAGTTAGGTGAGTTAGTTAATTATAAGAAAAGTGATATTTTTTTTAAAACACCATAATCATCTTTCTTAATATCCTCTCTCTCTCTCTTCTACTTGATTATGGTTGAGGGAGTATCCATAGGGATAATTTAGAGAAAACTGATAAATATAAGAAATGGGTCTTATATTTAGAATAAACCCAACTCAAGAATTGGGTTCTATATTAAGGATCGGAGGATTATCATTGTTTTTAGTTTTCAAGATTTATTATTGTTTGACACTGATTTCAGAATTTAAAATTTTTTATACTACCCAAACAAAAGATTTTAAATATATGAATTTTAATCTAAAATCCTAAATTTAAATCCATTTATCCAAATGCATTCTCAGCATTTTAATTTTACATAACATATGCCATAATTATATGAGTGCACGGAATATGAACTCAAACTTTTAATTAATTAAGCAGACTGGATTTGACCCATTAATTAATATTGACATCCCCGAACATGCTAATCAATCTTGTTATGAAATCAGACAGACAATTAAAAAAAAAAAAAAAAACATATAATCAGGCTCTGTAACTAACTAGCCAAAGCCGCCTTTCAAGGTTCAAAGGTTGTTGGAGTTTTGGACACCTCACAACATTCACATACAACAACCCCCCCCCCCCAAAAAAAAAAAGAGTACAGAACTTAGTTAAGATTAGCAAGCTAGTCAGCTCTGGGGATGATCATAGATAGCTCATCACCGTTTAATTTGAGGCCAGTAAGCCATTCTCCTCAAGGCTTCGTTACCTGCCGCTTAACAGCTAACGTGTAAACTTCCATGCAATGATTGTTATTATTTTGTTAGAGAAAAGGGTTTAAAAAATTTATAAATGGCGATGCGCTGACGCGCTCCACAAATCCAAGACTCCACCACAACTAAGATACGTCTCAACACATGGCAGATTCCCATTAATTCAGACACGAAACGCAAAGGAAAGCCATGCATCATATGTATTAATATATGTTTAAAAGCAGGGCCTTCATAATTTTTATCGATCGCCTGCAAAATCACAGCTACTACGTCGTCTTCTCTGATCACTGATTCTCTATTATTATTATTTTTTAATGCAGTATCTGATACGTGCTTCTGTGTTTTGCAGATAATTGGTCCAAAACATGGATACTGAAGCATGGAGACCTTGCAATGAGCTGGGAAATTAATAGTGACATCGGCACTGCGAAGCAATTTTCCAGCAGGCGACACCACTTTATAGACTGAAAGCGTTTTAATTTGTGGGAAAATGCAGCAAGCTTACAGGGGGGGGGGGGGAAGCAATTTTTTATTTGAAAAAAGTGTTTGACTAAATCCTGCGGTGTTAGATGAAGGGTTGATGAATGGTGGCACCTGATTTTCAAGGGCTATTGAATAATTTGGCCACGGATGCTACAGAAGATGAAGCAACCAGCTTTGCTTGATGCAGACGGCACTTCTGAGAGCAGATTAGGGCATTGTTGACCTTACTCCTGGAACCAGAAACGACACCTGTCAATCTTGTGCTTTAGAAAGTCCCCACCGAGAAAAATTAGCCGCTTGCATGTGGACACGTGTTCAGGATGATGACACATCATCATCGATCTCTTTTGCGCGAACCCGGCTTTTAAAATCATATCCAACACAAAAATACGTCTGAATTAACAGTGCCGACTTTCAGCTTTCGTTTTTCTTCAACTAAAGATAAATACATACTTAGGGTGCGTAAAACTGAGTTTAATAACATCAGTTAAATCTCAAAAAAGGAGTTATATAGTTAAAGTATTATAATATATATATGATATGTATAGTCCTATAACAAATATCATGATTTTTCTCCTCAACAACGTGCAATATAATTTGACATCATCTGCTCATCAGTAAATCCACAATTTGCCAATATATATGCCATGTATTAAGACTCATATTGCATTGCAAAGCCATGAATATTTTGCAACCTCGAATGCCAAACACATAGAATCTCAGTTCCTCGTTGGTGCCGAAATTCAAAATTGAGAGCCAAAAGCGTGGGGAATATAGGAAAAAGGAAACCCATGAATGAAAGTAACTACGTACTGAAACAGTGATCATATTTTCTATGGTAGTTGATAAAGGGCAACTGTCAAGTGTCAACCTTTACCGCCAATCATTCTCATCTAAACTCAAGGTCAAATTGGAAATTTTAGTCAACATTTTTCCCTTCGTGATCCCATTGTATCCAGGTTTTACAATTAAAAAAAGTCAGCTGCGTCTTAACTCTTAACGCATGTTCTTCTAATCTCACCTGCCATTTGTATACGTAGAGTTTGCAACAATCAGTCGTATATGGATGCATCTATTATATTGTGCTTAGGCCCACAGATTCACAATGCAGGGTATACGTTGTTCATGCAATAATGCACCGTATATATACATGGGTATACATACATGTTGCATACCTATATTATGTCAATCCTAATCATAAACGGTATTACAGTCTCATGCCGTGGTTGAAAAAGACATGTGGTGTAAGGCCGGCGCCAAACTCTTTTGACTTCAAAAATATATGTAACCTTCAATTTTGCGAACCTCTGCTATAAAAACTGAGGCAGTGTTTGCCATTACAAGCAACAAAGTTTCACTTTCGAGTATCAGAACCACCACCAATTCCATCTCTGGTAAGCAAAACACTTGATTGCCAATTTCAGCTATCCTTCTGGAAATTATCCACATCGATACTCTCTGCTTCAATAATGGGAAGAGCACCTTGCTGTGACAAAAACGGACTCAAGAAAGGGCCATGGACGCCCGAGGAAGATCTAAAGCTTATCAACTACATCCAGACTCATGGACCAGGCAATTGGCGAACCCTCCCCAAGAATGCTGGTACCGTTTCTTCTCTTCTTTTTCGTTTTACTTCTTCATGATCATTCGATTTTCTCGCTAATTAACGCCTTGTTTGATTTTCCATGAAGGTCTGCAAAGATGTGGCAAAAGTTGCCGCCTTCGGTGGACAAATTACTTGAGACCCGATATCAAGAGAGGGAGATTCTCCTTTGAGGAAGAAGAGACCATCATTCAGTTGCACAGTATCATGGGTAACAAGTACGTCTCCATAATAACTTTCTCTCATCTCCATAACAAACTTCAACGTGAGTCATGAATTAAAACAAAATGAATAGGGCCTTATTAACCTGTTTGGTTTCTCTGCGTTCAGATGGTCGGCTATAGCAGCACGATTGCCCGGAAGAACAGACAATGAAATAAAGAACTACTGGAACACCCACATTAGGAAGAGACTGCTTCGAATGGGAATTGATCCGGTTACTCATGCCCCACGCCTTGACCTTCTTGAGATATCCTCCATTCTAAGGTCGGCGCTGACCAACCAATCGCTTCTGAATCTGCAAAGTTTATTGGGCGCTCAAGCTTTGATGAACCCGGAACTGTTGAAGCTGGCCACCACTCTGTTAGCGCTCAAGAATGAGAACCCAGATTTGGTTTCACAGAATCAACATCAAATCCTGCAGGCCGGGAATCATCAAGTAGACAGCCAAGCCTCCCCATTTAGGCAGATGCCAACGCAAATTACCAGTATGCATGAAAGCCTCACAGGCAATAGCACAAACATGAGCTGTCCAAGTTCGCTAGAGAATTCACCATTTCCTTCATATATGTGTGAGAACCTGATTAATCCGCAGCAAAACCAAGTTGATTTGCAAGGAAACCCAACATTTGGGCAGCGTCTAATAAACAATGAAAGTGTCCAGAACGTGGGCTATGAGTCAGTTCTGTCAACGCCTTTGTCGAGCCCAACCCCATTGAATTCATCGTCGCCGTATGTGAATAGCAGCGCGGAGGAGCAAACGGATACCCATTGCAGTGACTTATTCAAGTTCGAAATTCCTGAGAGTCTGGACATCAATGATTTCTTGTAAATTAGTAGTCCGCAACATTTTTTTCCCCCCTGTTTCTCGAGTTTCGTTTGCCAGACGCGTCCATGTGCATTCTTTTCTTTTTTTCCCCGGCTTGACGTCCGTGTTCATTGGAAAAAAAAGGATTCTTTAATTTAACCCTTGTAAAATTTCCCGTGTGCTCTTTTTTTGTTGTTGTCGTTATTATTTAATTTTTGGTGGTCTCTGGATCAAAATTTTAGCCACGCCCACTCTCCATCAATTCGCGTTATTTCGTTTTAGGGTGTGTTTGGATGAAATCAAATCATGGTTTGGAGAATAGTTTCTGGAGAATAGATTTTGTGAAAAAGTGATTCTAAGAAGTGAGAATGTTTGGATAGTTGTTATCAGAAGCACTTTTTATATATACAAATTACTAAAAAAAACATAAGTTAATATGATAATTATATAAAAGATAAATTTTATGATATATTTTAATTTGAAGGAATAAAATTGTTAATAATATATTTTTTACCAACATAATTAATAATACATAAGATAATATAATTAATGAATAATTAATATGTGTATATATATTTATAAGATATAAGATTAATATGTTTATAAAAAATTAATTGAGGGATGTTAAAGTCATATTATTATTGAGATCTACTCTGACAGGCACAATCATACTCTCCAATTTGAGCCAGAAGCAGAATGGATTCACTTCTCCTGAAACCATGATTTCGGGTTCCAAAACCAAAACCATGGTTTCAGATTATGGCATCAAAATTGATGCTGTTTGGGTGACATTCCACCCACACCATGGTTTTGGGAGTCACCCAAACAGGCCCTTAGACTAACATTTCTACAGACTACAATTATTAGCTGTGAAGGCATAAGTCGGAGGAAAATTCAAATAGAAGTATTTAGATCTTTGAAAGGTAGGGACATACATGTCCCAATTTGTTTTCACATGTGTCTTGATATAATATCTCCGATACTTAATATAAGAGTTTATTTGATTTTTATGTTGATCCTAAATATAAGATTTCAATCCACTTTGTCTTTTATATTTATACATTTTTTCTTAAGTTAGTTTTTGTAATAATAATAGTTTCAGCTAATATAATTAATTAGTAAGGATATTTTGGAAAAAGTAATATTTATTTATTACAAATAACTAACTTAACTAATTTTCTTAATTAATCTACTCAAATTATTCAACTAGCTCTTATATTAAAGACCGGAGGTAGTATTTCATAAGCAAGCACATATATATAAGATTTAAATATTTATTATTTAATTTATTTATATTTCAACACAGTCATGAAACAAAACTGATATTCCTAATTTGATAAAGGGCCAAATATATCATACAAAATTCAGTTTAAACGTTGGCTATGAGTTATCATGAAACTTATTCTCTCCCTTCCTCTCTAGTGAACAACCAATAATAGGTTTCTGACTGATCTGCCCACTCCACTAATTCCATATATGGTTTCAGGAACACTTGCAGCGCCCTTTTTTTTTTTTTTAAGTTTTATGTGGTACTTGGAGAATGAATTAATCGAATTGGACCAACAGCAGAATTAGGGTGAATCGGATGGCATTTTATGATGCCACGAGTTTTTCAATACCTCATCATGTAACTGTGCTTCAAGGATTTGATGTGATACCAAACAAATAATAAGTATGCCAGGGAAATGAAGGCAAAAGCGAAATGAAGGGGAGCGCCTCCTGATTAACACTAAATGCCATACTTAGCGATCACAACGTCATCATTACTTTGTAAAGTCTCAGTCTTGATAACTCATGATTATGGCCACGTGGTTGAGTTGCGTCATCATTCAACTAAATTACGTCCTTTTTACCCCTAACCATCATCACTTGCCAACACCGTCCCAAAGCAGCCACGGCACAAAAATTAGTCACAGGAGTTTTCATTATGGTTATTATTCTTTCCCCACCTTTTAATGCTCTGTATTTGTCTTTCAAACCGTGAACAATTTTTTAGTACCAAAAAAAAAAAAGAACTCCACAATTTAAGGAACAGTCCAATTTAATTATCCGAGCCTAAAAAATGATCATATATGAGCATTAAATTTTTGAAATCTTAATGCTACTTTAGTATGGACCAGTCTTTTTAATTTTTAATAAGGTGCAGCTATAAATAACAAGTTGGGGCAGCGTCGATTGTCATGCGTATGTATCATGTATGGCTCGAATCACCAGCAGCAGCAATAGGGAAGTGGGCATAAACTCGGCAAAGCTGCGGCATAACTGGCTGGCTCCCTGAAAAAGTCACATATTATGCTCCACTCCGATTCCTTCCCACCAACTTCTTCCTTCTGCTGCTTTTTCCAAAAAGCATAGTCTCATTAATAATGAAATAAAATATTTTGGGCTGTTCCTTTTTTGCTTCCATGCAGCTTGATTTTTCATCTTAGTTTAAGCAGTGACCATACACACCGCCGTGTCCTCCACTCTCGCACTCCCTGAACAAAGACAAAACTCACTCTGTTTGCCATCAAATCCAGTTGCTTTTTCCAGACCCATGGAAAACTAGAAGACACACTACATATTCATAATTAGATTAAGTGGAATATGATATCTGAGCGTAGCTCCTCCTTTTATAACGTGCACGCAGAATAATATCCCCATCCCGGCCTCCATAACTGGCTGGTAAGACGCCCACGGAACATATCAAGCATGTCTCACTTTAATCCTTTTTAGCACTAGTTTTTACCAAACCCAATCTCTTCCCTTGTTTTGGTTCAGCCCTCCATACCGAGAAATACTACATGAATATCCCTAAATGCTATTTGGTTTTGAATCTTGGCCTTTCTTTTTAGCTTTTCTCGCCCATAATTCTCAGTAAGCATAAAGTTTTCTTTTTGGGACTTTCCCTGCTTTTCTCCTCACGCAAACTTTCCCTTTCCTTGCTTTTCTCGCATACCATACAAGCCCAGAAAATCATCCGCCATCATCAACATATTCATCTTTAGGCGTTCTTGTTTTTTGGGGGGGGGGGATAATGCAATCATTTACGTTCATTCTCGTATTCCTCATTTGTTCCCTCTCAATATCAACCGTTTCCCTGGCTGGTCTGCTCTCCCAACCAGTCCACGGCGAGTACACAATTCCCGCAGCGCCGACTCAGAACCCGAGCCAAAATTGCCGGCTCGACCTCTCTAAAGAGTTATTCGGCGGCGTCCACCACGCTTGCGGCAAGGACCTCGACCGCAGCCGGTGCTGTCCGGTGTTGGCGGCCTGGCTCTTCGCGGCTCACGCTCGGTCGGCTCTGGAGGTTTCCGCTCCGGCCCCCGCAACTGGTGGTGATCTTCCGATGATGCCGGACGACTCACAGAAGTGTGTGAACTCGCTCCATGACGCGCTTCAGAGTCACAATATTCGAATTCCTGCGCCCAACGCCAGCTGTGACGCCATAATGTGCTTCTGTGGAATCAGGCTTCACCAGATCGCCTCCTTAACCTGCCCTGCCGCGTTCAACGTCTCCGCTTCCCACAGTGTTACTCCAACTTCTGCGGTAACAAATTTGGAGAAGAATTGTCGCAATTCTTCCTACGCTGGCTGCACCAAATGCCTCGCTGCTCTCCAGAAGGTGTCCATCCTTGTAACTGCTAACCATCTTTATCCATAATCCTAGTTATTTTAATTTCTCTGAGAAATTTCAATCAATCGCTCACATAAACGAAAATCACAAGGGTCTGAATTTCCATATAGGGATACGAAACACATATGGAATACCTTGTTGATTAGTCATTCCTATCGTTTTGCCATTTTCTTTTTTGGGTTGACCTTCGAAAGAGACATTTGCATGTGCAATTCTCAATGGGAGTCTTCTTTTTGTTTAGAAAAAAAATGTATAAAAAGTGTAATTGACAGAAATGATGGGTGGCAGGTGAAAGGATACAAGGAGAGTGAGAAGGGAAGAAACAAGATGTTGAACAGGGACTGCCAGCTGATGGGGCTGACATGGCTGCTGGCGAGGAACAAAACGGCGTACATTCCGACCGTTTCGGCGGTGTTGCGAGCCATCATGTACAGCGCCCACCCGCAGCAATCCAAGTGTAGCCCTGATCAGGACAACATGCCCTTGGCCGTTGATTCCCTTCAGTTCGACAAGGCCCACGCCTCATCTTCGCCCTTTACCTTTTGGATTATCCCTCTACCTCTTCTCATCCTCATCAATCTCATTTCTGCTCTTCCATAGGCTTTGACTTTTTGGCCTTCACTGTAAATATCAACCCATTTGTCTGTTTCAGTTTTTCTCCCCTCCTTCTCCACTTTATGCGTGCGTGTATTGGCCTATTATCATCAAGGATCAGCCCCCGCTAACCGTGTTATTCATTGATCGTTACAAACTTTTTTTCCTTCAAAATAAAGGCTATGAGCGAACTCATAATTATAAAGAGATTGTCAGGTCCTTTTTTTCACAATCTAGATTCACTAACATCCTACAACTAAAGAGAGAAGTGAAGCACAAAGTTTTATACAGCATGTTGATTGATTGATTTTTGCCATTTTTTTTAATTATTTAACTGAATAGTGGCATGTTAATTCTAGAATGTAGGATCGATCATGATCCAGTAGTTGCTTGACAAAGCCCAGTCCAATTACAGGTTGAGACTAAGATCTGCTTGGAGAGAATCCAAGCCCTTCAAATTCGGTGTACTTGGAGACTAGCAACCAGATTTCCAAATTCTTCCTACGCTTCTTTCCAGATTTCGCCTCATCCGCTGCTACCTCCGTGCTTTATTTTTATTCATTTAACTTTTTTTTTAATTAAAAGGGCAATCACTAACCGTTTAATAATTTCAGGTACGATTGAACTCACCTTCTCTCACTTGTTAAAAAACTTTCATATACTAAGCTATAAAACTTCGTGGAGCACCCAACATTTTTTTAAAAAAAACAGAAGTCTATGGCTTGCTTCCCATAATCTTTTCCATGTGTATTTTATTTTTTTGCCCCTACAATTCCATGTGGATAAGTACTGTTCTGCATCTCCCAACTGGTACAAAAGTCCACCAGATGAGCTGGATTATTCTGTGGGAGAGTTTTAATCAGAGCACTGCACAATTGAGTATGGCCTGAGGAGTCAACTCCATTGCGTCTCATGCATCTCAAGTCTTGACGCACCGTGATCGCTGAATTTGCGGTAAGTTGTGGACCCGTGCTGCTGGAGAAGAGAAGGTCATTCCACTCACTCTCGCTCTCGCTCCGCTCATGTTCCTATAACTGTTCTCAATTTTATACAGGGACCATATATAGCTGGCTGATTAACTTCCCCCCTTCTGCGAAATTTATCATACTCTTTCCTTTTCAGTCGTTTTAATTTAAATTAACAGGCCCGCTAATTCTAAATGAAAAAATTCATGCACAGGGCCATGTCTTAGATATAAGACTTGCTTCATCACAGCTTTAGAAGAAAAGGCACAGAATCATTCCATTACAAGAATTTAATTTGATATACATTATTCGTTGCATGCAAAGAGAGACATCTTTTGGCTCCTAGAGTGTTCTATAACTTGATAGATTGTCCCGCTGGAAGAATGAAGCAGAAGAACATTTTAACCACCCGAATAAGAAACAAATAATTAGACAGGCAAGAGTATAAACACAGGGAGCATTTTTCCCCAGTTGATTACAGAGAATGGCTGGATTGAAATCTCACCAGCCCTTCCCTATCAACCACAACCAATCAAGCGTGACTCCTGCAAAAATACCTGCAAGAAGAAACAGCACCAATATATTCCCCAAGGCATTTTGTTCCGGTCCCTACAAGAGAAAAAAAAAGAAAGAAAGGAAAAAAACTCAATAAGACGAACGAAATCCTTCAATTCTGAACCACCCAAATATCTCTGACACTGCCGGGTGTGTTACGCAAACTAACCTTGTAACCTTTTGGTGCAGCAGTGAGGACACAGACAGTGAGGTACCCATTGGATAGCCCCAAGAAGGAGGTTAACATTATCATCCATCCCTGGTCACCATACTTTGCAGTGAAATAAAATGCGGGAATCAGTAAGAAGCGACTCAGAATTGCGGTCGTGATTATCTTTCGGGATTCCAGCTTCAGGAATTTCGACAGTGGAATGTATCTTCCAATCAAATCACTCACGTTGTACATTGCAATCAACACAAGAGCGTACCTAAAATATTAGGAAATATAGAGTCAGGAGTCAGGAAATAATGAACAGAAAGATAGGTGGGGCAAGTGGGGCAGTTTTTCCAGAAGAGAAGGGAACGAAGGAATTAAACAAATTATACAGTAATGAATACATGCCAGGTGCCCAAACTGTGTGATCCAGTATCTTCTGACAAAAATCCAGGGAAAATAGATAGAGTTAGCACATAGATTAGGAACATATCAAGTGCATAATCAATGTTTTCACGTAACAGTTGCTTGTTTCCCTTGCGCTCCAGTAGTTTTGGGTCCTCCTCATCCTGGAAAAAAAGAAATCGTTTTATCTCATAAGCTGATTAATCTTGAATATTGAGGAACTTCTTTCACATATTGGAAAAGAAAAGAAGAAGCAGTACTCTCTTAATGGTTGAAGTCTGGATGCCACCAGCAGCGAGGTCAGCTGTGACAGTTTTCGATCCTTCAGAGGCTGCTTTTGAACGGTAGTACTTGACAATCGGTAGTTTAGGAAACGCAAATGCATAGAGAATGACACAAAGAAGCTCAAAGAACGTCGATATGGCAAAGAACAAAACTGCAATAATCGTACAAGATGATAAGTGATCAGTGACTAAACGACAAATGATAGAGTATAACAGTTGTAAGTTTGCAAAGTTTCATGGCAACAAGCAAGAAATTGGAACGGCCATCACAGAATTCTGAGGCATTCATAGAGAACTTTAATTCATTAAATAGCCAGGTGAATGCAAATTAATAGAAGACCATGGTCATAAGATGACATGCTACCAAAAGATTTTCAGTCCGCTATGCTAGTTAAAATCTATCAGGGAGGGCTGCTAGCAAAAGATCTCTTCTCAATTCTCTTTGATGTTGTCGGTAAATAATCCATCCATCCTCAGTAAGCTACCCAAGTATGAATATTTCAAGGTTGTGTAAACATGTTAACAGAGTAATTTTCAAATCTATTCCATCCAAAATGGACAGAACATCAACACAGCAAATTAATACAAGTACAAAAATGAAAACGATTTCCATGTCAAGCATCAGTGCACCTAAATTCTAAGTTAGCGACCTGCTGGAAAGCACCTAAAGTAGTATTTATTATCTAAAGAACTCTGAAATCAGAGGAAGCAAATGATTTCTTAGAGATTTAGAGTTGAACTTACTTGCTCCCTTGCGAAGACCGTCCCTAGAATTCTCGAATGCAGCTTTTGTGACTAGTCTCAAAGCAGAGGTTAATGCGCCTGATGCTGCTAATCCAGCAAGAAAAGACTGTAACAATAAAAGGTACAAAATCATGTTATGCGGATAGTCCTTGCCAAGCATAAAAATGTACTCCTTAAAACCATTCTATTGATGATGCTGACCTGAATGAACTCTGGTCTCATGTAAGATAGGTCTCCGACCATTCCACCTGCACATGAGCATCTGCAACTCCAAAAGCACCACTTAGGGCACAAATACCGACAAAGGTTCCAAGTCCTCCTTTGCCAGATGTTGCTAAATCCAACTATGGCACATTAATAGAAAAAGCAAAATCACAACCAACCTAAAGGAATCAAAATTCACAGACAAGTGAAGGGAACTTACAATTAACACCAACAGAGTACTGATGAAGAAAAGTGTATAACCAAAGAGGTTCCGTATTCTAGTATTAATTTTTGCCTCATTATAAGCCAGTATTGCCAGTGTTCCAAGAGCAAATGGCTGGTATACAAGAGTGAGCACCCGAGGAGCGTGGTAATTCTGCAAAAGGAGAAAAAGATAATTTAATACCTTAAGAACCAAAACTAACAATTTGAAAATAAAACTAATATTTAATACTTAATTCTTGTGTCCATTTTGCAGGCAAATAGGCATTATCTGGAAGCTTGGTTAACTCTACTGGTTTTCTGTCGATGTGCGTGTTTGAGGCAGAGACTATATATATGCAACTGGGTTAGTTAGCAAGTAAAGTTTCATTCATCAGAATTGGAATCATGAAAAGCGGTCAAAAATTTCAAACTTCAGACTTGTCTCAAGCAGTTACCATCAGACCAAAATAATGAGGAGACCAAAAGAGAATCTTTTACCGGAAACAAGTACACGTAGTAGTCTTCTATTGTCAGCATACTATTCCACGAGAAAAGGCAGCCATTGCCAAGAAGCCAGCAGACCAGTGTTGCAACATATTTTCCCTGTTGATGCGAATAAATAAGTGTGAGAAATAATTCACCTTCGTGTTGATGAAGAAATTATAGATTCAATGAAAAACCTCAAGATTGGCCGGAGGCCTATTGTCGACGGCCATGGATGTTTCTTTTCAATCAAATCCTACAAAAGGAAATAGCAGAAGCCGATTTAAACAGAGCAACGTGTATAACTCGAATGAGTCACCTGATAAAAATAAAAAATTATAATCCTCCAGGCATGTGCCATTAAAGTAATTCACATCACTCCCAGAAAGAGAGAGGAAAAAAAATAGCCATAGGCGTTCCAATACTAAGTGAGGTTGATTAAGTCAAACCACGCATAATTAAGACCACTACGTATCAATAAAGTAGTGGACTCTCCCCCCCCCCCCCCGGGGGGGGGCGTGGGGGGAAGGCAATACAAAAGCGGATCATAATTCATTATATAATTCATGCGCAGCGCCGGTGATTAGTGATGATACTTCCAATAATTATATTTACAGCTACTGACAGATTGCTGTGACAGCTACTGTTCCAACCGATGAACTGGAGGGGAGGAGGGGGCCGAAGACATAGTGATTCACAGAAATTTTAAATCTTTGTGAAGCTGAGATCCCCGAGAAAGTTGAAGATATCATCATGAAAAGAAAAATTCAGATTCCGGGGCCCCATATTCCATTTCGGAGATTCGAGATGGTTGAAAGAGGAGAGGCACCGATGGCAACCAAAATAAAGAAGAAAACAGAGGCAGAACTTACTCCCGAGAAGATTCTGCAGAGCAGACATGGACCTGGCGAATCTTTTAAGCCTATTTGAAGCTTCTTTTTTTTTTTAATGAAAAATTTTGTTCTAATCATAGAAACTAATTTTCTGATCCCGCGTCCGCCGATGTCATGCTCGTATTCAGACTTCAACTTGGAAATAAATAAAGATCCTTTTCGATAACGTGCGGGAATGAGGTCAAATGCTGAGGGCTCTTTTTCTTTTTTATATAAAATTACGTCTATTTTTTGGACCAAAATCAATTACCTCTATTAAATTCATCAGATATGGATAAGAATGTATATAATCAGCATCAACCATCAATATCAACACCCTAAAAACATTCAGCAGAAAATTTATAATAAAATACATTATTGATAAATTATGAGTAATATGATTTATTTTAAATTTTATGCAATACATAAACAACTTGTCTAGTTATGTGAAATCTATACCAAATCTCACTATTCATATGATGTGAATTATGTAGGTCATTTAAGATTTCACATGCATGTAGTACGTACGGTTTTTTTTTTTTTTTTTGCCAAAATATATGCATATGGTTTTTCAAAAATATGCACGAATTGCTTTGAAGATAACGTTTTTTTTTTTTTTTTGGGCCATCAGATGACATTAGTTTATACTTTATTCCAATATTTAAATTTTTTTTAATCAAAAGCCTCTTTATAGAGTTCCTTAGATCTTAAAAATAAATATTTAAATAATAATGGTTAGATAAAACTTTTAAAAAAAACATTTTTTCATTTTTTTTAATCAATGATGCGTGCATGTATATACCCACTGGAAATTTAGGAGCCACATAGACCTGAATTAGATTTATCCCGAGTCTTCAAAAGCAGATTTATTAAAAAGATTTGAGTGGAAATAAAATCATGATTTTTAACAATCAATTTAAAGCATACAAAATAAGCATTAAAAAAAACTTTTGCCTAAATTCACGTGAAAATACTTTTTAAAAGTAATTTTTAATTATATCAAACACCCGTTGAGTTGAAATGAGGAAGTGGATCCAACCCCTTCATTTTTTAAGAAACGTAGGAAGAAATAAATCTGAAATGAAATTTAAGGATAGCTGACAAAAATGAAAACAATCAGCGTTTAGAGTTGGGAGGATGAAAGCTGAAACAAAGGTAGTACAGAAGGGAGCTCCATTTTCTGCGTCTCCATTCACGCCTTTTCAGATATGTCAGAATCAGATCGCATCAAGTGCCCAAACCCAGTGAAGATACAAATGAATTGGCTTCCATTTCGAGCTTACATCCACATGCATCGCATAAATGGTTGAAATAAAACGACTAGAGCGCTCCAATCGTGTTGATCCCATTTTTCCCGGAGGCGCCTCTGCAACTATCAAGAGGAGACCATACATAGAATGCGAGCTGGCGCACATCCTCCCGAGTTTTTCTATTCTGACTATTGATTCTGGGGATTATAAGGTCCCATCTTTAGACTTGTATATGGTACCATTGTGTAATATATTACTTCCTCTTTATATTTTCTTCCTTCACCTCGCCAAGATTCAAATTCTATAGAATGTTTTTTTTTTTGGAGGGGGCTAAAACATAAGTATTCTCCCATTAAAAGGAATCCTATTCGAGACCCTGTACAGTACTGAATATAATACCTATCTCAACTAGGATTATAATCTTAGTTCACTAGTTTGTATGAGACTAATCCCTTCTACTAGACCCAAACTCCTATAGGTTATACAATGGATGTTTTGGCAAGCCTTCGAGTGCTCAATCTCTCAGTCACTCCCAGTTACAACGCTTCGAAAGCAAGGCTCAGTCCCATTTTGTTTTCCATCAATACCAACTTTACACTGAGGATGTAACGTGGTTTGCTGAAAATCAGAATTTGAATTTCAGCCCCCCGGGGCATGGTTCAAAAAGAACCGGGGAGGGGGATAATTTGCAACAAAAGAAAAACTACAGGGGAAAAAAAATGGTTCGGCAGGTTCCTTTTCATCTCATGAGTTTCAATATACAATATATAAACTACAATGAGGATAAAATGCCCTCATCGACCTAATACAAGACGCAGTATTGAGTTGTAGATCATGCATATGATAGAGAAGGGACGGCTTCATGAAACTTAAGCCCACCACGGATCATCTCCTGTTCTGAAATCTGTTTCAACCCAAGGCACAAATACTACCTTCCCATCATCTATGTCACAATGCGCCAACGCCAGAGACTGTCCAGCAAGAAGAATTAAACACTGATCATGATCATATTACTACGAGATAATTGGAGCTAATTCTAGACTTTTACACTAATTGTCAGTAAATAAACCAACTGTAACAAGTTTAAATGCTATGGCTGCAAACCATAAGCCAACCCATTCGTGTGAAAATAAGCTAGGTATTAGCGTATTCCTATGGGATAATCTGAGTTTTATGTTATTTTTTCCCCATCACCAGAAAAAGCTTGAAAATAAGCTTACCAGGGGAGCAGGTCCTCTCACAACTCTTCCCTGGTCATTGTACTGGGATCCATGGCAGGGGCAGATGAACTTGTTCTCAGCTTGATTCCAAGGCACAACACACCCGAGGTGTGTGCACACCGCATTAATCCCATATGTTGCAAGTGTTCTGTCTTTCTCCACCACAAGGTATGTTGGATCTCCCTGAGCGATGCGAAATTTGTAAGAACACAAGGGAACCATCAATCAAAATCCTCGTAAAAAGGTTTATGGTACAAAAGAAGTGCAAGATAATTGCTTCAAATTCTGCAAGTCACAGTGTGATAAATTTATTGTTGTCAATATTACAGAGTCTCAGCATCTGCAATCATATAAGATCCTTGGGAAAGTTGAAGAATGAGAGGCTCACAAATTCATTATGTTTATTCTGCGGTATCATCTGTAAACTTAAGACTTATGAACTCACCTTCAATCCTTGGGTAAGGGTACGGTCCCCAGGGCCATGTGTCTTAAGCCACTCATCAGCTATAACATCATTTCCTATGGCGTCCTTGGCAATTGTGCCACCAGTAGACGATCCTGACCTGTAATATTTTCTCAGTTGGTCAACAATGTGAAAGCTTCAAAAGACTAGGGTAGAAACATCACAAAAGGCATCTTTGGCGGGTTAAAAAGTTAATCATCAAATGTCTGGATTCTAGATACAACAGCCGTCAAGTCATGGGTATGCTATCAGGGTTTTATTCTCCCATTGGGCCAGCTGAAAGTTTAAACCGTAATTGATAGTTTTGTATTAGTGGAAAAAGAACCGGTTTTATCTGTCCTTCCCGAACACTTGGAAGGTCATATTATAATATACTATCCTTCCTTCGCCTTTGCCCCTAGCCGTAGATTTTTTTTTCCCATTTAAATAGTAACAAAAAAAAAAGTTTCCAAAAATTACCAACAATTTATAAAACCTTCATTAGTCTATTACTGAACTGAGATGTTGAACACATTAATGATGGCTCATTCAAGGTTGGGAGAGAAGGCTTCTTCCATGATGTAGTGCTGCCTTGTTTACTGAACATCATTTTGCGCGATGAAACGTTGGCAGAAAGAACTCCAAAGACAAGCACTAGAAATATTTAAAAAAAACAAATTCTTACAAGACTTTGGTTTGACCGACAAGCCAGTTCACCTAAGGAGGCACCTCAAAATAGCATCCAGAAGTGATTTTTTAAAACAAGAGCATTCAACCAAAACACATAGCGCATAAAGGTAGAGAATAAGGAATTCGAAATGTTACCCAGGCGGGGCAAAGAAAGAGGCATAAGGGACGAGCATCCCAGCAGTAGGGAGTGAAATAGCACCCAGAAGAAGCAGATTCATGAGCTTTCTTTTCTCCATATCTGGTACTCGATCATCCGCTGGAACGCTGGTGGCCTGGCAAACTATTCTCTTTCCCTTGCCCTTCCCCAAAGTCTGGGTCCTTGCAGGCTTCATAAGAAGGCCTTGTGAGGAACACAGAATCCCATTCTTTCCAGAGCACAGCTGAAAGACAGAGTCTTTTCGGTGAGACTGACCCTCAGAGTCAAACATCTACCCTAATCATTACATACAGTAATTTTACCTGTGAAGGGGTTGCCGGAGGCAGAGCGGTGGAAGCCATGGCGGGTGGGAAACACGATACTCAATGCCGGTGATCGTTTTCAAGACCTTAACCAGCATAACCAGTTGGTGGATAAGGTGCGATGCCACGTTGGGCGCATATAGCCACATGTTCAGCAATTTTGGGATTACGATAGTTTTTGGTATCGTGGAGATTGTTTTTCTGGACGCATGGGGTTTTCTCTTCTGGGCCTGTGTTGGACATGCAGGAGTCAGGGCTGTCTTAAGGATTGGACCTGCCATTTAGATGAACATGGGGATTCACTGGGCATCCAAATCGAGGCTTAGGGCCCATATATAGGTATGGGTAATAAGCCTAAAGAAGTGCAAGCCTTGTTGAGCTTGAGGGGTGAGGTGAAGGGAAAAGTAAAGGCGGAAATTGAAGGAAGTGTAATATTGACTCGTAGTAATCATGGCTACACATTTGGTTGAAGTGGGAAAGATAAAAAGGGAAAATGACCCGTTGGGACCATGTATACAAGAAATATAACGATTAACGAGTCATGACAGTTAAGGAACTAAATTACGAGATCTCAGCAGTTGAGAACCATTTGAGTTTAGTTGGAAACAATGGTGTTAGTATTATTGTCCTTGAAAAGTCACGAGGTGTCAATTTTGCAGTATAAAAACATTAGAAAGGCTATGCCCAGAAACTATTGGCAGAGGGAGGGTCAGGGAGTGAGAAGGGCGTCCAAAAGAACATAATTATTGATGTAGTCTTCTAACTTTGTCTGGCCGTAGGAGAAGGCCCACTCAGTTGTCTACTCCCACCGTTGCCAACACTTTGCTCATAATGATGCTGCTCTCTGCGTGGGGGGTATGGCGTGCTTCATCCACTCAACCCCCCCCCCCAAATCTTTATAATTTTCATTTGTTTTCTTGGGTTCCCAGTAAATGGCATATATATACGGTAATATGATTTGAAGCGTGAAGCGTGCTATCTCTTTTCCCCCCAGTTAAAATAATATTCCAGCTCTCATCTCCAATTTTTATGTGTGTGTGTGTTTTACCAAAAGGAAATGGAACAACAAAAGTGGGTTATTAGTCTTACAAATCAACGAGAAATAAAAAATGGGCGTCTTTAGGCTTTCTCTTGGATCTAGGCAGAGGGAAGCGAATCTATAGTTTTCGTCAAAGAAGATAACACCCAACAGAGAAAGCAAAAGGAGTAGTCAGCTAATTCCATGTTATATTAAAAGGAAAGGGCGTGGCACTGGCACAGGCACAGAGATGGAGCAAGCTTGAAGCAACCCCCCAAAGCAAACATGGGAACGAGTTTCCAAGTGATGCAACATATATAGAAAACCCAATTTGCATCTTGCCATATCCCAAAAGCTTTTTGTCTCCCTTCTTAATTGCTATACCAGCTTGCATGTAACCGAGATACCCACTTTGATCATTTTTCTAAAGGGAGTGATGAAGTAGCTGTTTCCTATAAGAGAAGCCTAGCTAGTATAATGTATCTCAGTGGCTAGATAAGAGGAGAGAAAAGAAAGAGAACTCATAAATTACAACAATGATGCGGTGCCTTTTCGGCTAATGATGCCCATGCCCAGCCAGTAATTGTCATATTACTCTAGCTATAAAGCATGTTTGCTCTGGTTAGGTTCCTCTTATGCTTGTACGTGCGAAAAATAAAGGTCCGTACTTGATTAATTGCGCTGAACGCTAGCTAGCTGCGTTTGAAAATGATTTCCATTTGCCATGGGTTATCAGCCAACGAGTCATGGTGTAATTGGGAGCTACATGTAATGTTTTAAACAAACTTTGGATGAATTTAATAATAGAGAGAATCTCACATCTCAGAAGGTCAAGTCAGGTCAGAAACTAGTTTTAATGCTTATCATTTTAACCGTTCAAATTTAATATAGACAATTAGGATTTTTTTTTTTATTTTTTTTAAAAATATGTTTTTAATAGGTAGATAATCCAAAATAAATGTAATCTTTTAGTAGTAAGTTTTTTAAAAAATAATTTTTTAATTAAAATTATTAGCTAAAAATTTTAAATCTAGACTATTAAAATTATATCTATATAGTATAAATTTCACGACAATGATGAGGATTATGTAAGATCAATGATCCATTTAATGCCCGGGTCGGGGAAATCGATTATTTGTACTCGGCGACACAGCATCATGGATTTCCATCTTCTCCTTATATAAAACCTTTCCCAATAGCTACTTCCATCCTTATTTTCGGAAAATAAGAGGTGAATATGGGAAGAAGCCATGAGAATTTATCCCACCCACAGAACCACGCCATGCTGCCGAGGGAACATAATAATTATGTCTTGTTCTCAGTTGTAACTACAGATCAATTTGTTGAATAGAAGTTTGCATAAAGAAGGGTAAAAAAATGGCCGTAAAACTGAAAAATAAAAAGCAATATGATGATTTACGACTTCCATATCTCTTGCCATGTTTTAATTTGTTGATCAGCTGTATATGTTTTTTTTTATTATTATTATTATTATTATTAAATCCAAACCCCTTAAGTTTTACCTCACTTACTGTATTTTTTTCCCACTCGTGAATTAACCTCAATCACGTATATAATGCAGGGAGAGAGAGCAGGCATGTGTATTAATTAATTACATTTGGGGACGCACTGATTTGGTCCCTTAGAATGAAAGGACCAAAAAAGGTCATGATTGATGAAGAGAGCTCACCGTCTCAATTCCCAATCATCAACACAAGTCCTATCTGTGACGCCAGACATGTTTCCATATGGCCCCTTTTGTTCTTAAGCTCACAGCCCAGTAAAATGCTTTGCTGGTCAAAAAAAAAAAGTCCAGTAAAATGCTTGTGTCTTTTCTCCTTCTTCTTAAAATCTTCCTGTATTGTCCACTGCACAGTAAATAAAATGAAAGCCCTCCATGTGAGTTTCAGCCCCAGAAGGTGAAAGGTCAAAGTCCTAAATATTGAACCGGCTTCAAAAGTAGGTGTGTTTGAGAAGCGTAGTGTTGTGCCATGTTTTAGCTTCTCCGTTGCAATGACTGGACGTACAAGCATCTCTGCAGAGCGGGTGGGACTTGCTAGCTCATTGCCTTGGCTTCAGCTTGGGAGCCCTCTAATACGTTCACGTAATTAAGGAGAGGGCAAAAGCATGGACCCCACCGTAATATCAGTGCACTTACAAGAAAAGCACCCCAAGATTTGGACACAACATGGAATTTGAGGCTTTTGCCTGTAAAGTTGTCAAAGCTGCATCATGTCTCTTCTCCAGACAACCATTAGTCTTTTTAACATACTAGCCCAACCCCATGCATTAAAAACTCTCTCTCTCTCTCTCTCTCTCTCTCTCTCTCTCTCTCTCTCTATTTAATCACATTTAAGTTGAAGTTATATATGCGTGTGAACGCTAGAAAATCGTATGTATGTGCATGAGGAAGAACAGTGAATGATAGATACTGAGACACGAAAGGTCATTTCTGCGCTGCCCCAGCAGTTCCCAACTTCCCATGGATGTTTGGTTGAAATGGGTCCTCTTCTAACATTCTCTCAAGTCGTCGTCTCTCCATATTTAATTAGAATCGAATGGCTCAAGATTGTTACTTTTGTAAAATAATTAAATACACACATTCATTTAGTGAAACTCTGTGATTTGGCTATTAGAGACTGAATATAGTTTTAATTGTTAGATTAATTTTGATATGACTGCAACGATTATTTTGGATCTAGTAACATCAAAAATAAAGTTTAGTTACTTGGATTCATTTTGATCAAATCGTAGACGTTGGGCATCAAGAGATGAGTGAGAGAATATTAATTAAGAGAGATCCAAAACTTTAAAAATCTACACTACCCAAGAGAATATTGACAAAAGTTACCATTTAGTTGTTATTAGTATAGTCTTAGCAGGGACTGCTACTTATTAATGGATACTTTAATTACATATTACAAAGTGAGGCCGAAGCATGATTTCTTTCAACGTTTGGTTACCTCTCCTTTTCTCATCAATACATCTCATGCATATGCACATGTTTGTTTAGTGTGGTCGAAAACCCTGCCACGAACGAGCCACTGAGAAGGCTGTTTATAGTCATTTTGTTGAGATTTTCTTTAAGAAAAAGGGTAGAATGATAAAGCAGTTTACATGGTTCGGTGAGAAGAGGCAGGATTTCAAACTTGTCACCATCTTTATATGAAGAAATAATGTGCTGGGGGGTTGTGGTAGCCCCACTGGGTATCATTTTTAATTCATATTTGAATTTTTTCAGCTTCTATTTTTCGTTAAAAATTGGAGTGATACATATGTCCCAGCATCACTCAATTATATATATATATATATATATATATATATGCTTTTAATTTCGTCCTTGGGCAGAGTGTGGTTTTTTTTTTTTTAATTTACTTTGCTTTTGCTCTAAGCTAAGCACGTAATTAAAATAATTACTGCATTACATTTAATTGATTTCACTAATAAAGTTAATGTGACGAACACGACCCTAAGAGACGAAGCTGCAACAAATCTTAATTGTAAATTACTCCCTCCATTCCTTGTTATAAGAGACATTTGATACTTTATGGGATGTTCATATATATAAGAGACACTTAAAAGTTGTCTCTATTTTTGTGTGTTGATTTTCTATTTTACCCATATTTATTGTCTCTAACTCACACTCTCTTTCCTTCCCACTTTCTTTTTTTTGAATAATTTACCATTGTTCTCTCTCATACTCTCTCCTTATTAATGAGGGTCTTTTTGAAAAAAAATTATATCTTTTACTCATTAATTGTTCTTAACTAATTTTAACTATTTTTTTATCAATGTAATTCGGTTATTCGTCTCTTATAATAAGAAACGGAGGGAGTATTGGTAAGGGACGTGTGAGTGATAATTAAGAACTATATAAATCACATTTATGAGCATCAGAAAAAGTTGCAACAAGCTAAGTAACATTCAATGCAATGTGAGCTTCGCATATAAATGCATGCACATCAGACAACTCCGTAAAACAGAGCATGCTTACTTTTTCATACAGGATAATATGTACTATTTGAGAATTTAATAAATAATAAATGAATATATACGAACAATATCTTTAGTCCTAATCACAAGATTTTATTTATAGTTTACAA